CATCATTGGAGAACACTTGTCTGTCACAGCTGGGTTTTCTGTCGCTTCAGAATAGCACAGGGCAACTCAAGTACATGTCACCGAAGTGCCATGTCATTAGCTCCCTGAATTGTCTCCTGTTGTTCCTGGCTTTTTTGCCTTTTCCTTTCCGAAGCATCAAAGTTACTATGGAAACGAGCAATGGCATTGATGTAGATGTTCCTGAGCTCCACCCATACATGCCATGTGAAGTGAGCCTCCGTCCATGGTGTGACCTACATCCGGTGGAGCACCTCCATGTGGAAGGAAGCACTGCAGAAGAGGTCCTGGCAGAATGAAGCTGAGGGAGGGGAGCTGGAAAGGGGGCCTAGAAGTAGGACCAAACGCCTCTGAGAGGGAGGAGACTTGTCATTGCTTCTGCCATTGCTGAGAGGCTGGGAGTGAGTGGCTTTCCCACAGCTGGAGGAGCTGATAAGACATCGGACTCAGGGGACAAATATTTTGGCTGCAGTACAGTTGACATTCCTTCCCCACACTGCGGGGAAAAAGATGGGGAGCACGAGCTCCAGCACCACACAGGATTCCTAAGGCCAACGTGGCATGGGAAGAATTTTGTGTATCATGGTTTGAGGTTGCAGGGTCTATTTAATTTAAATTTGCCTTAATTTTTAAGACTCGCTGACTTTTCTTGTCAAGAGGATAGACTTCAGTAATAAAATAACTACAGGACAAACCTGCAGCCATTTGTGTGATGTTGGAAATTTAGAACTGGAATGGATGATAGCAAGGAGCTCTGACTATTAAAGCTTTAGATAGACCTTGCACCACTTTGTTTATTCAGGTAGACCTGGATAACAAATTGCAATCAGCATTCGGACTGATAAGTGATGAGAATGTTCAGTGATGAGAACTGGAACAGCATAAACCCAGAACTGCCTGAGACGAGAAGCTATGAAATTAGGGGGACAATTCCATCTACTTAGCCCCAAACTTTCAAAAAAAAAAAAAAAAAGATTAATTGGGTTTGTTTGCCCTAATTTTTGATTGGCCAATCTGAAGAACTTGCTACTCAGAAAACCCAGCTCACCCTCTGCAACTTGGTAATTATAAAAAACATCTCCAGCTGGATACCTCTGGGTATTCAGCCATTCTGGAAAGTAGTGCTATAGTAACGCAACTGAGCACTAGTATTTATTTATAGCACTAATTTTTAAAAATGAATTCTGAAACACTGCTGCCCTTTATTTGCTAATATATGTTTTTGTAACCTGTAAAGGCACTGATATGTAAATAACCTGTATAGGAAATTGTGTTCTTTTCTCATGTGTCCTTTTCTCTGTGTAATTTCTTTCCTTCTCCATTACTCAGAGGACAAGTAGGAATGAAAAGAATAAATCAGAATTATCATTCTTGCAAAATAATAGGCTGAAAAAGCATTGTCTCTCAGTAATTTCCATATAGAGACAGAACTTTGTAGTGTAAGAAATTGGACGGGAACCATAATAACTTTCAATTACATGGGCCTTGGTATTTTTAGCTAGAATGAGAGGACAAATGATGAATTTGAGAGATGTAGAGCCCAAAGCATGACCATTCGTGCTGCAACTCACACCCAGTAGAACTAAGGGAGAATAATATCCTGCTAATAAGAACCACAGAAGTTTTATGGCTAGAACAGATTTCACAGGATCCTCAGAGGTATAATGACAGTTTTAAACTCCCTCCAAAGGGAGTCCAAAGGCAGTCACACCTACAGCAAGGCCAGTGACTAGGTGAGACAGCAGGTGATAGAAAGCTGGGAAGCTGTTGCCAAGACCCGCTAGTGCTAGTACGTGATGGAGAGTAGGTGGTATAGGACACTGATTTTAGAGCCCCAAGCCAGACATTTACAAAAATATCAGAAGTCTACACTTCTCTTCCCTTTGCTTTACTAAATCCAGGTCAAGAGAGAACAACCTGTAAGTTTCTGCAGATTTAGTGGAGATTTCAAAGCTCGCTCTCAAGTCTGAGCTGCACTCTGCACCAAGAATAATTTTTCTTGCGTCATCACCCCCCTCTCCTAAAGACGTTTTTGAAAATCCACGACATGCACTACCCCAAAAAAGCTTCTGTTAGTTTATTTTGAAAACCCTAGGCTAGCTTTCCACAGGAAGAAATGGAAACATCTCATATGAGCCCATAAGTTCAGTAAAAGTGATAATTTAGCAGTAATTGTTATTGGCAACTGATGCAGACAGGATACTAGATACGACAGCTCATTGTCCACACCTGAATGATTGTTCCTCATGGCTCTTAGCCCCTCAAATACATCCCTGTTTGGACTGCCAAAATGAACAAAAAAGCATGTGTTTACAACAACTTTTGAAATCTTCAGTGACGATGATTCCACTCTTATGCTTCGTGCTACAGCTGTGCCAGCTCCAAGTATGAAAACATGAAGTGTCAGAACACAGGTACCGTCTGTACTTCCTTGTCTACAGAGAGCCATCCAGACTCACAGCTAATTTCACAGAAAACACTTCTGAATTTTTTATTCTTGTCCCTCTGGCTTCGCATCTTATCTTTGCCAGTGCCTGGCACAGGATGCTTAAGAAAGAGTATGAGATTCTTTCCATAGTGTCTTCTTTGAGAATTTGGTAATCATCATCCCCCTGATGGACTGCAAGAGGGACCTTGAAAATGGCCCCACTGAGCCAGAGCAAAAGGGGCAGCTCTTGACACATACCAGTAATCATAGAATTGTCAAGGTTGGAAGGGACCTTTGAGATGATCTAGTCCAACTATCAGTGATCACACAGACACAAGTACACTGGTGGGCAAACACATGGCGTGTCACCTGTCAGCCTTAAACATCCAACAATATCAGATCTGTTATCCTTATACGCAAAATAATCCACCACCGTTTTCCGTATCCAGAATATCTTCTATAAAGGAACTCTACTGTTTAGTGACGCAGCCTGTGAAGCATTTTCTTCCTTTTCCTTGTATAGAAAGGGGCAGTGAGCAATTTCATCATTGTTGTGGTGTTTATGGACAGAATACTGTGGGAATGAGGGACGGGGGGCTGATGCCAGGAAGTAAAGTTATGCTGGCATTTCATGTGTTTAGGAGAACAAATCAATTAGTCAAAATCAGTTTTTGAACCCTACATACCTTGAAACTGCAAAGAAACTTTCCATTACAGAAAATCCAGTATGTATATAAGAGAGAAGGGGGAAAAAAAAAGAAAAAAAAAAAAAGCAGTACACAGAAGTTAGGTATTAGGAATATGCAGGATCTCCAGCTCACCAGAAGCTTAGGTGACAAGATTATTCTCCCCACCTAAAACATCTGCTTGAACATTATTTTTAACTGTGAACATGATCTCTCTGTCATGACTGTAACAAGTTGGAAGGGGTACTGTACATCTGTTCTTTACTCCAAAAGCATGAGGTAATGTGAACATTTCTGTGAAAATGATTCGATGGTCTACGTGAAACCAGAGAGGCAGAAAAGAGATTACTGAAGAATTTTAGTAGACCTCTACCTATTCTTCAGATCAGACTCTTGCCTGCTGAGGTAGAACATTTATAACACAGATTATTCTGTTTAATAAGTAGATCAGCACAGCACTTTTTTTCTCAAAAAGGTTAAAACAAGCTTTATTTTAACGTACAAATTAGATTTGTGTACAAGGCAAAACACACCCCTATAGTGGTAGGCATATTGGGTCTCCACACAGCATGTATAGCCACTTGTGCTACAGTAGCCCTGAGATATGGAAAAAAGCCCTAAAAATCTTTTTTAAAAAAAGCCAAAATGTCTCCTTTTAATTGCTCTTGCTATAATCACCTCCATTTAGGAATTAAGAAAAACATTATACAGTTCTGAGTCAAGATAACAAAGTCAAATACCCAAGGTACTTGTCTAATTCCCTGCTGTCATCTGGGTATACCAGCAAGAGCACTTGGGGAACAAATCAAAAGATGCAAATATGCAAAGTTACCTCATTAACACTGCAAAGCATGTAGAAAAACTCTAAGATAGTTTTGTTACCTTTAACTACTATCATCTTCACAAACTGTGTGGTCAGGGCCAAGCTTAGGCATCCTGTGAACTTCCTAAGAAGTTCTCTACACTGCGTGTTAAGTTACTACAAAAAAACCCCACCTTACTTTGCTTCCTTTTACCATGAACTTGTATGTGATACAGAAATATTTTTTAAAGTTTATAAAAGCAACAGAACTCCAGGCATTTAAAGTCCTGTCCCTAATACAAAAGGCTACTTGAACACCCTCATTTTGCTACAAGATTGTATTTGTCATTAACTGACATGAAAAAAAAAGGAACAGTCCTTCTTTAAAAAAAAAGTTAGATAAGGAAAAGGTATAGATAGGGGTTGGGTTTTTTTAGTTTTACAATATATAAAAATAAGTTACACTATATATTATGGCTTTCTCATTTAGCAAAAGAGTGCCATCATGGATTTAAACACTAGATGTTATAACTAATTAACTCACCATGTTGTCAGACTTTCCGTGTTGGAGTTTTAATGATTGTGTGAAAAGAAACAATGAAATATTAAGTGGGAAAATTAAGAAGCCTCCAGAACAATTTAAATAGCAAGAAGCAGTTGCAGAAGTCTTTCAGAGAATATTTTCATTTAAAATGGTAATTTAATTTTTAAATTAATTTAAATTGAAATTTTAATTTAATTTAATCTCTTGGCACTAATAAAGGCCAAGCCAAACCTCCCATGAACTTCAGCAGAGTCAGGGTTTCATACTGAGATTCATTTCAGAAATGTTTACGCTTAAGTATGATACCATTATGCTACTGAAGTAATGATTTATCTTTAACGTGTGTAACGTTAATCATGCAAGTAAGATAGTAGTTAGTTTTGGTATGAAGCTATGTCAAAAAGGGTACAACAATGCTAAACCAACAAAGTTCAAAACTAAAACACAACTGCCTAATATTAAGTGTTTTCCACTATGAATAAAAAGGAAGGCGGGGTGGAATTGAGCCAAAGACTGAAAGACTGCATTTACCCAATGCTATATTATTAATGGCTGAGTATACTTACATTTTGAAGTCTAAAGCTTGTCCAATTTGAACACAACTATGACAACATTCAAATATGTATAAATAAAAAAAAATTCTACTTTCATAGCTAAAGCTGTAACAAAAATGTCATTGTGCAGTTAAAGTAGCATTTGCAACTTCAGAGTTCACAGCAGACAAGCACAAGTTTCAGACTTACAAATACAGTAAGAAAGATCATGGCACTGAATCTGGGAATATATTCAAGCTCTAGTTTTACTCAGGATAGCAGAGTTGCCAGCTAATTAAAGTTAACTGAATACTGTACTTTCCAGCTCCATATAAACAGGCTCCATGTCATACAGATGAGCTTTCTCTTCCCTTTTTCTCCAAGAAAATTATCTGAAAGGCAAGCTACAGTGATTGTTTCCGACAGCAGTAAGATAAAGAAGCAGATAGAAAAGTAGGTATATAAAAAAATTCTTACAGAAAAGGCATCCGTCCCAGTTTGATTTTGTTATAAAAAGGCACTTCACATATTGCTAAAACTCTGAAAACGTACTAATCCTTTTAGTTTTCCTGTTAGAAGGATGTATTCCAAGGTGGTTAGCATGAGTAGGCAAACGTTCTTTATACAGTGTTTATCAGTTACAAATTTTATAATTACACACAGTATCTTACACTATTTATTTAGAAGATTGACGTTCAAAGTTATAGCAGGTCTTCATACAATACTTCAGTGATGATGGATGATCTGTCATAAGCAACACACCACCTGTAGTGAGTTCATGCTAATAAAATTAGCAGTGTAAATCTTTCAGAAGTGAGTCCTCAGTCTTTTGTTTTCCTCTCGTAGTCTCTCAATTTCAGCTACTAAGCTTTCATTTACAGAATACCTTTCAAGTAAAGCGTGCATTTCATTCTAGAGAAAAGAAAAAAGCTCCGATCAGCAGCTATAAAGTTAATTATTCCAGTTTTAGACTACCAATTTTCATATCCCTTTTGAAAATTAAATAACCTAGATAATACTGTTTTTAGAAACTTTTGATAAAAGTAAGAATTATTTTTTATGCTGACATACAGTATTTTGATCATTAATACATTAGTGAATATTTTATCAAAGGATATTTTGCACTTCTTCAGGATGAGAATCTACTAATGCGGGTTCCATTAAAATGTTCAGTACCGAGACAGGGTCTTTTTAATGCAGATCAAAAGAACAAAGATTCATAAAAAGACAAAATCAAAGAACACGGGTCAGTACGCATGCACTACCTATAAGTGAAGCTTTCTATTTGAATTCTGTCTATCTCCTCCTCAACCCAGCTCTTGGTCCTTTCCAAAGGACAGCTGAATTTGTTTCCCTTTTGTCTTTTTATAACTCCTGAAATACGGAATTCATGATACCTATGCAATGATATGCATTTATCAAGCATAAACCAGTTTAACAGATTCCAATTCATAGTTTCCCCTTCCTTCACATCCAGTCCTCCCTTTCTTGCTCTTAGTAAGAACAATTGATTTTGTTTTGAGAGAAGTTGTTGGCATGCCTTGGTATTACTCAAAATGAAAACTGAATATACTTCCCACCATGCTCTTTGCACATACCAACTGCATATGGAACTGCTTGATCATCTCCACTTGCAGATTCACAATATCTCGATGACATGCTTCTCTGAGGGAAGAATTTCAAAAGGACAATGCTTAGTTTTATTTAGAAAGCAGTAATTCTTGCCAGTCCTCAGCACCCAGAACCCCACACTTCTTCACTTTCATGACATTGTGAAACATGAGTCTAAAAACCTTAAAGCCATGAAACGTACTCCTCCATTGCTTGTTTCCTGGAATACTTTTGTTATGAGATTGACTTTCAGAAGTACCATTTTTTGGCATATGAAAGACTGGGGGTATTTTCTGTTTAGAAAGATAAAAATGTATGTGGTGATCTCAACTTTTTTTTTTTTCCACTTGCAAGCTGTAAACGTCTCTCATTTTTACAATTCAAAGCTGATTTTCAAACCCTCAATCACAAGTATCACAGAGAAAGAGATTTACCCGTAACTGAAGATGCAGCTTTTCAGTACATTGCTTTCAGCACTTTTGTAAGAGGGGCCAAAACATCAACAGTGATAAACGATACGTTATCCTGGAGCCCACAGAATGCTCCAGGTTAACCTACATAAAAAGTAGGAGCAGTGTTGTCCATGAATTGACAGGAGTTTGTCAATTTGTGGACAGCTATTCCACACTACAAGAACCAAGCTTGGAAATAGCCTCTGAACACTACACCAGCACTCCAGACGCTGAGAAAGAACAGGAAGAACAGCTCACAAAAAAACAGGCAAGATCATATGCTCTTCCTGAACAGAGCATCACACTGCAACTGTCCAAGGCCAAGTACTGTGCTATGGGTACCAACGGCCTGAGGAAGTAAGGCATTTCTCAAGTAGACACACAGAGATGTATTTCATTCTCCTTTCCTAAAACATATAACAAACCCAAAGGGCACATATTCTTCACGTTCTATTTCCACAGGTTATTGAGCTTCACAGCATAGATACCAGCTGGCAGCTTAGAAACCCAAAGACATAGGTTATCTCCCAAAGACAGGAAGTTCAGAAGCAAGCAGCTTTTTGGAAACAAATTAGTTATATATTTCTCCTGGTCCTTTTCTAAGATCCTTGTTTTTTCCCCCATTACTGGAAGAGGAGTGGATTTCAGGCAAGGCATAAACATCCTTTCCTCAGATTCCAGAGGGTGAAAGCAGTATCAATAAGAAGCTGAAATGGCTCCCTTCCCTCTTACTGATCTCAGTACAATCTTTTACATTCGGTTTCAATGTATCCACAATTTACAACTGCGAAAAGGGCAAGGAGAGCCTTCCAGTCACTCCAGGAAGTATAGTTTAGAAGAGAAATACAACCTCTGAGGCTCCAGACCTCAGATGCACAAGACTGACAAGCATACCTTCCAACACGGGGATGCCTGAACACAGATTTTGAAGAACACATCTGCAACCCATAGACTGTATTTTAAGTCATGTGAAAGTTACAGTTTTTAATCAGATGTGTGATTATTGCAAAAAAAAAAAAATCCTGGGGGAGTTTTACTATACTATATTCTTTAAAATTTAAAGACATTTATTAACAGTCAGTGTATTTTTTCTGTTGGCAGATACAGAACAGCCATAGCACAGGGACCAACTAAGCTAGTTGCGCGTTGTTTTTTGTTATCAGAACAGCAATAATTGCCCTGTCCAACAATCTTTTTCCTCTCCACCACATCAGTCAGTCTACTTCATCTTAAACATGGCTTGGGAAGTGAACCCCTAGATAAAACTCTCCTCTCAAATGCTCCGTATCTCCTTCAAACTCCATACTAAATCCATGCTAACTTGACTTACTTCTTTCATGACAAGTAGAATGCTAGTTAGGTATCACAAAACACAAAATAATCTGACACCAACCATCACTTACAGAACAGATGTAATTTTAATGACAAGCTTCACCAGTAGAAATCCACACGGTATTTTATCTTATACGTACCAAGCTAACAACAATCAAAGCCAATACAAATCAACTGTCTAGATCAAACTCTCCACAGTGTCAACTTTAAGAAAAATCTCTCCTGCTGGGACAAGGGATGAGCAGAGAAAGAAAGAAATCATCACAAAGCTTCATGAAAGCAATAAGGACCTCATTATGCAGATAAATTTACCATCCGAGAAGTATTCAAGCACTCATTCTGAAAACATGGTAGCAAAGCCATGCATTAATAACCCTCGGAGATACCAGTCTAATTAGTCATTGGAGCTATCCAAAATACGTAAGATTTCATACCTAGATTTCTGAGATTAGGGCTATAAATGGTTTCATTTCTAATGCAAGTAGAGAATACGTTAAAGCAGATGCTGAAACTCCTTACTGAGAAAACATTCACTGAAAACAAAAGCGTTTTGCGTGAATACCAGTACCTGAAGTCATCCATTGTTTCTTGTATCATATTCTGAATGAAGTTTATTTGGATTGATGTCAGAGGTGCATTTGGTCTGCTACTCCCAATCGTTTCTACTATTTTTTCTGACAATGAACTGGCAACTCCAGCAGTGACAGGTGATGTTATCTTTGGACCTTTACAAATTTAAAAAAAAAAAAACTAAACAAGAAAACAGCATAATGGAGTACAAGAAGGTGGGGTTTTTTTATTTGTCTTGAGGCTTGTCAATATTTTCTCTCAAATATTACCTAGTTAAAGAAAAGTCTTGATTTAGAGTAAGATTTTTCAGAGACAAACAGATATATTCTAGAAGGGCTAACTGGATTTACAGAAGAATCGAAATTGGATGTTCTGTTTTAAGGCTAAGGCTATTTATCAGGTTTCACATCATTTTGCAATCAACCATGCCTAAAACTGAGTCAAAATTATCAACTTACTTATTGAGGTAGTACCATTTACCGGTAGATCATACACAGGATGCGTCTGACTATTCTTCACTAGTCTCTCATTTGTATCAGGAGCCTTTACAGCAGTGGATGGTGGTGGAGGACTTAAAGTTACAGATTCTGCGCTTGATGAGCTTGATTTTGAAAGCTGACAAATAATAATAATAAAAAAAAATGTGGTGAACTCAATTGCACTTGAAGACTAAGTTTCAGGAATGCTCTGTCAAACATTTTTGGTTGCAGGAATCTACTCACAGATGTTTTTCATTTTATAGCAAGACATCTTAAAAATTGATTGTTAAAATATTCAAAATTGCTAAGTGCACAGACACAGAAAGGAGTGCAAAAGGCAGGGGCCTCTTAATTTTCACATCAAACATTTTGTGGTGAAGGTATAAACACCATTCCTAGCTGTGGGAAAGTAACAGAAGATTGGCGAGGAGGATTGTAAAAATGCTCAAGTGACTCACATGTGGGGTGCTGGAAAACACACCTATCACACTAATTGGTGCTTAGTTTTGCGTGCTCAACAAGTAGAACATTTGCACTTAGAAAACAGTCCTGGGATGGACTCGGGGGCACCTTATCAAATACACCTGAGATTCATCCCTGCTGTTGAACAGATCAAAGCACAGCAGAAAACTCTGCCTGCCAGAAGCCTTGAAATACAGGCCCAAGCAGCAAGTGGGAGCTCCCTCGCTCACAAGGACTCTCTTGCTAATAAGGACTCTGGCTCCGTGGTGCCTGCGTCCCCTGCTTGCCTGCCTCTGCCCAGGTGCTGCTTCAGAGGTTCCCCGATCCACGAGGTATTGAGATTAAATTGTTCTTTGCCCTTAATCCATGGGTTTGTGGTTGTTCCTGCGTCCTGCCTGCATCCCCTCACACACTAACAAACTCAGACTTTTCAAAAGCAATACAAAAGGAGCCAAGGTCTCAGCAGAAGCATATCAAAGATAGTTCAAGAAGGAAGAAGAGGAAGATGGAGAATAGGGAAACAAGACAGGGTGGAACTGACCTAATAAATGACAATCAATCATACTGGTGCAACCAACTAATGATCACTCTTGATTTTCTAGAAAAATCAAAATATTCTTCAGGCTAGCCCAATTTTAGTTTCATGTGAACTTTTGTAACTTGAGCTTAAAGATAAACATACATTTATCTTGCATTGCTGAAGGCCAATGCACTTAAACTGAACAACATTTTACAGATCTGTGTCAATATTTTACAACTCTGTTCACACTAAGATTAGCTAGGATGATATTAAGGATTTTTCCTTCAAGTAGTAGTTATTCAGTCAAGATTCTAAAATGACCACTTATAGCAAGAATTAGTACAGTGTACCTGCTTTAGGACTTCTTTAGATTCTTGCTTTCCAAGATATATTTTCTTACTGTCAGTCTCTAGATGTTCTTCCTCCTCTTTAACTGGAGATATCACAAGTGCACTTAACGGGCTAGACCGTATCCCTTGCGCGCTGCTGCCCACGGGGTTTCTTTTTACTGGTAAGGCAGTGGGGAGCTGCGGCAGAAGATCCAAAAGGTAGGACTGAAAATCTGAACCTAAAAAGGAAAGGGGAAGGGTGAAACACACAGGTCAACAAATACACACACACACTAAATCAAACCCACAAGTAAAACACCTGCACACCCACACAAAACAAATAAACAAAAAAAAAAAATCACCCAAAAATGCACCCCACAAACTAAATCCTTAAATCCAACTTACACTGTCACTGTCCTCATGAAAGTAATAAAACATGAAAAGCCTCGATATATCACTATAAATTGCATAAGGGAAAAATAAAGTTGCTTTAGGACCATACTCTTGGAGTTCCCATTACCACGTTGCATCTTAGCGCTGCAACGTGTTACACAATTCCCAGAAACATTCATTTTGTTTCAGTGTCCGCTTTCATCGCACAACAAAATTAGCATACAAGAACTAGCCTAGCCCTCCAAAGGCCTACCACTGACAAAGAAAAATATACTGAAAGTATGTTTACCATCTCCTTTTCCTTGAGGATCTTCATTCACTTTACTTGTAATAATGTCTACAAAGTAGCAGAATACAGACAAGTTGTTTATTAAATGAAATCTACATCAATATTCATATCATTGCATTGAGTTCACAAATCAAAGACAAACTAAAATACCAAGTAGGTACAGTAGTCAGTAACACACAAACATCCAAAAGCCATGCTATATGCAGATGAATATTGCTTTACAAATTTTAGTATTAGCAACTTACCATCTCTGACTGGAGAAAACACATCTCCTAAACTACTTCGACCCAAATCATTAACATTCTTTAAATCAGCACTTTTCCCATGATCTGTTTCTTTAGATGGAATCACATCCAAGCTGCAACTATGGGGAAAGCCTTAAAAGGACAATAACATTCAGTCAGTAATTGATATTTTCCAAAAATAACATATGTCATCCCTAAACAGTCTCACAGTAAGCATGATGCCTGCTAAGTCCAGCAAGCACTTTAGAACCTTCTACAGATTCCAGTTGGAAAGTCAAATCTAACTTCCTCATCTGGACTGTCAATGCAGGTGAATATAACTAAAAGCTAAGATGCTTATTAACAAAAATAAGATACAGTTGGAATAATTTCTTCGTTTTAAAAAGTTGCCAAACTGAAGAATGCACTGATTTTCATGTGAATCTACATGATGGCTGCAGCAAATTTATGGTGCATCAGATGAAATGAAAACTAGTGAATGTACCTTCTGCTAAGAAGATAAGCACATTCAAATGATCAAAATTGAAATCTAGTCTACAAGAAGAGAAATCTGCTTCACTGGGGCTATTAAGAATTCTATGGGAAAAATCTATGAAACATTTATTTTCAAGCCTACCTGATGTTAATATATTCTCTGCTCATTTCTAGTATTAGGAAATCAGAGTGGGGTTACAGTTGCAGATAAAAGAAACTTTTCCTTTCCCCCCTCCACTCTCCAGCCCCATCCCTTACCCAACCCAGGGGAAAAGAGCTAGCTTTTGTATGCATGGTAGCAGCGACAGTTGTCTGAAGAATGGAAGAATACCTTAAGTGCAAAAAAACCCCAGTAATTATTCAAACTACAGTTTTTAGATAAGGAATACATGGAGAAGTGAACTGAACTGCTGAGATAACCACTTAACTTTCACAATTTAGTCTGTTTGAAAAGCAGACCAGGACTGTAAGCAAGCTGCTGCTCTTCCCTCACAACCTCCTAACTCTAAAAGTGCCTAGGTTTTGTTTGTAGAAGTTAAGATCTGGGCAAAGAGTATTTATCCATTGCACGGCGCTAATAAGTCTCTTACCAATAAATCACCTGTACATACAAAGGCTTTACTTCATACCTACTTAATTAGAAAAAAATAATAAACAAACCACTGTTCATAAAACCTGCAACTACTTCTCTGCGTGGGATTACTTCAAGTGATCCAAACGTGACTGCATGGATGACTATAATTAATGATGTCCAAGTACTTACACCAACTGGAACTCGACTCAGGTTTAAGATTTCACTTTAAAATGTATTAATATATCACATTTTACACTCCTTCAGATGTGTCAGTTGTGACACATACATAGGATTGCACTTGCTTGTTAATTAAGTAAATACTTGGCATACTGAGTCAAACTAGAAGTGTAGTATCAAGTTGTGCCAGAATCTACAGAGGATCTACATGGAAAAAGCAAAATATAAAACAGAGCAAAATGTCCAACAACTGACTTAATTTATGCTTTTGTACTTTAAAATAGCCCCAGTCCATTTATAAACTGTATGAACACACTTTTTGATGTTTTGGGTTTTTTTAATATGCTGTCAGATCACTTTACTGAATACCTCTTGCTTCTCCAAAGTTAAACCTCATAATCAGGGTCCAGAAGAGTTTTCACAGAACAAATGAAGTTTTTGGTCTCTCGTTCATTCCCATTTCTAACTTTAAAGACTGTATCTTATGAAGTATACAGAAGTCTTTACTTCTGAAGTGAACACCCAGTTTAATGAAAAATATTTGTTTTACTTGGTAAGCCTTCATTTTCTTAAAACATTTATTTATTATGCATGGTCTTGTTTAAGGCATAACAGCCATTACATCTTCAAATAAAGATAATAAATCATATATTTTAAATGAAATAAAATTTTCCACACCATTCAGTAATGTTGATTAGTAACACTTCCTGCATAAGTAGGAAGCATTCTGCTTCACCTCGTACTTCACCGCATACCCAAGGGAAGTCATTAATACACATCCCTACAGACTGCAGTGGCTTATTGCCTAATTACTGTTGCTAAATGTATTTCTCTTTATTTAAAAAGGGAGGGGAAAAAGTGCTGTTGCATTAAAATGGCTTGAGGATTATTATTTTTTTTTCCAAGAATCAAATAGCATTACTGATTTGACCACATTTTCAGAGCTCTTGAATTACACAAAATTTTAAGATCATGTTTCAGACAGTGGCAGAATTTTAGAATAATGCTCAGAATTCTTATAAAGAACTTGTTAATTTCGGAAGCATAAATAGCAAGTACAGTTATACAACTAATCATACGTGCAACTAAATTTAACATCTTTCCTACCATGTGATATTGGAATCATGCCTCACTCAAAAATACAGTTCAGTTCTCACTCGGGTTTTTTGGACTAGTGTGGTTTTTCCCCCTGCCCTGTGTTTTGGTTGGTTGGTTTTTTCAGATGAGGTCTATTACTCCTATTTATTAACAGAATTACAAACCATTAGCTCTGCATTCCATACAGACATTGCATCAGAAAATACATTATGTACATAAAGATAATCTACAGGAAGTCAGAATGCAAGAGATAGCCCCACAATATCACCATAGAATTTTCTCCTTTAAAGTTTAAATACATACTTTTACTCCAAGTCTAGAATTTTAGACTCCACGTGTCTAAAGCTTGGAGTAGGACCCAATTCACTTCCCACAGTCTCACAGTATGCCTAAGGCAGTAGGGGAGGGAAAAGAAGGTGCAGATGCGCATGCACATACACACAGTTCTTACAAACAAATGCCCTTCTCTCAGTGACATTTTTACACTGTAATGCTCAAGGCATCAAATATTCCTTTCATCTTCTCCATTACACCAAATATGATTATAAGAGTAGGAAGAATACACTACCTGTTTTCTCCTGAAGAACCTCTCCTCCCTTATTCTCATTTGGCAACGTCAAATGAGATGAAACTGTTGCTGATGCTTGAGAGGCAACATTTTTGATGCCGGTATTTTGAAGTCCTCCAAGATTACTACCAGCTTTGACTTCTACTCTTTTGGATACAGGTTTATTTGAAGAACCCATAAGGTTAGACTGAAGATAAAAATAGAACAAAGAGAAGTTATATTTCCTTCATCTAAGAGTAAAAATATAAGCCAATATTCTTTCTGTTTCAAAATACTAAAAAAAAAATTCAGTTCAACTTGCAAAGGTTGCCTAGGAGATATACCTTTACAAACATAAAAAAAAGTAACTTCAAAGAACATGAGAAACATATGTATTATTATATGAATACTGTGTGGACCTGTAAAAGAACAGTAACAGAACTCAGGGCAACACTGAAGTGACCTAGCATGAACCAATTTTGATCTGAGGCTTAGGCATAGGAAAAATAAGAGATTACATTATTAGGGACTCTAAGCTGTAGAGGAAGTCAACCACCAGCAACAAGTGTGCTGGAAGAGAAGGAAAGTCTCAGAGAGTTAAAGAATCCACTTCAAAGGTTCTCTCTGTCTCCACTGAATGGATGCGTGGGGTTTCCGGATAGAGTAGAGCCTAATTAAGCCTTAGAAGAACCTCTTAAGCCTTCTCTATTATTTAATCAATTTCTCCACTGTCTACATGTGCATGAAAGACACCATATGCAAGACCATGCAAAATACTTCAAGACGGGCAGCTGTGTATCTTCATCTTGAATAGAAGAGTCATTACAGACCTTTCTGCTACAGCCTTCAAATGAATCTAAGGTGCCACAAACTGGTCTGCAATGCCAGCAGATTCACACCAGGAAATTTAAGTCTAAAGTTTCCCTCATTTCTACACCAAGGCTAGGAGTTGGGGGAATTCCACATTAAAAACCCCTAAAATGGCACTTAGGAGTGGGCAGTTTATAATTTTTATGTTGGTATGAGCCACTTTTGTTGGCATCTATAATGCTTAGAAACTGAATGCTAACATTTTTGTAGAACTTCAACTTATGCTTTGCTTTCATTAAGCCACATATTGAGCAATAAAAAGGAAAGGTTTTTACCTTGGAAAAAGTGCTACTGAACTGAAGACGTATGCATTTCACACAGCCTTTGTGAGCAGTAACTGTTTTCACTGGTGATGTCAGTTGTCTTAAGTCATACTGGCAGATCTTTCCCCGGGAACATCCTATAGCCAAAGTAGTACCATCAGGCATGAAGTCTACTGTTGTGAGAGGAAAATCAGCTACTATTGTTGTCAGTAACCTTCAAACAGGAGGAAGGACAGAATAAAGAAGCCTTTAGAGTTCAAAAGTTAGACTTTTTGAAACAGAACATCTAAAAAAACACTATAAAAGCTTTCATAATCCAGCTACAGGGCAGTAGTTCCACTTCTCCAGTGCCAAGTAAATTCAGTGAAATATCTTACTGAACAGTGGATTGGGCTTATACTAAGTGCTCGTACTTAACAAATTAAGGACTGCATATGCCCCAAAAAATTTCACCAGGACAGGACCAAATTGCCTTCATAACAGCAGTTCTGATACCCTTATTTACCAGTATCACCATTTCCAGCAGCAATCATACTACTTATATCCTCTAGCTTCCCAAGCCTATCAACTCTAACCTTCCCACAACTCTAGGAAGAACTTCAGGTCCTGGTTTGCGTTGTTCTCCTACACCCCTCCAAACTACAGCCAAACTTTTATTCAGCTAGAGTGGAAGGACAACCCATACTAGAACCACAGTCCCATGAAACCACTTGCCATCCTCCCCTCCGGTCCATCACCTACGCCCTATACTTGCTTTTTCAACCAATATTCTCCCATATGTAAGGCTCACTATCTGCGCAACTCCATGCACCACAGTTGGGTCTTGTATCTTGAACTAGAAAGGAGGAAAGCTGAGCTCGGGTGGCTGCACATCCTCACAGGCTGTACTGCCCCTCACAGCAGCTAATCACTCTGTATCGACAAGAAAAACCCACACACAAGCACTTGGGAGTGGTCACTCATCACTCTTACATGGCACCTCAATTAGTCCCCACATACCTTGGGTTTTTTGATTGATTGGGGGTTTTTGTTTGGTTGGGTTTTTTTAAATAAAAGAGCAAAATGGACTATGTTCCCCAGTAGGGACATGTCAACCACTTCAACCATTCTGAATGGGATCTAAATTAAATATTTCATATTGCAGTTAGGCATGCTTTTTCAGTTCATAAAAACCAAATAAGGATGCTATAAAAGCAAAGGTCTTTAATGTACTCACTTTTTACTTGAAGTGTCATAGAGAATAATTCTTTTATCCAAACCTACAGTTATAAGCAGCAGCTTATTGACTGGAGAAAAGCAGATTTCTGAAGCTGGTGCTTTATGAGTATTTTCAAAATTATGATATGGGTTCTGGCTATTTACATCCCACAGAGTTACAACACCACTGTCAGAAACACTGCCCAGCAAGGATTTCTTAAAGGATGAATATTTCAAGTGTCGAATAGGCTGTAAAACAGACATAAAAAATGAATTGTAATACCACTATTAAACAACATATTAAATTATTTTATAAACATACAAACACATTAGGAATACAGACATTACATTAAATTATAGTAATTTACAAAGGCTGGTCACTCAAAGAAAAAAAAAAAAACACATTAATTTTGCATCACAATGCCATTTTTGCTGTCAAGGGGACAGACTTCTTTTTGTGTCTACCAGTATGGGATATCATATGAACCAATCAGCAAAATGAAAGATAAAGAAAAAAAACAAGAAAACTTCTAGACAAGTGTCTTGATTTTTCAGCAAGTATCATGCCACCACACACACTTAAAAAAAAAAAAAACCAAACCTCATACCAAACAAACACCATACCACATCTAAAAATAAAGGAGTGAAAAGCTACATGATTTCATTGATTGGTCTCCTGCCAAGAATGTTAAACTTAATTCCCCTTCACTGATCCGAAGTACTTGGATATAAGCCAATTTGATAAGACATTTGAAAAACTCTGAAGTCTGTGTAAGTAAGTCCTTTAGAAGAACAGACATCACCTTGTGAGCTAGGGCCACAGAGGAGGATAATGTGCCTATTTATCACATGCAGCCTTGTTATCACACAACCATGTAATACAGGAACTTAATTTCTCTCTCAGAAGTAAGTATTTTGTTACCACCATATTGTTTCAGAACCTCATTCCTCACTAAATTACAATATTCCATTTCTAGATTTATTTTATTTTATATGACCCATTTGCACAAAAACTCACTCCTGTAACAATAACACCCTTACATTCAAAACTGTTTCCTAACTTCCCAGTGCTGCTTTTCCCTGTTTTAATAAACAGCCACCTCACCTGCTGTCAGGCTTTATTTTGCTATAAACAGTAGGTGAGTTTCAGTCTCCTAGGAATGTTTTTTCAGTACCATCACAGTCTCTTTGCAAATCTCCCAGCTTGAATCTTTCTTGAATACAGACAACCAAAATATTTTATTGTCCTCAAAACATTTTGCTACTGCCTTTGCAAAGGCAGTGATACTTTGTAAATACTCATCCTGACATATCCTAGATTGCATTTTCATTTTTGTGAACCAATCTGTTTTGGTTGCTCATTGCCATTTTATGCCCAAAAAGCACAAGTCCTTTTTTCCCTTGGGAATTTTCAAATCCTAGTATAATAAGAAAGTGACTTAAGTCTGGTACCTCAATTTCTATACTGTCATATACATCCCATGTATATTATTTCAATCATTTTTGCACACTGACACAATCCTCTCTCTTATGGGCAATATATTCCACCTGTGTCTCATCAAAGGTCTATTTCTCATATCATAAACATTACTGAAAATATTAAACAGGGTTTGCTACTGATAACCCAAACAAATAGTTTCTTCCGATATTACCTAGTGTCGTCTTTCCTATAGTCAATTTTTTTACCCATTCTCAATTCCTTTCTAACCTCCATCCTCTCTAATATTTTCTCACAAGGCACTGAATCAAGTGCTTTACTCAAGTCCAGACAGACGAGAGCCATTACATTTTATTTGTCTGAAAATGCTCTCAAAAAGCTATTATATTATTCTAGTATAGACCCCACCGCAATGCACTGAATTGGATTTTATCCTATTTCTCTCTTTAACTTCATTTTGATGGAGATATGTGTTGGTTTATAAGCCTCCAACAAGATTTCTAGCACTTGTATTGCATGTCTGGCTGGAAGCCTAATTGCTCCACGAAGTTGTGGCACCCTCAACTGCATATTCAAATAGGACAGAAGATGACTGTTATTAATTAATATGGTCCTCTATTGGACATGGAGACATTTTTAATCAGCATCTTTCAGTTTATTTACACTAAAGAAATAAATATTGAGAGACTCAGGAATAACAGCTTCAATTACATACATGATCTACATAACAAATATGCTTGTCCCTTACAGTTCTCTCAGTTTTTCACCTCCAAATGCCTTCCTTACTGCCCTGGCATCTGCTCACGCTCCATTTTCTCCCTCCTCTGTCAAGGAGACAGAGGAGGGAGAAAATCTGCCCACCAAGATTACTCTCTACTAGCTCTCCTCAAACCTCCCTTGCTATCCTACCAAGTCTCTAACTTCCTTTTCTCATTTTTCCTTCTAATCTCACAGGCCAAGGCAAGTTCTCTATTTTCCTTCATATACGTACCTTCCCCATATTACCTCTGTCCTCACTTCTCATTGAGGTCAGGGTGTTTCATCAGAGCAACTTAAGTTTAATTCCAGGCTGTTGATAAAGCAGGTGTGAGGAATCTCCTATTCACTGCTGACTTTCACTGAACTAGGTTAGCAACAAACTTCACTTGCAACAATGCAACTGCTAGATCAGGCTCAAGGAACAGAGGTGCTTAAATTTGTGCACACTTTTACGAGACAGTCAAATTCATCATATTGGCATCCCCGATGGCATGCTGCATGTCCAAGCTTCAGACTCTTGCCCAGCTGGAGGCACAGAAGAACCTCATTCCAGAAGTGAGTCACTTAATTTGACAATTTAAAAAAAAAAGAAAACAACCAACAAAAAACTCACCCACAAACCAAACAACTTCATCTGAGAAACATCTGGGTGAAAAAATATAGCTTTAAGCTTAGCACAGTGAGAAAGAGCAGACAACCAGGACTCATACAGGAAAGCATCATGTATTAAGATGCAGGTGGTCAAACAACATCACTTATAATAAGTCTTAGCTACATTTTGCTCATCTCCCACCCCATACATAAACAAAGATTCCTACCCACTACAGAAGACAGATCCAGGATAATCTAATGGTAGGCATAAGTCTGTTCCAATGAGTTAAAACCAAAACTTACCCCTTTATAATATTCCTTTTGCTGTAATTCTTGAGTTACTTTTCCAACCTCTCCCTTGATTACACTTATTGCCAAAGAGGATGGTAAAGTCAAAAATCATCATGATCAACCATGTGTTCACAGAGAAAATGTTACCTTTTATGTCACTGAATTTAACATTATTGTTTAACTGTGTATCCTTTTATGTTGTGTTATTTAAGAAGAGTCTTTCTATTTTCTTCAGTTCCTTTCTTTTCTCTTTATCAGACTTCCTCTCTACTTCTAATCCCTCTGTACCTCTAAACTTTTTTTTGAGCTGTCATACATACTATTCTAGATCAGAGTCTATCATCTATTTTTAATTTCAATACATGTTTCTTCATCTTATTTCTCATACTTTCTAATGTTCTTGTCTATGCTAGTGACAAGAAACTAACACACAGACACAAGTCTTCACTAAATAGTCTTAAAAAAAAACATTGATTTTCGCTTGGCATGATGAAGTCACACAGAGCTTCAGTACACTCCTAGTCAAGTTTTTCCCCAAAGCAGCTGAACTTCGTTTGTCATCTCCTGTCCCTTCGGTTATGGTTTAGAAACAAGAGTTCTGGTACTTGGATTTTGAGCACTAGGGCCTCCAGCTCAGTCTAGGTGAAAATAGCCCCAATACAGCTAGTTCCTTGGCCTGTTCCTCTTCCTTTGTACTGCCAGCAATAGGAATCCCAAGCCTAAAAAAGGCACACAACTCATATAATTTAACTGCAAGGTTTAGTAGTTACAAGAAAAAAAATTAGCTAAGAATGCGAGAGACAAGTTAAATGTTGGTACTTTTCTGAAAGGAAGCCCAGGAATGTTTACAGATTACAATTTCATCCACAGAATCAAATAGCAAAAAGTGTGTGACATGATTCATTGGGAAAAACCTGGCTAGGTAAGATACTTAAGCTTATCTGAGTTGGATCTAAGAGGATATTTAAGATAGCTTTTAAGTCAGCATAGCTCTTCACTAGGTGAAGCTCAAATACTAAAATCATTTCAAGATTATTGGGAATAATTTGGAAAGAGTTGTGTTTTGGAACTAACCTGTCAAGACTGAAAAAAAAAAAGTAGCAAATCTGAAGCAAATTTCACTACATCTTAGTAAGTACAACTCTTCATGATCTCTAGAAATTCTACACATACAAAATTGCCAGATACACATTTAGCACAGGGTGCTGAACCCACAAAGAGAAAATTAAGTCCTCTGACTGGCAAAATGTTAAAAAATGTAGTGCAAAAAGCCATATAAATCTTTTTTCTCTATCTCTGATTGGAGTGCATTTACTGTAGAAAATATATGTGCATTTTATCTTTAGGCTTCACAGTAAGACAGCCAAACAAGGAACAGTGCACTTAAGAAAATGGTTGGTCCACTGCTCAGAAGGACTTGTTACACTTAGGGTTTTTCTCTGCTGAAAAACAAGTGAAAGCTAAGCCAAAAGTAGTCTAGCATCATTGATTACCTTATTTAAAGATAGCACAGTTTCATAATCTCCTTTAAACCCTAGCGAGCCTTATAAGCAAGAAGGTGGATGTAAACACAGTTGATAGCCTTCAGCTTTTTAAAGCTATTTCACTATATGGAGTGACCAGAACTCATCAAGCTTCCTTACAAATGAGCCAGCTGTTCAAACAACTAAACTAAATCCCGTTGCTAGGAGAACAGCACCAGGCAGTGAAGACTTGAACAAACATTATGTTTCGAAACAAACCTTAATTCATCCTCACAACAGCAAGCAGATAAGAATCTGGTAGTCTAAATGAATACCAACAGCAGAGACAAATTATGGGATCTGCAAACAACTCTGTGCAAGAACTCAACTCTAATAAAGCACATAGGTGTTTCTAAATCAAAATCAATTAATAGAATATAGGCCAAAACTCATATGAAAAAAAAAAAATATGTTTAAAGTCACAGAAAGCACTGCAACCCTGGGCTATTCTACTATTTGTAGAGTCTATACAATATCAGAAATTAACTGGCAAGGAAACCACATTCCATCACACTGAACCAAACACAGCCAAGGTAAATTTTATAAGGTTAGTTTGACCTCACATTCCCCAACTGTAAAAAAGGTTACTAGGGAGTGGTGACCCTTACTAAAACAGCCAGCTAGTGGCAGGATCATGCAGGACAATACACTCTGTATCTATTCAAGCTTGCTCTTAGAGAAGTGGGCCCCTGAACTGTAAATCAAGTAAAGGCTTCCAAAATTTAACCAAATTACACAAGTCTTCAGATATTTGCTTCACTGCACAATTAATCCTGCAGTTCTCAACAAGTACCAATGAAAACCCAATAGCAAAAATAGAGCTATTTTTGCACGTAAGGGCATAGATAATTTTTAGGATATAAGATAAGCTGGCAAACTGGGACATCCATGTAGCCATCCCATTATACAATTACTGCTCGATTCCATTTTAAATTTGGGCTGCAATCAAATAACTGCCTCCCTTTAGAAAACATTATAGACCCTTTAGAAAGTGAACAGTAGCTCTGTGCTTGCAATTACTTTGATTTAACACTTCAAATATCTTTATCCATCTTAAAGGTCACTCAGCTTTCCAGTAGGCCTCTTGATTTCATCTGCCAGAATAGCTATTCACTGCATCACTTATTCCTAATCACTTTTTGCAGAAAAGAGTTGAATATATCAAACAGGATGATGCAAATCATCCTCATAAGAATTTTTTCATTTTCCATTTAAGTAGCAACATAGTCCCCACTCTGGATATTCACCTCAGATGTGTAATCCAGCCACGGATATCCCTGTAGCTCCTGCCTCACAGCCACGTTTTTTATAAGATCATAACAATCAAATCAGAAAAAATGGGCTGACTACATCGATGGGTTTTTAAGATCAAACCAAATATGAAGTACAATTTTGCTTCAATATGAGTATGAGACTACAGTGATGGATCAAAGACACTGCAGCACCTAAGAGCAGAGATAGTCTGAATTTAATAGAGATTTTTTCCAACAGAAAGTATACCACAATTCCCATGATGTTATAAAGTCATAAGATTCTTCATCAAGTTATATTGTTCACGCTAGACCGCAGAAAAAATTAACTTCACACTCTATCTGCAATCTAGCACTGAAAAAGCTGTTGCAGTAACAGAAAATGACTAAGTCACAGCTTCAGTATTCTCTGCAACATTAAAGGTCAGATTTAGGACCAAAGTAACAGTTCTGCATCCCCTTGGCAGCTTCTACCTCCGTAAAAATGACTCGGATAAAAAAATAAAAGATTGCCTAGAACAAAACCACTTGTCTAAGTCAACATTCACATTAAGAACACACACTGCAACTTCTGATGGGACAACACAGCTCATTTACTACTGCAGATGCCCTTAGAACAAGGGAATTCCCCTAATGGTACCTTCTAATTTCCCAACAGCTTCTGGGTCTCCAAAAAGGAACTGCAGTGGAAAACACTACCAAGAGCCTTAGGTAGCACAGATGCTTTGTGTTTATCTTTTGCATAGTTTTCCTTCAAACGAGTTATCCAAAATCTTACCTAAACACCTAAGTAGGTAATAAAAAATCTCATTGCTTTTCTCTTTGAGCAGCTGTGCAATTTTAATCTCCAGATTAAATACATTTGTTATTTCCAAATGCAGGCTTATATTCACCTGTACCGTACAGATGGCTCTGTTCAGTTGTAAATCTGATTAATTTGGATAAGTCAGAACACAGGCTAATGATCTTTGTTCTTTTCAACAATACACATTGAGTCACGCATTGAAATCCTACTTTGGTTTGTAAAGCCAACTCTTTTTTGTTCAAAGATGTGTAGTCATTTGATTTTGAGGAACCAGAGTCTACAATGCAAAATCTCCTGTAACATTTGTATAAGTAAAGGTACTTGAGAAATCTGTATTTCGATGTTACCTACTATTTAAGGCTAGAATACACACAATGGTCTGTTTTTCCCTTTCTGTGAGTGAAATCTTAAAAATTTAACGGAAACCAATTAACAAAACTTAAAAGCTCTTGATATGTACTTTCAACTTCTAAACACTGTGAATTAAAGCTTTATACTTGAAAAGGAACTTGTACAGATAGCCTACCTGACGGCTGTTATAACCAAAGGGAGTACTTGATAAATTAGTGGTAACACTGTGTAGGATAATTTCACCACTCAAAGATCCAGAAGCAACGTAGCAATCATTCCAATTATATGTAACACACGTGACTTCATCTTTATGATCCTGTGGGGAAGGGGTGTTAGAGAGAGAGCATTAAAGGCATTCAGGATAACCATATTCCTTCCTAATCTCTGCTTTTGCAGAAAAACTTCAGCTTGATGTTTTTTTCTGACCATCTGTTAAGATTTAAAAAGATTATTTAAGAGTTATTACGGAATACCACAGAAAACAGCAGCAGAACATACTGAAGACCAGCCATGGCATTTTAACCACTGTCTGATTATTAATTTATTAAAATGGTCTTCTGAAAACAAAGATGATGCTGTAAGTACATACAATACTTTAATAAGACAACTATAGCGGTATCTACCGCAGGTATCATTAATGTTATTTTAAAAGTAAAGTCTTCCCAAAGCAAGTGACACTTGAATACACTTTCTGTTAATCTGATGTACTACTACCAACTTCCCCTTCTGTCACTTTTAGTATTGACACATATATTTACCAAATAGCTTTTTAGCATAGTCATTCGCAATGATGATATTGTACTTTTCTGAATATATATGGGAAGACATTCAAGTACTTCTAGCCCAAAAAGGAGAAAATGATATTTAAAGTATTGTATTAGCTACTTAGTAGTTTTGTTTCCAACTGTAACTTTAAGAGTCCAAGAAAAAAAGAATAAATTAAAACTGAAGCTTTAGAGCCTCTTTAATAGTGGTTCTAAATCAGGGCAAATCATCTGCTGAAGGTATCATGGAAATATACCAGGCCATCCTAAGTTTTGTGCATCATAACATGGTTTTAGATAATTCATACTAGATCAGTTAGAAGACAACAACCATGTCCCAGTTTTGCATAACATTAGCTGTACTACAGTATCCTACAAACACAGAAGTTTTTTCTTGTTTGATATAATCAGAAACAGCAATTATCCGAAATGCTGCCCTTGGAAAAAAAAAAACCCCATCAGAGAACATCAGTACAAATTTGCAAAATAAGAAACCTGTTCTGAAAATTTAAACATACATTATTACAGAATAGTACTCTGAAGACATCAAGTTAAGTATGCTTGTTAGATTAGATTTGCTATTTACAGCACAAAGAACACAAACTTGAACAAGACAAGTGTTCTAGCTCCTATCTGTGAGTTTGACTCTACAGATACACGACTTAGACAAAGTGCATTTTTCACTGCTGGCAGCAAAACCTAGAAGTCATGAAAGCTATGGTTCCTCCTCAGACAAACTTACCTTAAGGCTACGGTAAAGCTTTCTGGATTTCAGATCCCAGATATTAACTGTGTTATCAAGGCCTCCACTCACAATATATGAAGAACTAGAATTCAAGCTCACATAGGTCTGTTTTGCCTAATTGAGAAATGAAAAAAAGTATGTTAACTAAGGGACTTATTCAAATCTACTTAAGAGCATACTGTTCTGTGTTTTCATTTTCGTTAACACAAACAGTCCCGCTGACTGATGGAACTATTAGTACGCTACAGTCATTTTCCACCAAAAGGAATCTAAAATCCAGTGCAGTTTGGACATATGGTTAATATACTTTAAGATCTAAATACATTAATTAATAAACTCTCAATTGCCTACCTTTTCCCATTTCAACTTTTTTTAGCATCTTTTCCTTCATTATGCATTTTCCCTTTAAATTATAGCTCCCTACAGTGCAATCATGGCCTTCTACTCAGGCACTGAGTTTTAAAAAGAAAATGCTAAGTTTAGAAAAGAAACTCCTTAAAAGAAAATCAAAAAGTTGCCTAAGTCATGTACTTCACATTCCCTAAACATTACAAAGAATATTATAGCAGCAAACCACGTAATTCAGTAAAGTGATTCTTTTTAAAATAATCATTGAAGTACAGCTTTTGAAAAAAAATGTCAATCTTACGTTGAGGACAAATTATTATTCAGTTCTATCATGTTGAAAATTCACTTTTAAGTTCCTCAGATTTGAATTAAGGAAAAAACAAGTCCCTCTAATTATTGACATGGTAAAACTGGAAATGATTGCATGAGTTATAAATCAGATTTAGTGAAATCTTCTTCTTTGAAACTGTTTGCTTCAGCAACCTATAAGACAGGTACAAACACCTTTTCAGAAAATTTCCAGTCCAAATTAGCATTACAATAGCTATCCAAGGAGAATAATTAGAATGGTCTAGAAGACTAACAAGTCATTCAAGTAACCATGTCAAGAGACCCTTCTCAAACTAGAGTCCAGCTTTCTGAAGAGTTCATAGGGACATGCATCAATTAAACAGGGAAAAAAAAAACAAAACAACCAGAATGTAGCACATGTACACTCCAGAACATCCTTTATATAGACTCTTAAGATTGTCAACGTACAATTCACAGGCATGCACAATACTGACAATTCAAGTTAGAAAACGAAGTCCAAAATTGAGCTCTGTTGTGTCGCCTCCAGATTAGACCACGTTTGAACCACTGATTGCCCATCACATTAGGCTCAACATGGCAGAAAGCCATCACATCAGATGCTACTATGACTGCATTTGTATTTTCATACTGGTATAACTATTTTAGAAGCACTATCGCCCCACCTTTATATGTATTTAACTATACACAAGGAAATGTTTTAACAGACATGTCATAACTCTAACAATGCTAAAATGAAATTGACCCCAATATGCCTAACAAGTGTGACACAAACAGTAGACAAGGTGGAGCGGGGGAGAAAAAAAACAAAGCCCCCAAAAAATGATAACCAGGGAACAGCAGTAGTCATACTTACTCCTTCAGCTATTTCAAAGACCGGCACAGGTTTGCTTTTACAGCTTGAAAGAACTATTTTATCACCAGCAGCAGAAGCAGTGGCCAGGTATCTGTCTTAGTCACACGTTACGGACCATAACTGTATTATACTGGTCATTAATAAAAGCAACAGCAAGTTTCCCTTACTGAACAGGAGACATATTGGTTAAACAGTGTAAAGTACTGTACCTTGAAGGGACCTAGAAATAGAAACATAAGGCTATTTTCTAGGCTTTCATTAAGAAGCTCTTGCATTAACTACAGCTCTTACTTCCCAATACAATGCAGAGAAATTTCTTTCAGAGAGAACAGTGGGAATACGTGGCAGACATTATTTAAGAGCTCTTTACTGCTAAGGCAGCTTATCCAGACTACGATTTTGTTTCCTCACCACCCCCAAGTAAAAGCCCACTTACCACTAGAGTTCAAAGGAATGTCTACTCCTGTTAGCAGACTATGGATTTAAAAAACAGACCTGTTTGTGAAAAATGTTAAACTACTTCAACATAAAGTTTCTAAAGTACAGTGAATGTTTTCTAATTTGTCTCCCTCTGTACTAAGGGAAAAAAACAAAAACAAAACCCCCAAAGGACCTTTCATGACACCATGTACCTCAAAGTAGTAAGAAAAGCCATCAGTATAGAACTACAGAGCAGTGAAACTCCCTCTGTACCCCCACCAAACTAATTATAGAATTAGTAATCTGTAGAATATAGTAATCTAATCTAGTAATCATTGAAATCCACATACTGTACATCTTCAGGTCAACGCCCATTGTGATTTTCTATTTGTTTATTTAAGAATACAGGTTAATCAGCTGGATTTAACACCAAAGAACTGGTAGGCATATTAGTGCTTGCTATTTCTTTCATTATTTTAAGGCATTATTTTATCTTACACAATTATGCAGAGCCAAAAACCAATGTTTTACCCCTAGCAAATTAACGAACATTTAAAAGCATATAGAGTCAGGTACTTCATTCTTTCAGTTTTGGGGGACTTGTTGAAAGAAAGCATGACATGACAACATAGATTGTATATAACTAAAGTTTACTAAACAATACATACATGTATATAATTTATATAGATATATATAATTATGCTTTAATTTCTCTGCAAGCGCCACAGCTAACATATTCATTTGTGCTCTTGATTGCTTTAACTTTTTCCTCATACATCCACTTATTTGCAGACTTAGAGGACAGACACAGTCAGAACCCGCAGGACGTAACTGTTATGTGCCACCATCCTGTCCTTCTTTTACATCAAGATCAGACATGGCTGCCTTTTCCCGTGACAGCCAAACAAGCTGCTCACCTGACAGTGCACTGTATTCATGAAATGTCTCATATTCACCGAACACCTGGCACCTCATATCAGTATCTTGTAATAGGCTTTTGAGACAGAGGTGAAAGGTCTAAATAAGCCAGATCCATTTTCATGCATAAATCACCACCATCCAAGGAATGTTTATCTACACATCCAAAACACTTGTGCTTCCTCTGCAAATGCTACAAACAGCACAAAGAAAACCAGTGCCTATAGAGTAAGAGGTAAGCATACACTATTGAGGACTATCAGAATCAATCCGAAGCTGTTCAAGTAAAACAAACAAAATCTGTCACTGTAATTTTTCTCTTTACGCTACGTATAGAATTTTACTACACTAGCAATTGCTCTGTTCAACCTTGTCAGTAAATTAAGCACTGCCTTGAAAGTGAATATTGTAATCAACTATTGAAGAAACAAATGAGTAAGCTTTACAGTTGGTAGGCAATCTGAGCATATCATAATCGTTAAAAAAGCATTAGCCTCCTAAAGGAAGAGAAACTGCTTCAGAAGCACTTACCAGGGGGAGTTTATTTTGCAAATCACTTCAACACAGAGAACCACAAGATTTTCTTCACAATATATACAAATAGCTTTATGCAAGACCTCAAAACCGCATCAGACCTGTGACTTACAGACACTTAACAAATTCACTAAAATTTTGCAAAACACCCACAAAACTATGGCTGAAAATGTAAAGGATACTATTGCTGGCCCAACACAGCGAGCTGACTGGATGTGTGGGTGTATGCGGGTTGAACTGCTCCAACACACTTAGAGATGAGGAATCCCATATTTTAATGTCATCTCCTGATGAAGCAAAACGTATGCCTTCTTGCATGGCTGCACCTGTTTTTGAAAAAAAAAAAAAAAAAAAAAATTAAAAAGCTTACTTATATATAAAAAGTACAAATATAAACCAGGCAACTTCACAAGTCAAAAATAATTTCTTCTATACCACTTAATATTGTTTTCTTGATAGCAGGACATTTATTTGGAGAGTTACACAATTAGTACCATTCAGCTGAAGATACTACTGAAAGCAGCAGACACTCCATGCTTTTGTTACTTGAATTCTTGCAGAAAGTGTATGCTTTCCTTTTCACAAAGGAAAAGCCACCCCCTCTAGAGTATCAAGAGACTAAAGTGATGCTTATATCTCCACAGAGTTTACAGCTGCCTGACACGAAGCCCCTGAGTATTTCAAGGATTCATTTCCCACCAGTAGATGGAGATATGCAAGCTAGAATCAAACCCACTATTGTAAGGGAAGGCTGGAAGTTTGGACCTAAAGGACTCACTTCTGCGTTCATCTCACCACCCTACAGGAGACGTCTGGAAATCCTTTAAACTAAAACTGTAACAGTAGAAAAGGAGGGACGATGAGTCACTTTTCAGCGCAGCTTACACAACACTAAAAAACAAAACGACCACCAGCAATAACGTACTAATATTTGTTTTAACTGACACCGTGTTAAGAGTGAGGGCCAGGCTAACCGATTCCAGGTTTGTAAAGTTTCTTCTCAGCTTTTTACTCTGGGCAATTTTAAACGAGCGACAAACAAGGGCTGGAAAGGTACGCCGTTCCCTCCCCTGAAAGCAGAAACACCCTGTAGCCAAAAGTTTCCGGGACGTTCATACACCGCTTAAGGCCACTAATTGCCGCTGCCGAGGGCGGCTGGAAGAGGCGCGGAACACTGACAAAACCGCTCAGGGAGCTCCAGCTCCACACCCGCCTTCGCTGGGCGGTTGCCCAAGGCATCAGCCCGCCGGGGTGCTCCCCGCTCCCTTGCTGCTCCCCCCGCCTCGCACGGGGCTCCGCTCCCCGCTCCACACCTTCAGCCCCCGGAGGCCGCGGGACGAGCCGCCCCACGCCTGAGGGCGCCGCCACCGCCCAGCCCCGGCCCCGCTCCCGCCAAGGCGCGGCCCCACCGAGGGCCGCCACAGCCGCGCTCCGCGCCCTCCCCGCACACCGCCGGGACGCTCATCTCCCCCGCCGCCGTCGCCCACCTGTGCGGGCGGGCAGCGGGCCCGGCCCGAGCCCCTTCCCCTCCCGGCCCGGCGCCTCCTCAGGGATCGGGCCCAGCACCCGGCGCCGGCCGCTGCGATTGGCTGAAACCCTTCTGCTCCCAGTTCTCTACGGGGTCCGCCAGCACTCCCGGCCAATGAGCGCCTCCCTCGCGGCCCCACTTTCCGCGCCGCATCCAACTTAACAGCCCGTCCCAACAGCCCTCGCGCGCCTCCACCTTCCCCTCCCTCGGCGGCTACGGTGGCCCGGAAGGGGAGAGGGGGAACGGGGCGCGCGCGCGCTCATCCCGCAGCTGGCGCCGGTTCCTGCGCTGAGGCGGCACCCGGGGCCCTTGCGGAGGCCCGGCCCGAGGGGCTCCCGTAGCGGCGGGGCTAGAGGAGCCGCCCGGTCGGGGCCTGTGGGGAGGCGGGCGGCTGAGCAGTGCGGGGCCGCTCCGTGGGCGCTGCTGAAGGAAGTGGGAGCCAGCCGCCTGCTGAGCCTTAAAATCCCCCGCCCCGCCGTAGGTTCGCCTCGATGGCACCGGGTCCGGTATCTGCCGCCTCGTCAGCTGCAAACTGGGATGAAGGGCTGTGTAAAGCCCATCCAGAACAGCCGGTGCCCTTCACTGGGACAGCTCGGTGACAGAAATTAACAAATAATAGGAGTAAATGCATCATGAGAAGTTCCTGAGCCTGCCAACTGCAGACCACTTTAATGATGTCCCCAACACACCTGTGTGTGCACCCCCACGTGCTTTTACATTCACTTCCAGTAGCTGATCAGGTGACAGAGTTGTCACCTCTGTGTCCTGACTTAGGTTACAGCTGTTATTCTTGTCATGATAAATTTTGTAGAAGGAGGGATTTGATTTGATTTTTCATCTGGTAAGACAAAAGCTAGCTTTTCTTCAAAGGTAATTTGTGTTTTCGCTGTCACTGCTCTCTAAACCTAAGTAGAAAAGATGGTCTTTAAAGGGATATTGGGCAGTAAAACTGTAGCAGAACTAAGTGTTCCTGTAGAAATCTGGTTTCAAATGAGTCTTTATCTTGTGTATGGCCCTCAGAATTGGTAGATCTGAAATTCCCCGTTTGCTTTCCTTTGCCCAATGGAGTTTTGATTTTCCAAGTTCATTTCAGTTCTAGAAGTGAACTCAGAATCAGGAAAGAAACTCTTGTCACTGTTACACACAATGCCGTTATTACTTCCCTACAGCAATGAGGATCATGTCTTTATTGCATCTATTCATCCTGATTAACCTATTATTAGTCATATCATCTGTCTTGTGGGCTGTTTGAGTGTTGGGGGACCTACAGCATTCCTACGAGTCTTCTACCCCCACTCCACTTTATCGTCCTAATTTGCTTTTAAACCAGCCATGTTTCACTTCTAAGGCCAATGCCTGTTATTCTGTTCTGCAAATCTTCCATACATTGAATCAGAAGCTTTTTCTTTCCCATAACAATATCCTCTGGCTTTTTCTTCTGTATCTATCTCCTCACTTTGGAGTGTAACTGTTTACAGACAGGTGAGTACCTGCCTTCCAAGCCCTGAAGCCTTGAAGTTCAGCAATTAGAATTTTTGGGGTTTTTTAAGTAAATAAGACCAGCAATTTTGCTCTGTGACACACCCTCAATTAAGTGTGTTTTTTCCTGCTGCTGGGAACTTCTTTGGCACTTTTTTTTGCCAGTGGCTGTGCTGTGTTTCTTCTTGGTGTTTATAAGAAACCACTGGGACATCCTGATGTATCACCTTTGGGGAAAGGATGGCAGGAATAAGCCCAGTTTCAGGGCAGAGCGGTGCTGCCCCTGAAAAGGCTGGGGCCCACCTGTGCAGGGCAGGGCTCTCCAAACAGTTGTGCCAGGCTGCAAAAGAGACTCCCTGAGAAAGTTCCCTGACATCCGAGGTAGATGGATGTGGTTTGGAGTGTGCATTGCAGGTGGAAGGGAAATCCTCTTCACAGAGCTTTCCAGATAAAGGAGAATTGGGAAATCTCTGGGAATCTCAGCCAAATATGTAGCATATGACCAAGGATTTCATACAGGCCTCCACCAGGAAATGAGGAACTTCCATCTGCAAAATGCAGGATGCTTCCTTTCATCAAGCTTTTTGCTGCACGCACATTCAGATTTTAAAACAGTTTAAAATGTCTGATCAGTTTCCTACCACTGAGAAAAAATCACAACTGACATATATATATGTATATATAGTGATGTCTATAGAGTGATGTAGTGTAGAGAAATGCAGCCCAGGCAGGACAGCACGTTCTTCTGGATGTCTGGCCAGGAGCCAAACCAGCCCTGAAGGTGCAGGAACTCTTTCCAGGGCTTCACTTTCCACACCGCTGTCCTGTGAACAGCCCGGACAGACCACAGAGCCGGATCCATCCCCACGTGAGGATTTCTTATGTCACATATTCTGGTTTTCTACTGTGTGACACTGAGATTGTTGGTGTAATTTGCTTCAATACGTACCTTTTTTTTTTTTTCTTTGCACATTAAGTAGAATCCTAAATCATGCTGACATGGGAGACAAATGAGAATAATTCTAATTATCTCTGGGGTTTCAAAGTGGAAAATTAAATTGCAGTGGTAAATATTTGACTTCAGCACTTGCCTCTGGACCCTTTCACCCGCTCTATTTTAAAGATTAACCTATGCTTCATATTTTCAATTCTCTCATTTGATGATGTACTCAGTATCTTTAACTCAAAGAAAATCTTTGGCAAACATAAATGGAACTCTTTGCTGGCTTAATTAGTTCAGCATATTAGCCTGTAATTCCAACAATTAATTCTAGTTCCATCATTACTCTTTTTAAAAATCTTTCTTCTTGGATTTCACTGAAAATGGATTTGGAAACAAATGACTATCCCTTTTACATTGTGTCTCAATTGAATAATAACTTAAATTCCCTGCCTCTTTCATTCAAGGATCTGAAAATATTTTCCAAATGTTGATGCAAAAAACATCAAATCCCCCACTGATGAGGGGATTACTGTTATCTTCAGATAAAGAAACTGAGGCACAGTGAGGCTAATTACTAGGATTATTTTGTTAGATTGATGTCATCCAAAAAATGGATAAATACTTAGTCCAAACAAAAAATGAGAGTAAGCTAGAGCTGTAACAGAGTTCAAAAACCAGTCACATACAATTGAATAAATCTGTGTGAAATTACTAATTTCTACATCATAAAGTTAATTTAACCAGAAATAATTTCAGGTTGCTCTATATTTGTAGGCATGAGACAAATCCTGCAGATGCCTTGAATATACAACTCTCTATCAAGGCAGCAATATAACTTAAAACTATATTGAAACAAATTTGAAAAATGAAGTATTCTAAAGCCCATTCAGCCCTGTCAATGTTAAGCACCCTGTTCAATTTCAATTTGAGCCCTAGCACATCCTTGATGATGCAGTTATTAATTACAGGACCAGAAGCTGGTTTGGTTCTCAGGCCGCTTACTTCATTCAGTTCACAGAACAGACAATACCAAAGGAATTTAAAAGAAACAAACAGACAAAAACCCCGACCAAGTTTTACTGTTCTTTAGTTTCCCATAGGATCCTTCTTCTCCCTCATCCCGGGGATGCACTGAAGAGAAAATGTCATTCATTTCAGAATCCTTTCTGTTTGTTCCCACAGTGAGCTCGCTCTCTCTCTCCCCTTGCCCCATCCCAGAGCTTATCACAGATTCGGAATGGAGAAATGTTTCAGTTAAAATTTAAAAAGAATTGGTGAACATGTCTGGTGGTTCAAAGCTGTGGTAAGTAGCCCTTCGGTGGTGTTGCAGGGACAGATCACGGAGCAAACCTTCACATAGCCAGAAGGCTCTCCCTTACATTTGAGAGTGTGAAATCAAAGAAGGGCCCTTCCCCTCTTCCTTTTTAATTTTGGAGACAGTGACACAGACAAGTATTCTATAGAAACTCAATTGAGCACGGTGCTGACACAAATTTATTCTAGTCTCGCATATTGAAAGCTTTAGTCTGCATTCAATGGTAAGGAAAAACCCACCCAAACTACTATAATACATAAAACAAGAAGCAATTTACTTTGCAATTAGCTTTATCTTTTTTTTCTGTGCAATTACTGGAGATGTTTAGATATGAGCTTTCTTCTTTACAAGCAGATTTTAAATAAAGAGCTTAATTATATGCTAAAAGAAAAATGTTTTCTCCCATGTTTTCTTCTGAAGCCTGCATTGAATACTTAATGCTCTGTTTATAAGAGTAAAATCTGCTGCTATGGATACAATGAGGTCAACACTTCAACATTATTATTTTACAGTGCTGTGTTAAAGGATGCGGTATAATAATATTTTTGTTGCACCAAAAATATCTTAGAAACTGCAATGTATTCTAAATTCATATGTAAAGTATTTTATTTGATATTTCTCTTTGAAGTAGGAATTATGACAAGGTCCAGAGTGGCAGCACTGAAGAAACACCTCACTTGTAATGGAACTTTACTCCCATTTTCCCCTGATGCTATAGAGTGTTTTACAAATATTAACTAAGCTGCACAAAAGTCCTATGATAATCCTCAAGGTGACCCCAAAAAGAAAAAGAAAGGTGTTTTACTTTTCACAAAGCATAGGGAAAGACTGAATAGCTTTTCCAAAAAAAAAGCTGCAATTTTCTACTTGTTCTGTGTAAAAGAAAAATGAGTAATGTCAATTTTTATCTCTCCTGCTTTTTGAAGAACTGCAGAACAATAAATTCTTTTAATTGAAAGAATAATGCTAAGGAATGTCTCCTCCAAACTGGCTGTTCAGCAGTTGAGTTAAATAGCCATTCTAACTCAGTTTTAAAATTGTCTTGCAAAAATACCTTCCCTATCAATTACTCAGTTTTTACTTTCTTTTTATCATCATATCATAATCCCTCTCATATTCCTACAACTTACAGCGTTCCAGAAAAGGCTACACAAAATAAAAAACAGCTCAACTTTTAAAAAGCTACACATAACACAAATACAACCAGTCTCCTTTCCTATATAGGCATAAAGAAAAATAGCAGAAAACCTAAGCCCATTTCTTCCTGTTACTGATCACATTTAAGATACTCATTACGTTGAATCTTTTACCTCTCTCTCTCTGCCTCTGTAGAAAAAAACTTCACTGATAAACCAGGTAACATTTCTCTGAAAAGCACAAACCAAAGTAAATCTGGGATTTCCAAAGAGCTCAAAATATTTTATTGTTCTGTCACTGGGCTAGAGCACAGTGAGAGCCTGACTGAAGGGAAAGGGGCTGGCGTTTCAACCCAATAATTTAATTTTCACAGAAACTGAACCCAGGAATGGTAACTATGGGTCCTGAATCTTCACAGCTGCACAGAAGCACAGCTAGTGGCAGGACAAGTCTCACAGGGCTCCTGCCCAAAAATCCTGGGGCTTTTTCTGTTTTTCGCAAACAAATTACTAGTGAAGAAGTGCCTGGCCTTATGGTGTGAGCAAAATCAGAGCCGTGAGGTCTCGGACCTGAATCTTTCTGCATTCTCCTCTGTGGCCTTGTTCAACTAACTCACTTTTTCCTGACAAATTTCCCATCTCTGACACACATGTTTCCTCAGGTGCCTATTGTTAGTACTCATTAGGGTTTCTTCAGTGCTCTAAAATAATATTTACAATATTTACAATATTGACAACATAAGCAGAGGTTTTGTTAGCCTTTTAGAATGATGTCCAAAATTGTTCTATATATTCTATATATGTTCTATATGTATTTTATTTTTCAAATTGTCTTTTTTTCAGACAAATGCTTTGAAATTATGGAGACATCTGAATGATCACTTTTACCCTCAACAACCTGTGATGGGTTGTTCTTCAACAAAAGATAGAAAAGTCTGAAATGCTGGTTTCCAAATAGAAGTGTCAAAGAACAAACTCAGTGATGACTTTAGGCCAAAAAAAATAATTCTCAACCTCAAAAATAAAACCAGCTCTTGATAACTGTGAAAGCAATTAAAAACTTGCTGATGAGAATAAAACTTCAGTGAAAAAGCAGAATCTATTAGCAGATGCTAGAAGTCTACAAGGCTGTTCAGCTTTTCTAAACAATAAGAAATTATTGAAAAGCTAGAAAACCCCCAACAAAGTCACTTAATTATAGATGACTGAATAAATCAAATTTTTAATCCTCTTAAGAAACTACTTCTAATACTTTTAATTTCTAGAAATGTATTGCAATTTTAAAAACTATTAATTTTTAAATATTGCGAAACAAGCTAAAATAATCAAAATTTCAAAACACAGTAGGAGCCAAATCCTGATGTGATTAATGAGGTTGTTTCATTAGCACCAGAACTTAAATCCAAATCTATAGCACTCAGCAACTGATTAAGTTATTGCAAAAATAGAATTTAGGGAAACAGAGAAATGATCCAATTGAAAAGACTTTCTTCAGTTATTATACATCCATTGGCAGGATCAAACATATCTTCCAAACTTGCTATTGATTGCAAAGTAACATCAAACGGGATCTAAAACAAACAAACAAACAAACAAACAGAAAAAAAAAACTGCATTAAGCTTACAGGTACGAAAAAATACATACATACAAATAGCTCCATATTAAAGCCAGATTTCTGACCCACACCAGTGAATAAGTTAGAAATACTCATTGCCTCTATAAAATCTGTGGTTAATGACAATTCTTGCAGGAAACTACTAAAACAGGATTAAGGGAAGGAAATTTCCATGAACAGCCTTGCTCCTGTTTGTCTGTAGGTAAAATGAAGATAGCAGACAAGAGCAGCAAGAATTACTAGTAATTTGGAAGGCTTTTCCTACAATCAGAAGTTGAAAGAATTGAGTTAACTGTAAAAGGTGAAATAGCAATGATAAACCAGTTTGTGTGTCCGTTGGACATGGACAACTATTTAGCTGACTTAGATACCAAGAAAAACTGACTAAAGGAAAAGACGCTTGGAACAGGCTAACAGGGAGGTTTACTTTTAATGGAATTATTTTATTTGTAAATTTACTTTTAAGAATGGAACTCCCAAAGACTATGCTTTATGATCTCCCTCAAGAGCATTGCTATTCATTAGCTTTAAAACCAAGCCAGCTGATCAATTTTTATTCTTAAAACATGAGCAGTCAAATAATTTTACATGAATAATTCAATAAAAATGCACTTTTCCTACTTAGAAATATAATTCAGTGCTGAATCAAAAGCACCATAAGACACATGAACAGAAAAAAGAGGATCAAAGAAGAGAAGCTGGAAACATGATAGGAGTTAAAGTGTGACAGCTCAGAGAATGAGAAAACAAATACCACAAATTAGAACTGAATTTGTCCAATTAATTCACAAGAAGACAAGCAACAAAGAAGTGCGTGATGGGGAAAAATTATGTAAAACTACCTATAAGCAATGTATCTGCTGCCTTCTCCTGCATGCACTGCATGCACTACTCTATGGTATGTGATGATCCCACTCTGAGCTTTCCACTTCTAGCCAAGAAGACTGGGCAATGCACACATACAGCTTATTTGAAAGTTTGGAAATACTAATTAGAAATAAGCTATAGGTAATGAAGTGCTGAATGCTCTATAAGTTCGGTGGGCTTCAGAGAGGAACGAAGATACTCAGCATCTTGAAGGGTGAGGCTTCACTTGCTCAACCAAATCTGCCATATCTGATAGGATCTTAGTTTGAAGTCTCTGTCTGAAATTTTGTGATAAAACCATTTTTCCACCTCTTCAAACATTTTAGCTTGTTGTGGCATTTAGCCAGAATAAAACAGAGCAGTTAACATCATAGTCTTACTGGAAAGATGCCACCGAATCTGCTCCCTCATTTTCATCATAGACCCAAAGAAAGAAGTAGGCAAAGTGAGGAGGGATTCATAAGAATTTAAAACAGGCCCAGGAGGCCGATGTGATTCTAAGGAAGCTCAGCTGTACCTTTTCCAGGTATCTGTCAAATCCCTCTGCCGTGGAGGATGTTTCAGTGGGATGTTTCAGTATGGCTTTGCAAAATGAATGTCTATGTATTTTGATGCATTGCTAAAGCCAGATTGAGTGATATGAAGGTTTGGGAGTCATTTGGGAGGGACCTTCAGGATGGATAACAGGCGTTGGCAATAATGGTGCAAAAGGGATGGTGTAAATAATGGTGTAAAAGGGATGTATGCACCCCTGGGTACAAGACTGCAGGTTGCACTGGACAGCATTACAAATTCTCTCTTCTATAATGGGCCCCTAGCCAAACTGTTCTGATAAGTCTTGTGATTCTCTTCTGGTAGGAAGAACTACCTGACTGGAAGAGTATAGTGGATGCCCTACCCATTATAATTCCATTGTGACCAATTACAGGCAAGATATCTGAGAATTAGCAGCAGGTTTGACGTGTTACTGTGGATTCCATAATCTTCCTTGGAGTTCCTTGAGCCCTGGCAGCTGTGGTCCTCTCCTGATCCCCACAAAGTGGCTGAGAAAGCTGAAGAGTAGTGCTGCCTGCTGCGGCCAGTTCCCATAGTCTCCTCTGGGATACTGACTACAACTGGGTGATGAGGTGAATACAACAGCATGGACAAAAAAATGGCACGCTATCTGTAAGGACATGTCATGGGCAAGGCAGAGAAAGCTAAAGAAAATAGAAGGAAAGCTTGAATAACTGCAGAAAAACACAGGAAATTGCATTTGGCAATTGCATCATGGAAATTCACTGGAGCCTGTGTAAACAATGACCAGAGAATGGGGGATAAACCAGATGAATCCATTGTGAGTGAGATTCATTTTTAATACATTTTTCTATGTATAAAAAGGTGACTTTAATGAACAGTGAAGATATTCACAGTTTGTAATCATGCACACTGGTATTTTATTTGTAAAGATGAAAAAATAAAACCCAAACAGAAAGCCCAACAAATGTATAAGAAAAAAATGGGAAGATTCTTAGTGGTATAATCCATGTTTCAGTTTAACTGAACAATTTCATTGTATAAAATGGATTTTTACTATTAATGAGAATAGCATACCTCAGTTAATGGCAAGGACAAGGCTGGAACAACAGACAGCAGTGCTTTGACTTCAGATAAACACCTTTTCACCATTTCCTAATGGTATAAAACAAGAAAAAAAATAATGCTTATCAGCCTCCTCTGATAAGCTAACAGATGGCTTGGCTTTACAAAATTTTTCAGAACAATCAAGTTTTAGGTTATTCTAGTTGAATTCACAGCAAAATAAACCTCAGCTGATGAATATAAATTTTGTGCAACACAAATAGTTGTGTTTGCTGTACAAACACAAGTGCCCAAACCTTGCAGTTTCTACTGAGGCAAAATTGCCCCTGGCTCAGGTATTAAATCCAGTGAGCAAGCATACTTTTGCTACGTGTTTACTGAAGACATTCTAAACAAACACTCTGACAAGATGATATTTATACACGGCGTGTTAATCTTATTAGTATTCTAAACATTGTTTTTCCAATTACTGACATATATTAATGAAAGTTTGAGCAAAACCCTTCAGGTAATCAGAAACACCCGCTAACGGACAGATCTGTCTACCCTCCTGAAAACACTGTGATTGGCCAAAACGTCATCTGTTCTCCAAGCTGGTCAAAATACAGCCTGGTAATAATGGCACAGTGCACAACTGTCACTGTTTCACAGCATCCATCAGACAAAATGACAGCCCCTACATCATTAATCATTTCATATAATAGATATAAAGAGAATCCTGTCACATGATAAATGTCTCCCACTTTGAAAATAAACGTCTACTTTGCCTTGGCATTTATCAAGCAGCAGTTATGCTGTGGCAACATTCTATTCCAATGACATTATCTCAAGCAGAGCACATGGAAAATTCTGAAATTACCTCTTTTGTGCATGTATGTGGGGGGAGTTATTTGGTTGCGGACCATATTCAGCCTTGCTAATAAAAAGAAAAGAGGAAAGTGGCGTAGAGAAAATGAAAATAAATTCACTGCCAGTTTTAGTCTTCTTTTAATAATGTTATTAGAAGTTTCTTATTTCAGAAACCATCACTACCCATTATGTATTGAAGATCTGTAACTGATTTTTAAAAAGCACTTTTGGGTTGATTGCCATGCTAATTTAACACTATGCCAAGCATTTCCAGTTGTAGATTACTATAAATTAGGCATCAATTTTCAAATCTATGTACCTGAAGATGTAGGCTTTATTTTCAAGTGGAAGGTTGAAGATGCCTGATATTTTTTGTAAAGTGACAAGCAATAATAAAGAAAAGAAAAAGTTAAAAAATAAATGAAAAGTGAAAATATTTCAACATTTCTTGAAAGGGGTGAGGGAAATTTAATCATTTATGTCTGCCTTCCAAGTTACCTGTCATTTATTTCCCAAAAAGACATCTTAAATAAATGGCTGTCAGACATATTTAAGAGCAGAACTGTTCTTACTTACTTCTGTTTTTTCATCAAGATGTATTTTTGCAACATTCATTTGGGATTTTTTTGAAGGATTTCTTTTCAAAGTTTCACTTTCTTCAAGAAAACTTGCAGATTCTGAAGCTGAAGACAAACTTTTAGAACTTTGCATCAACATTTCTACTTGCTGCTTCAGATTAGATAATTTATCCCGTAAAGAAATAATTCTGAAAGAAAACGAGATTTCTCATTGTTGCTGTTACAAAAGAACAATATTTGTTGTTTTGAGGCTATATTTAAAATGTCCTGGCTTTTATTACATATTGATTAGGTTCTAAATTTTCTTTCATTTCAAGGAATAATTTTACAAAAAGAAGTTTTCCATTTAAGAAAGTGGAATTATGAGATGCATTATTTTTTAGCCTTAAAAATGATATGAAGAAGTATTTTAAGTACAGCTCTCTAATGAAAGATTTTCTCATCCAACCAGCACAAAGTGGGCTGACAGCCTAGGTGGCTGGGGCTGCATTTCTTCTTGGTCTGTTATTGCTTCCCCTCCACCTGCTCAGCAATTCCAGAAATTTTGGAGCTGGATAAGTGGCAAGGAAGAAGTAATGAAAAACACCGTAGGATGTAAAATGAAGGGCTGAGTCTGGGGCTACAATTGAGACGAATTCTTCCATGCTCAGAGTTGTAATATGGGATGGAGAAAGTAGCTGATCCAGTGACAGAATGGAAATAAATGCTGGGACTGCCTCTTATATTTGTTTGTTTTTTCTTACAGTGCTATGGCAGTGTAATATAATTAGCCTGTGTTATTCAGATCTTTAAGAACCAAACCTAAATGCTAATGTACTGAAAGGGCATATGTTTGAATGGGTTTAATGCTGTGTACAACATCTTACAGTTCTTATAGTGAAAAATCTCTGAAAAGCAAAAATGTATGTTTTTAAAGACTTAGAGCTCTTCAATACTTTGTACTTTATTTTCTCTCATCCTAAATGGATGACTGATCTCTAATATAGCATGAAATAACAGGATAAAGTCAGTGATTATTTACTTAGCCAATGGAATCCACAAGTAGCCTGAAAACACAGACATTGAACTGAAAGTCTTGACATTGCTAATCTTGACAGGCTCTGTATTATAAGCATAAAGCAGCAAAACCTGTAAAAGAGATGGAATAGGTATATATAGTATATATATATACTACTATAATATAGTATGGTATAGTAGACCTATTTCAGTAATGCTAGATTATAATAGCTATCAAATACAGTCTACTGATGAAAATTTAGATAACTGACTTTGAAAAAAAGGGAGGAATGTCGCTACACATGGATTCATACTGTCCTCAGTTTTTACAATTGCTAAAACAATTTAATTATGGAAATAATTTAAAGGAGTTTGAAAATCAGTTATACCCTATACAACCACCACCAAAATCCTAGTCTGTCCTGATCTTGGTCAATCAATTCCACTTAGGCTCATGTCCAAAGCTCCAACTTCAGGTAGGCTGAACAGAGAGTTTTTACTGAATTTCCAAAGGCCCTATGTAATTAGTTACATTTGCTAACAGCCTTGTGCATGGCTGTCATCATACTAGGTTTAAATCCATGAAGTGCCCATAACTCACCAATCTAATAAAGCTGTATCAGTATATGAGAACAAGAAAATGAAATAGAATTCTCTCATCTTTCACTGAATTGATTTGCGATTATTACTGAAAATATGCTTCCTAGTGGTAGCTGAATATTTTGACTATATGAAGAATGTCAAGAATATGGCATTCATATATTATTTGTTTTCAAGAGCTGTCTCTGGATCTCTAACGATCTGTAAGGTGATGCTAAAGTAGCCGGCAAAACTATATTGAAAAGTACTTTATTTGCACTAATTACACAGGGTTTCTATCAGCTTACTAATAGAGATCAAAAGGATCTAGTGGAAATTTTGACAATGATCTGCTATGCCAACAGTTTTGGAAATCATGGATTTCTATTGCAGTAGCAGACATTTTACCTACATGCTGTTCCCTTGTTTTAAAATAAAACAAATTCCATGTCCTAGTCCCTTGCTTTCCTTCAATGCTCTAATCTCTCTCGTCTTTCATGTTTAGTCTGACTTCTTAGGGAACAGAGGTTTACAAAATCCCATTTTCCCTGTATATTTATATCTTTGCTTTTCTGACAGTGTCCCACCAAAGGGTATTGTTTGAATGTATTGGTTAGCTCTAACCAAACTTAAAGAGTTAAGGTCAAGAAGTGGGCCCATGTGAACCTCATGAGGTTCAACAAGGTCAAGTGCAAGGTCCTGCCACCTGGGTTGCGGCAACCCCCAGTATCAATACAGGCTCCCAGGACAAAAGGATTGAGAGCAGCTGTGCAGAGGAGGACCTGGGGGTACTGGTGGATGAAAAGCTGGACATGAGCTGACCAATATGTGCTTGCAGCCCAGAAGGCCAATCATATCCTGGGCTGCATCAAAAGAAGCATGGCCAGCAGGTTGAGGGAGGGGATTTTGCCCCTCTGCTCTGTTCTGGTGAGACACCACCTGGAGTGCTGTGTCCAACTCCAAAGCCCACAGCACAGGAAAGACATGGACTTCTTGGAGTGGGTCCAGAGGAGGACCACAGAAATGATCAGATGGATTAAACATCTCCCTTATGAGGACAGGCTGAGCGAGCTGGAATTGTTTGGCCTGGAGAGGAGAAGGCTCCAGGGAGAGCTTATTGCAGCCTTTCAGTACTTGTAGGTACTGGAGGTTTATAAGACAGATGGGAACAGACTTTTTAGGAGGGTCTGTCGTGATAGGACAAGGGGTAATGGCTTCAATCTAGAAGATTTAGAGTACAGATAAGGAAACAAATTTTACCATGAGGGTGGTGAAACAATGGAGCAGGTTGCCCCATCCTTGGATACATTCAAGGTCAGGTTGGACAGGGCTCTGAGCAACCTGAATTAGTCGAAGATGTCCCTGTTCATTGCAGGGGGGTGGGACTAAATGACCTTCCAACCCAAACTGTTCTATGATTCTATAATTCTAAGACATCAAGGACCTGCAAAAGGCATGAACACAACATGGCCTGGAAGCTCTATATGGTCAACAAAGTCTTTCTTTGGCCTGCCACCAAAAAACTGTCGGGCATTCTGTTTGTCCTACATAGCAGGTTTGTGGCAGACTAAATAGATAGCCTCTGCTGTCCAGCTTGCCAATCAGCATATGTATAATTCAATAAAAAGCTGATCAGTCAGAACACAAATATGCATTGGAAATGAGACCTAATTTTTCCAGTAGCTAAGGAACTGCCTTGGTATAGTTATACCTTAGTCTCTGTATCGTTTGATGGCTTTGCCAGGGAAGGAATGTACCACTGAATGTTAATTTCCTTATCTGAAGCATTTGCTGCCCTGCTCTCCCTCTGAATGTCTGCTTCTGTGATGACAGAAACTAGAGAAGCTGTTCTCACATGTGACGTATTTGATGTAGTTCCAGTAATTTCAAGAGACATCTGAAAAACAAAAGAAATTTTTTAATTGTATTTTTTCTAGTGTAACATGCAGAATCTGCTATAATCTAGTGTTTACTAGAATCAGAATGACTTTCACTCCTGCACAAATATGTGCTTATTTAGATAAATGGGTAATTTTAAAAGGTGTCCATTTTAGCAAGTTATGGCTTTTCAAAGTTCACACGATGAGACACTTCTAAAGGTAATGCAAAGGACCTCTGGTCTGACTTAGAGACACCTAGAGTAACAATGGTTATTGCCTTTGACTTACCTTCCTTATGGCATTATGTTTTTTGCTAAAATATATTATTTGACATGCCAACCGTTCAAAATTTAGTGCTGAAAAAGTAATTTGTCTGCTACACATATTGATAATTAAAGCAGTAATATGAATGCTAGACTAATGCTTTAGTTATGTTTATCTATTTGTTTTCTCATTAGCTGTGCAACTAACAAAGGGTGATACCTACTGAAAATTCAATCATTTAACTTGTGAGGATTTGTCATATGTCATATTTGCTAAAATGTATATGTGACATTAGCAGGCTATTCATCAAATAGTTACTGTCTGGCCATCATTTACCAGGGAAGCGATGGAGGAATACTGTCAACCAACATTCATTGATGAGTAAAAGCCTTTTTTAAAGTTGTAAAATATTGTATTTAAAGGCTGAACCAATGCTATACCATTTCTACTTTTTGAAGTGGTATGCAGATCTGCAAAGAACAGAGGAGGCCAAACAGTGACATTTTAGGAGAATGCTGAAGCTACTTGAAAAGGTTGTTAGTGTCTCCATTATTAATTCCAAAATACGGATACTGAAAACGGCAAAGTTCTTTTTTAATTTTGCATGTTCATTGCTGAAAAAACTGCAGAATTTTACCCACTTTATTTTCAGGAAATGCAGCTCATGACTGATACAAGGCAGTAAGTCTAGGTGAGCAGAAGACGGATTTTTCATGATGATATAATCTTACTTCATAAAGTCAGCTTCCATCCCTCATCATTATATAGTACAAGTGAAGATAAAGATGAAGTCATGCATTTGAACATATGGATATACCTTCAGTATGGCATGAAATAATCAACTGGGGATAGTCCATGCCACAGAGACTCTAAACACTGAGGCAGGGATAATTATCCTGCTAGCATGGAGTGTGAACAAAATTACGAGAAAACACATATGTGGAGGTGGGAACAACCTAATTTATGCTGTGCCCCTGAACTACAGCTCTTAAAAGTCCATTTTACTCTATATATTTCTTTCTAAAATGTGTGGTATGTTTTCTTTTTCAGTGAACTGCATCTTTTTTTATTTACATCATATTGAATCCTTTTGAGGAAGGATATTACAACTACTCTTGTCAAACTGTGGGTTGCTGAATTACATACATAAATATTTATCTATTCAACTTTCTCAAAAGCCTGAAAATAACAAACTGTCTCAGGTAAGTGTTTTCAGTCTTATATATTATCATGGAGTGGAATAAAAACCAAGCATCCAAAATGTAACAGGGCACACAATTTTAATTACAGCCTTCTTAATGTAATTTGAATTATTCGTTCAGAAGAGCTGGAAAAAAACTTTTGAGTCAAAAATAGAATTACAAAGACACATGTAAGTGAAACAACCTTGTAAAAAATCATTCTTTCAAAAATTATGTCTATTTGTACTGTTAAAAATCCCAGCATCAAATTACAAAAACATTTTAAAAATAACTTATATAGCCTTCTGAATAGTTAAAGCTTCTAAAAATGTTGTGATAAAAATCAATGAAGCTTAGAATTAAAAAAAAAATAAGAGCTTTATGCTTGTTAGCTGTCTACAACAGTGAAGCTAACACATGATTATGCAGCTTGCACCTGTCACGAACATGACAGTGAGCTCTGAAGCTTATTATTCTAGGATAGTGTAATACTAATTATGTCAAAAGAAGAGCAGACAGAGTAAAATAATTTTTGATATACGATGGCTGTTATAAATGTCACATACCATATATTTACAATTTATTCAGTGGCACAGTCAGCTCTTTGTTGGGAAATGAGTAATGATATGCTGTCCAACACTGCAGAAAGTTCACCAACTCTAGAAGAATTACTTTCACAAAAGTATTTTAATTCATTTTTATAAGATAACAAGTTCTCACTCCTCAAGACTCCCCTGTCTCCATCTAATACTGAACATAATTGGTAAAAAAATAAACCATGGAGAGTAACCTGTCATTTTAATTTTTTAGTATTAGGATAATTATTAATGTGAGAAGTGGGATGGAGAAAGTTGGAATACAATTATTTTTACATTGAATATTCAAAGACTTTTACCATTCAATATTCAACATATATGCCACAGTCAGGTAGACTCCAGAATTCCAATTCAAGACTTCTCTGAGTAATATAGTCTGAGCTGCCCACATTTCAAAGCTCAAATAAGTTGTTCACAAGGCAGAGGTCTAAAAAGGTTGATTTTCTAGCCAGCTGATTATCAGTGAAAAAAACTGGCACACAAGGCCTTCAACAAATTTTGATAAAATATAAATTTTGTATTTTTTGAAAATCTTGTTTTTATTATAGACCAAATTAACAATATAGAGGCTTGTACATACAAATTACAAAACAAACAGGACATTTTTGGTATGAAACATGGAGATCTACAAGATTAAAACACTCAGTCCTACCAAATAACATAACAAACTTAATTAACTAATAATGAAATCTTCTTAAATATCATTCTGCTTAATTTTCTAAGGTCTACATACACTGGACATGGGATAGAGATCATTTTTGCAGGAATAAATAACACAAGGATATTTGCATTTGTTAACTAAGTTCTTCACTGCTTGCACGGGATTTTGGTTTTGCACTGATCCTCTGCATAATGAAATGCATTCTTCTGTCGTGCTCTCTGAAATACCATATCTTAGCAAAATGCAAGTATAATACATACTTTTGAAACATCAGTAAGAAAATAAGTACCTTTGAAGATTCAGAATCACCAAGTTGCAATTCTACGTCATGTAGCTCTTCTGGGAAATTCTCAAGACAACACATTGAATATTCAAACAAATGCTTTTTAAGAAATGAATGCATTTCTGCTATGCGTAGAACAATCCCTGTGTCAAAAACAGAACTAAGGTGTCCATCTCTTGCAGAAAATGATCCAGGTCCTGAGTTAGGGGCAGCCATGAAAAGAGATTTTTATTACATCATCATTTGCAATTAAAAAGTAAGGTTTCTGCAGCTACTAAATTTTGAAAAGATAGTAAAATATTTAAATCGATTCAATATCAAACAAATGCCTTTCCAACAGCTATACTGATTGTCCGTAAATATGATAAGTTATGCTATTCATATTGTGATTTTTCACTGGATATCTGATAATGAAACAAGCTCTGTCTAGACATTATAACGTAGCATAAAATGGGAGGTGCAGTTTCAAGGTTTTGGTACTTAAATTTAGATGTGTAAGCATAAGTATGTTCACTACATGTCTATGCACCCACCCACTGGAATAAATGCATATTTATTCAAAAGAAGCTGTAAGAGCTCTTAGGACCCTAATTTAGACAGCTAGTGGCTGATCAGCTGAGTTGCTCCTTAGACTCCTTCATTAATAACTACAGCTGAGATATACATGCACATTTTGACACCTGCTTGTAGAGATCTTACTGTCCTTACAGCTCTGTGGCGAGGTAGAAGACTTTTCTCTCATTTGGTGCAGCAAGGAAAAAACCCAACCGCCTATGAAATTATTATTTTTATAGTTGCTAAGTTTCACTCTAGGCAGCACGTAGATGTACAATCTAGTTCTGTTCTCACCTATCACCTGTCTCACCTGCTTGATATAGAAGTTGTCACTTCTATATCAAGCAGCTGGCCATCAGATATGGATTTAGAGTATTAGGCCCTGAAATTAATGGATTCTCACTCAGCTTGAAAGGTCCTATCTATTACCATCTTTTGTTTACAGTGAACTAAACCAAGTATGTACATAACATCTGGGGGTTTAGTCAAAACACATTCAATAATGCTCAGCCTTCCCATTTAAACTACACTCAATTCTCACAAACAGGCCCCCAAACTGAACAGATTTATCTCTGATGTGACTTAAGTCTTCTATCTAGAACTAAAAATAAATATAGATTATGAATTTAAAAAAAAATGCTTCAGATATAGTAGTAGCAATTAAGTTTTGAGGTATGTTTTTCCTAGTATTATGAAGGCTTATGAATAATTATGAATAAAAGGTAATATCCTCACTCACAACACTTGTAAACTGTCATAAATCTTTATTTCAGTGAATATTATTTTGCATTTATATGATTTAAATGAACTCAAAATGAGATTATCTCAGATTCTGGCCTCTGAATCTGACACTGTTGGCTCCCAAGAACAATATCTCACCTATGGCAGTTTTCTAAAAGGAAGAAAAAATTCATACCAAATAGAAGGCTTGTGTTGTAAAACCTTTTTAAATAATTGTAGTAGCGAATTAAGTGAGCCCATGTTATTGTATCTTTCTTCTGTCTGGCCTTGGTGGTAAGACTTTCTGTTCCTTCACTTTGGCTCTGCTTGTCTTGTATGATTTCCTTGTTTTCAGTAGAAAATGCTTTGGGACTTTCAGAGACAACATTGTACCCATCTGCAAATCCAAGAACAGTTCAACAGTACACGTTAAATGGATGGCTGTAATTCCAAAGCTATTTCTGCCTTGTGTTGGAATTCACTAATCTGTAACTGAAAATGTAACTTGTGAACCTGGTTATGTTTTTTGTAAGAGGAAAATTCTTTCTATTCTGCATCAATATTAGGTGAACTAGTAAAGAAAACATTTCTCAGATCACAGCCAGGAATCTGACTGGCCCTTGCAAGAAGCTAAAAGAGGTAGAGAGTAAACTGCTCTCTCGCTCTCTCTCTGAATTAAAATATAAACCCTTTATTTCTATATATTGTTCGACAGCAGATATTTACTACATGGAAACAATACTTATTGGCCTGAACTCAGAACAGTTAGGTCCTCTGAAATGTTTACTGTTCACTTTAAACCAGTCCCTTGTAGATATTAAGCACATTATCAAGTATTCTTCACTATGGACTACAAAAAAAAAATAATGTTTTTTGTGCTGTCTAAAAGTTATACTTATGCCAGAAGAGGGAAAAAAAATCAGTACAGTTATCAGTATATCACTGCTTATATGCAATATTGGCTTACTGTATTAGCACATGGACCTCTCACAAGCATACACAATTCTTCTGCTCTGTTTCTCATTCCAAATTGAACAAACATTATGTTACAGTGAGATTCCTAATAGTAAACTTCCAGAAAATAATTATGTGTGCTTCTACAAAAACTGAATGTCTCCATTATTCCTGATATTTCACTGTCAATTGGAAAAACAGCATTTAGTTAAAATGGCCACATTGTTTATAGATGAAACTTAAACAATGTGTTTCACTAATGGTTTTACAGAAAATATTTAGCATGCTGTGCTGATCATTTCCATTTCAATTTACCTTTATATATTTTGTCCTACTATTGCTTTTCTATATTTTCTATTATTTGTATTACCTAACAGAACTATCAGGAGAAACACCTGCTGCATTTGCTAAAAGAAAAAAAATGATGTGTAATTATATGCAATGGAGCTAGTACAAAACAATCAGATTGATGGAGAGACTTAGCATACAACACTTGTTTTCATAAACCAATCAAAACACATATGTTCAAGCACTGTACAGTAAGCAGACATTGCTCAGCTCTGCCAGCAACTATCAGGCAGAACAATTCAATCTTTGTCAGTCAGTCACTTGGCATGATTGAAATTAAGCCACTGAACCAAATTTTTAGCACTAAATTAATGCCTTATTATTTTGCCTTAGTGTTTATATAACATCCGGCAACCGTTATCCCAGAATTCCTGGTTCTGCTGATTATTTTTTTTTAATCAAAACTTCCATTTCGTCAACTCCACTAGCTGTAATATAAATGCAGAAGTTGGAAATAAACCAGGCAAAGGCAAATTCTGCCAAGCTAATGGAAGCATCTCTAAATTATAGTCCATTCGACTGGGAAGACAGTGATTATTTTTTTATATTTTACTGCCTTTGACTTTTAGAATACAGTACCCAGGCAGATAACTTTGCAAGAGTCTGGATTTGTTGGTTTTGGTGTTTGGGCTTTGGTTTGATGATGGGGTGGGGGGTTTTTTGGGGAGGTGGGCAGGGAGAGACAAGCTATTCAACACCAACATGTCTTTGCAAAATCAAAAGAAAAACTGAAACTCTCCAAGGAAAAGCTAATAGGCGTAAGGAAAAAATCTGTTCTAAATCGGTGTTGACTGATAGGGTGGCCAAGAGCTACTCTAGAAGTCTGGGGAAGTGCTGTGACAAAGGTCCCTCTGTTTTTCTAAAAGTATGGCAACATGGGCACTTTGTCTTTCTGAGCCACAGTATGCAAACAATGCAATTTTTCTTGACATTGAACGCACACACAGGCCGATATTTAAAGACCCACTAGATCTAGCCAATACTTTGTACTGCTATGAAGGGTGAGGATTTTGCCTTTGCTTTCCAAATTTGACTTAAATTTTTTTATAAATGAAAATTAGATATTAAATATACTAGTAGATTGCAAGGCATGTATATTTTATTATTATTTAATGTTCTAATATTACTAGGTATAAAGGAATACCAGATAAGAAATCTCTGTACGAAGCAACAAGATCCATGGAAGCAAATTCCGGGATTTTCTGTTGCACTGCATCCTCCATGCTGTGTTCTTTAACACTCTTCATTCCAATTAATAGCTGAGAAGCAAGCACAGCTTCACTAACCTGAAAAATAATTTTTCTTTTATTCAGAACCAGTTCTCTACAATATTTATATAGATTTTAAAATCTGAGAGTAGCAAGACGATGACAAAAAATTAATTACTCAACCTACTATATTTTTAGAAGTCAGGAAAATATTCTATTTCTTTCTGACATATTGTACATACTATACTTAAATAAATCATTACTACTGACAGCTTAATTACTACATAAGTGATTTCAAATCAGATATCCTCACCTGGATGCCACTGATGTCTACCCACGTGTCAAATACATGTGCACACATATCAGGCAGTGTGCTGTTTTATTTGCACTGAATCAAAGTTGAAGTAAACAGAGTCAGAGCTGTCCAGGAGAGATTAAATGCACTACTCGGAGCGTGTCCATTTTAATTTCCTCAAATAAGACCCATGCCAGAAATTTCAGGAAACATTAATTCTTGTCTTGTTTGCTTGTGTAAGTAGCATAAAATGAAATTTAAAAAACCCCAAAATTACATCTTCAGAATATTGCACCAACCTGTGTAGCTGCTCTTACTGCAATCCAGGCTTGTGCTCTGTAGCCTTCTGATTTCAGGGTGTCCTCAGGAGAAGAGCGTTCTCCAAAAGAAGTCTAAAATTATACACCAGTTCACAATAGGATTCTAAATGTTTTATGGTAAAATATATCTTAAATATAGAAAAAGTCCTCCTACTTTCAGAACTACTGTTTTATTTGCAAGTTGTAAAAGTCAGCATTGATTTTAAATCCAAGGCTTAATTGCTAAAATTGAAAAAAATTATCCAGAGCATACTAATTGGCTGCTCCTGATACTTCAACAGGGTTAAAGCCTTTCATATTTCTCATGCTGTCATCCATATTTGTACTGAAAAATTGAAATCTGGTAAAATATAAATATTACTACTTAAAAATCAGGTTTGAATGTTATGCTTCCTTTGCAAGGTAAAAATTAATTAGTGCATAATCAGAAATGAGAACACTGTCTGTTCTGTTTCTTCCTATTTTATACCAAAAACATTTTTAAATGTTACCATTTTATGCAACAAACATGAGAAACAACATCAAACAAGATAAAATTCCACTGCTATATGATTTCTTTGTGTCATTTTTTAGTAGGATTTTCAGTATCAGTACGATTTATAAGTCACTGTAAGTAAGAGTCTAGCAAGGTGCAAAATGTTCTAAGAGAAATATATTTCCTGCTTTGAAGAGGACGCTACGCAAAAGATAGAAAACATACGTTTGATTTGGAAGGCAACATCTTAGCTGGCTGTGACACATCCTCATTATTTGTGGCAAAATGCAAATACAATAGTGCTATTTCAAGGTATGATCTTCTTATTAACCTGTAAGAAACAACACACAGATCAATCAATGTTACTATCAAAGTTAGCATTACAGTGATATAATCTGACTCCTCCATAAGACTATACAGACAGCATCACCAAATAAATCATTCATCCAGCCCTCATCATCTACTCAAGTGTACATTCTTTTAGAAAGATCTTGTGATCCGGTTCTAATGTGTTAGCAAGTGTAAAACATCGCTATGGTACGCTTAACAAATAACACATTGGCTTAGGAGTATGTCAAAATAAATTGCATTATGTGCAACAAACATTCCATGAATAAATTGCAACTATTTAGTGAGAAAACTGCAATTCTGCAAGAGAAGTGATCTTTCTGTACATAATCTGTATGGGTTCCTCTTCCTTACCAAAGTTAAGGCATATATCCATTGTCCTGGTTTCCCTGAAACATGGGTGGCTGAAATTGGGTATGGGCCTTAGTCAACCTCTTCCAAGAAACAGCAAAAATACCCAGTGACCAAAACAGTCTTTCATTTCTTTATTGGCCTCAGCTGATAAACCTTCTGAGTTCTGTACCAAAATACTCCACATCTTCAGACAGACTGTGCTCACCAATTCCTGTTCTCCTTTTATTGAACTTCCTTCTCCCTTCAGTTATTTTTACAGTAATATTATAAACCAGGCAAAAATCATAGAATCATAGAATGGTTTGGGTTGGAAAGGACTTTAAAAGGTCATCTAGTCCAACCCTCCTGCAATAAGCAGAGACATCTTCAACTAGATGAGGTTGCTCAGAGCCCCATCCAACCTGACCTTGAATGTTTCCTGGGACAGGGCATCTACTACCTCTCTCTGGGAAACCTGTGCCAGTATTTCACCATGCTCATCATAAAAAGTTTCTTATATCTAGTCTAAATCTACCCTCTTTTGGATTAAAACTATTACCACTTGTCCTATCGCAACAGGCCCTGCTAAGAAGTCTGTCCCCATCTTTCTTATAAGCCCCATTTAAGTATTCAAAGGCCACAGTAAGGTCTCCCTGGAGCTTTCTCTTCTCCAGGCTGAACAACCCCAACTCTCTCAGCCTCTCCTGACAGGAGGGGTGGAACAGCCCTCTGATCACTTCTGTAGCCTTCCTCTGGACCCACACTAGCAGCTCCATGTCTTTCCTGTGCAGAGTACTCCAGGTGGAGTCTCACCAGAGTGGAGTAGAGAGACAGAATTACTTCTCTCGACCTGCTGAAAATCACTCCATGTGGAGAACTTCTCCAGCATTTCTATTGCCTCTAGGTTTATAACAGTTTTTTAATGCATATTCCTCCTGGCTCTGTAGCTCTCCCCAGATCTCCCCTGTGAATTAGTTTTCCTAAGCATAACAACAAACTTCTGCTCACGTAGTTCTGGATAGAGTCACATTGCACAGACTTGGATGTTTATACAGAACAATAAATTACAGCTTTGGTATGATTTGTGTAAAGCAAAACACAAAAGTCAGAGTGCTGTACAGTTCAAGACAGGGCAAACTAAGTGGGAAGATGGCAAGTTCTACAGCTAGTTTGTGACAATTTAGTTAACATTTCTGGTCTCGCTAACAAAAAAGGATTTGAGACATCAAGAAACAACTTTAATTAAATAATCCAGTAGCCCCAGAGGGCTTGTATAAGGGTGATCGGGATGTTTAGCTCTCTAAAATAAGAAAGCCAAGGCCCATTGATGTTGCTGTACATTCTTTTAGAAAGATGGTAGCGAATTAAATAAGTGTAGCAAATTACACTTGCAAAACATCACCACAGTCCATTTCTGTACTACCTTCCATCATGCTGACTGCTTGTAGAGGTTTATTACTATGCTACTGCTTCTGTGTTCAGAGTTCTGGTTCATTAACTTAAGTAGCAGAATACCCAAACAAGCAAGGTAAATTGCTGCCTTTACACTCTCTGTAACCAGACATGGCACATTATTCATTAAGACTGGTCAAGAAACTAAAAAAAACTAAATTCCATTGTATCAGAGCTGCTTGACAGAATTTATTGGCTGGCTTGGCTCAGCTCTTCAGGCGTCTTCTAAGCTGATAACTAATGCCAAAGTCACTGTCCTGATATCTGTTACAAACACATTTCCTACGGTCCTTCTGCCTCTGTTCTGACTGTTTCTGGCTGCTAACCTTTTCAAGCTGGATTTCTATTATCTGGAAGGGGGCAGAGCACAGCTCATCTTCTGAAATATGAATAAAACCCCTGTTTAATTGATAGCTCTGTTCCTGGTGTTGACAGAGAGGGTACAAATGTGAAAATAGAACAGAAAGGTGTAACTTTGTATACTCTAAAATATACTTTCAAATGTTCTCAGCATTCATTTTAAATAAGAGATTAAGTATACAGTAGCTGTTCTATACTGTAATAGAAGAAAAACTGTCCAAAATATAAAAGGTGCCTCATAATAGAAGTTTCACACCAGATCACAGAAAACTGTCAAAAAACTATTCATGTATGATTAAAATTAATTTCAAAGTTCTATAGCTAGCTTCTTACTCAAAATTTTGATCATGTTGCTGGCTGAGTTTTATAGCTTCCAACAGGGTTTCAGCAGCTCGAGATGACCGGTTATTGCCTGCTTCAGTTATCTGGCGTTCTACCTTACCTAAGAAAGAGATATAGAAGGCAGATTTTCAAGATTTTAACTTTTTTTTTTTTTTTTCTTCTGTAAGACCCAACCTGTTTACCTCCAGAAAATGTAAACAACATAGTGCATTATCTATTCTTCTCCTCATAAGTCTTTTCCAGTTTGTTTAAAATGTAATGCACAATGATTGCATAGCAAATTACTTCACCTAGTAGAGAAAATAATCAAACTTTGGAATCATAATGACTCCTAACATGTACTGATTCTTACTAGAAGACCATTGTACCTGGGGGAGTTAATACATAGATGCAGGCCTGTTCTGTGCTGCTCTACGCTGCATGTACAGCCTGGCCTTCAGGCCTGTGTTGTGCTGTGCCACAGGATAAATATAGCCCGCTGGCTGTAACAGAAGAGCCTGCTGGCAGCATCTTCTCAGTACCAGTGATTATACCCCCTGCCCTTTCTGTAAAAGTGCAGCAAGAAGCCTCATGTGAATATGCTTTTTGTTTGACGGTGGAAACGATGAATAGAGTTGTTTTCTTTTAAGAAAATCCTCTAACAGCTCAAAAAACCAAAAAGGCAACCTTTCCATAAACAGGGTCTGCATGTTGTGCTGCACCCTGACTGGAAGCCCATTCAATACTACACAGCTTGGGGTTCTCAGCATCTGAAGGGACATAAGATTATTTTCACTATCCTTTTTTTTCTTTATAGCGTTAATTCCAATAAATGGCATTTTAAGAGATACTTTACAGAGTCTGAGTGCTTTTCTTGCTGGGATCCTAACAAGTCAACACCTCCTGGTGCAAAACATAATGCCACTAAAATCCAAATGCATGCAAACACTGTGCAATTCATTAGCCTTGTTAAATCATTTAGAAATACTTTATCAGCCTCTCATCTTCTTTATTTCAGACTTATGCAAAGAAGCTAATTAGCTTTCTACAGTGTCCTTAATGTGATTGGGTACACCCTTTGATCCCTGATAACATAGAGGTGGTAGAAGTTCTGCTGCAGTTTTGAAATTATTCGTTATGTAATGCATGCTGAACTATGCTGGTGTGAACCTAAACATAGGACAGAGATCTGCAGCTAGACAGGGTGAGAAATACACAAATCTGTTCTATTTTTTTACAGTAAAATGTCTCCATTTTAAGAGAGGCCACATGCATAGCATTGCCTAGGAAGGCGATCATGATGTACAAACAGGGTTTTACTTACCTATATGAAAAAGAATTTCAGCTTCCATATCTAGTTTTTTTGTTGCAGATGCTCTGCAAAGCTTCAAGGCTGATTCTAAATGTTTGAGAGCAAGTACCCATTGCAGTGGATCTCCTCTTTCAGGTGTAGAGGCTACTTTTTCAGCTAATATGTGTCCTAAGAAAAAGTAAAAAAAAAGTTCTTAGTAAATTATTTACTAGAAAACCAATTTATGCAAAAGGAAGCAACATCTGTAGAACAAATGCTGTTACATATTTGCTGTAACAATCCAGTTCTTAAAAATCTGAGTGATTAATGGATAAAAATACAGAGTGATAATGTTGTTTCACTACTTTATGATGCCATTAAGGCTTACCTAAGCCATCCAAAAGAAGCTCAGGCTACACAAATCAACGCTTTCACAAACTATCTGGAAAGACTAGTAGTAAGTCACTTAATTTTATTTCACCTGGAAGTTATAGGCAAAACCTAAACCTCTCTGAGCCATTGCAAATTCCCAAATTCCTTTTGTACTAACTGGGTCTAAAGCCTTTTTTGATGCATTGCATACCTCTTATACTGTCTATATACATAGGTTCTTCCTAAAAAATGTGGATTCAGAAACAGGAACTGGTCAAACACAGCCGTTACTGTGAGTGTCTGGCCATGCCTGCTCTGACAAGCAGTAAAGTACAGTAAGAGTGGATCTCTAGACCAAACCAGCTGGTGTTGAAGACCAGACAGCCACAGCAGATGCATTTCAGGGTGTTTACTTTGGACTACCTCTATTCTATTCCTAAAGGGTGAATGTGTAGTGAAAGTAGTGGTTGGGGTGCACTGATACACTCCTGGAGCATAGCGTACTGAAAAAGAATCCAGAACAGTAAGGCTGCTCCACAATGAAAACCAAAGTGATTTCTAGATTTTCTAGTCAATTATAAGTCATATATACATCAAATCTAGTTTAACAGAAGGAACATAAAGACAATATCCCTTTCCTTATATTTGCTATACAGCAGCAAGTCTCAGACAGATCTTAAAAGTCATCTTCTGTTATTTAGCATATTTCCAAGGTTCTATATAAAGAAAAGTTATCAAAAAAAGCTGTTAAATTAAAGGGTGACAACAATAAAAGATACTATTTATTTTATTGGGGTAGGAAATTATCACTATTATCCCATATGATGTGATATCATTAGTTAATTCCCATATAACTACGTCCAGAGAGACGGAACATATACAGGAAGTTTTCACAAAATGAATGCTTTGTACAGAAGCTGGAAAAGCATTATTAACTTCCACTTAAAAAAAAATTCCCATTAAAGTTCCCATTAGTTTCATCAAGCTATAACATTAATATTTAAGTCTTTGTTGATTATAGTTCCTGTACGAATTGTACCTTGCTTGTACACAATGCATGGAGTCAAACAGGCATCTACTATTGGCTTTCAAAATATTTTCTTTGCATAATGAAAAGAATTGATTTACTTCTGATGCATCAGTTTATCTGCTGCTGTATAAAATATGTATGAAAATTAATGAAAATTTAAAAATAATAATGACTTGCATTTTTCTTACCGATTCTCATTTTAACGTGGGCTAGCAAGTTGATATGTGGCAAGTAGATGTTTTTTGCAGGTAGGGCCAAGCAAGTCAATGTACTGTCTTCTGTTTGCTGTTCAATGAGTTCTCCACAAACAAAAATCTATGAAAAGAGAATGCTTTGTAAAACCAAGTCGCATAGGAGAGCTGGAGAGGTACTCTTTGTCAGGAAGCCTAGTGACAGGACAAGGGGTAACGGTTTTAAGCTGAAGGATGGGAAATTTAGATTAGATATTTGAAAGAAAATTTTTACTGGGAGAATGGTGAGCCAATGGAACAGGTTGCCCAGGGAAGTTGTGGATGCCCCATCCCTGGAAGTGTTCAAGGTCAGGCTGGAGGGGGTTTTGAGCAACCTGCTCTAGTGGGAGGTGTCCCTGTCCATGGCAGGGGGGTTGGAACTTGATGATCTTTAAGGTCCCTTCCAACTCTAACCATTCTATGATTCTATGCTTCTATGGTTTGAAAAAGTAAGTTAAGTATCGCAAAATCCTGGAACTCGAATGTGTCTTGTAAAAGAGCACTAGAAAAGGGCTTGGTAATTTTGAAGTCCTTTATTTCAGTTTGTACTTGTCTTCTTTGCAGAGGAGTTCGGTAGCAAAAGAACAATTTCAATGAACTCTTGATCAAATTTATTAAAAGCAAACTCTCTCAAATCAATCTTTAAGGAACAGATATCCCAAGTAACCCAAGCCCAGGAAAGCAGCTGTCGTTTATACAAAGAAATCTGACATCCAAAAAATTCCAGAAAAGAAAAAGACAATAACACATAAGGACCAGTCAAGCTTTTCCTGCATGGAAATAAGGCAATTGGAGCATACTGTAAAGTGTTGCTCTTGAAGGCTAGCAAGTCTCATAAGTGGAAGTCTGAGTCTGAAGTGATTCATATTATTGTTTATTACTTGGGGTAACAAATATTTCAATGCTTTAAACTTCTGTATTAGGTAATATGAGGAAAGAATTTGATCCAAAAGCTTTTCTTTATAAACTGTATTAAGACCAGGTAGAGACTGGGTTTGGATCAATAGATAAATGGTTTATTAATAAACATACCTCTCACAGATTTCATGTCTTAACATTTATTTAGTTTTTGCCTACTTAAATTTTTATGTGGAAATGATTTATTCATACTGATTGTAACAATCTGTCAATCTAAAACATCATAAACAATATGCTACTTTATATACATGTTCTAGTTCAAATCATTCTAAGATACAAAGCTAAATTCTTATACTTGGATGCTCAGGAGTTAGAAATTTTATGAGATGTACATCCTCCCTGAGGTGTTGAGTATGAACATACTCCTTATTTCAAATGGAAAAACTGAGTGTTCCACATCTCTTTTCTCTCAAACTACCTATTTCAATTTTCACATATGGATGTATGTTTTGCAAGCATTCAATATTTTTAAATTGTATGAAAATAGCAGACTACATAGATGAGTATGCATGGTGAGTATGCATGGTAAGTATGCATAAATAAATTTAGTAAGATGAATTACTTCTTCACGCTATTTAATCTAGGGAAAATTGAAGGGATCAGTTAATTGGAATGGCCTTTTTAAACAAATTGTTAAAATAGCTTTCAGAATAGACAGTTAAGATTGCTGGAAGGATTTGCAAGTGCTGTGTAAATCACCAACATATACTCACTTCTTTAATGATAAGCTCATGTGCCAAAACCAGTAAGTTTAATGGTTCCACTGTAGAAGAGCAATGTTCTGTATCCTCTACTGTTTGGAGTGTTAGTATGTCTGCCAGCAGAAGCATACTTTTCACAAGAGTAAAAGAAGCTGGAGGGGAAATAAATGTATCCTCTTGGAGTAAACTGATGATATTCTGTTTGGACACAGATAACATAAACCAAAGTAGTTATTACTTTTGCTGTCTTTTTTGAGGACAAATCACACAAAGTGAAAAAAAAAAAAAATCTATTTTAGAGGCACTATTTCAAGCTTATTTAATGCTGGCATCAGCTGTACTGACCACATGAAAAACGCATCAAAAAAAAGTGAACAGTTTCTCCTTTGTGCTCAAACCTCCAAAAGAAGTTTAATGCCTGCCACGGGACGTTTTTCTTGCAGGTCAAGAATAGCAGCTTGCACCATCATTTCAGCCTGAGTCTCTGTGTCACCAAACGCTTCTGCCTCTAGTATTACTTCTTCTATCACACTTCTGCGTTCAGCCACATTGTTTTCTAAAAGAGGAGAATATATGAACTGTAAAAATACAGTAGAAAAGACCTTACAGTATCTTCTACCATTGTTAAAAAGACAGTTTCATACTAAAAAGTGAAAGAAAATCTGACATTATAGATTCCACATTTACCATTTCATCAATTCTGTTCCAAACTCACTTTCAAAAGAAAGAAAAAACACTTAGCTTTGAAACTACGCTTGGTTTAAGTTTATCCAAATACATTATTTATATGTAAGCCACCACTATAAATAACTAGATTTTGTAGATCAGATAGTCATTCTCACCCATAAAACATATTCTACATATTCAAAACTCTGATCTCAGTTACCATTCCAAAATAGTAACAACCTTCACAGGAATTATCCAGAATATGTTAAATATGAGTTTGACTACAGATCTAGACTGTGATTTTGATACTTAAGTGAGCATCAGAGTTTATAGAACTAAGGAATGAAAAACATTTTATTCATAATCAAACTGTATCAAAATATATTTTGTAGTATCTCACTTAAATACTTTAGAGATAAAGAATCTGGAACATTTCTAGAAAATATAGAGGAGCATTTCTTTTATTTGAGATATAAAAGTAAAAAAAAACTTTTGAGACTTTTAAAACTATAAGTATATAGCAACAGTGTTTTTGAAAACAAGCATACTTATTTAACTTAATTACACTAGAACGTTTTACATTTTTTCACACACAAGTGGTTTATCAAAAGACAATGATCATTAAATGAACATTAATATAATGCTTTGTGTTTGCATTCTCTAGGGAGAGATTGTACTCAGAAATATATTATCCTTATTACATTGGATGATTTAATACAAATAATTGCTCAGTGAAAATACAGCCCCAGAATTAAAGTTTATATTTTTTTATTTGTGATTAAGTATTGTGTCTTAATAGGCTCACTTGTCCATTATACTCCAAAAGTCTAAACCAAAAAAGGCCAATACCTTTAATATCACAAACGCCATGTATCTGTGTTACTAGTGCAGTCACTAACATTGTACGAAACCTTAGCCACAGATGTGTGTTCATATGATCTTGTGCTGTTATACTGTGAGGCAGTCGAACATCTTTAACGCAAGAGTCCTAATAATTTCCAAAAGCAAAAGAAATATTACTTTCCAAGTCAACTACTTTAGTCCAAACAAAACAACAGGGCAGAATCAGTTTAAAACAAATCAAATACATTAGAAATAATAACATAATTATAACCAGAAGTTTATTTGAAGGGTAGATACAAGTTTTTTAAAATCAGGAGTCCATTTATTATTAACTTTTAATATACAGAAAAAAAATTGTAACAAATGAAAAGTAAACCAACTTTTATGGGAAAGTTCACAAATACATCCATATACTATATGTATCATGGAGAATTCTAACAGTTCGGTCTCTCAAACAGGAACATTACACAAAACCCTAAGGCACATAAAAGTCTAATTGTGAAGCAGGATCAATATCAAGTTCTAGTACCTCACTAGTGATTAGAAAGAAATTTTTTATTTTTAGCTTTTAGTGTTTCTGGTGATTAAAAACAAATATTAACGCAATATAGTACTGGAAGTGTTTGTGAGAATTCTCAGCTCAACTCCCTGTGCCATTTTCACTTATTATTTCTAACACTAAAATTTTCCAATCCCCATTCTAAAGATTTGTTTCAGCAATAAATAAATGAACATGGCATCACCTGTGTTTTACTTATACTAAAAATCATCATGAATTACTTACATTGATGCAAACGAGGAAAAAAAAAATAGCCATAGCTGAGCTACTAGCTACGGGCCAATCCTAAGAAAATGCAGGAGTAAGTGCAGCGAGACAGAAGACCCTGATATGCAACACAGACAGAGAACAATTGCATTGCATGCAAGAAAGTCCAGTCTCGTTACGCATGTTACAAAATCTGGCCTCAGTGCTCAATTGCTCTGTCCATTCGAGTCAATTTGACTTACTCTGCACTCAAAGAGTGAACGTGTATGGAATAACCAATGGGTTTTGTACGCTGGCTTTCCAAAGTACGTATGGGTCAGTGTCACTGTGTGTTAGACAACAGAAGTTAGTTGAAACCTTGCTAAATTTGGAACACAGCAATGATGCAAACCAGTTGGTTTAGCTCTTTGAAAGAGGATACTCTGAAGTAGGTTTTCAATCAAAAAGCCCCAACTGAATAATACAAGATTTTCAGCTGAAAGCTATTTTTTCCATTTTCTGATTGTTTGGGTTTTTCTTAAACAAATGGAGATTTTCAATGCTGGCATTTGAGATTATACAAATAAAACCTGTAATTCCTAACCATATACAAATTAAAATGATGATTATAGACATATTGAATATATTATAGGCAAGCAGGTAACTGAAGTATGTCATACATCATTTTCTCCCTAGGTTAATGGTTACCTCATAATACAGATGACAGCTATGTTCTAGTGCTCTGAAAACCACTCAACACTTAATACGAGACTTCATTCACGAAGAAACAATATTTTAAAACAAATATGCACACATACCAAACACTGCCTTTCATCCTTTTCTTCTTGAAAATTCGTCCCTTCAGTCCTAAAAATTTTCGCATCTTGGAGAAGTCGAATTGCAGAGAAAGCCAAAGCAACACTGTGATACAGATGAAATATTCTCTTAAAATACTAATTATATTTGGCATTTTATGCTTTTATTATAATAGATACTTCATTTCTGACTACATCAGAGATGTCTATCAGCACTTACCAATTTTTGATTCAGTAGAACAAAAAAATTGCACAGCAGACTTTGTGTATACTATTATTTTCATGATAGGAAGATACTTGCAAAACCAACATAGAGAGATCTTTTTCACAACAGGATTTGCTCCTCAAAGAACATGCTTCTGAGAACTGCCAAAAGCAGCCTCATGGTATTAGTTTTCTATCTCTAATTGTACATTTTCCCATAGATCTGTAATCTCTACTTTCTTACCTCTTCTCTAAAACAATTTTGGGGTTGGTTTTTTATTTTTTACAACTCTATTTATTCTTTACCCACTAAAACATAGTTTCCTAATGATGCAAAAGTGTCTGAAGGTATCCCAAGCTCACCTCTTAAAGATGTTTTCAGCAGGTTAATTTTCTAAAAATATATAACAAAAATTCTCATCTATGCTGTCTTTTTACATAGACTCTCTTTAAATAGAGACTGGTTGCTATAAAGCAAAAGAATAAAATAATTTATGAACACCTTAAGTCCTTTTTACACTGCCAGAACACTGTAACGAGCTTTTAATGCAAGAGAGATTAAGACTCTGTGTGAATTTACTGCTTTTGAGAGTTCTAGATTAATTGTTGTAAGGGCAAAGTTCTTGATTTATGCACAAAGTCAGAACAAGAGCAGCACGACTCTGAAATTACTCACATTATTCTGCCAACATATATCTAACCACAGGATGGATAACCTCCAGAGAAAAGAGGGCAGTTAAAGTCTTCCTGTCGTTTTAGATTCTATCCTGCTTACTGTTTTTGTGATGCTGAACTGGATGGATTACACCAATTCAGCACAAATAGACCCCAAAGTAACAATGAGAACCAAAACTGGTAATATCTTGCCTTTCAGCTCTCAGAATTCAATCCTTATGAATCTCCTTCATCATGCCTTTACCTCAGTTTTATTCCAAAAATGAAACCAGTATAAATCAATGTTGAATTTGATGATAACTTTCTCTCTAACAATGGAAAATACGAAACAGAATATGCTTATAAAAGCAAAATGACAGGAAGGATAATGCAGTGAAATATCCCAACTGCTTTTCTTTCTTTTTATTAAGAAGAGTTTTCCCCTGAAACCAGGCATCAAAGTTAAAATTACAGCAAAGCCTGACATTTTTCAAAACATTGTCTGAGATGTATGGCTAACATTTCTCAAATAATTTGGAAGGTGCAGCACCCAAAAGTATATACAGGTTTTTAAGGAATATTAACCTAACTTCCTGAGCACCACTGCCTCCAGTTAACTGCTGTTGTCAACAGTTAGCAATTCTGAAATTTAGACCATTTTTACCTACATGCTTACATATAAATTTCATGAGCAACATGTAGACCATGAGCCCAAAGGTTTGTATATGCATTGTTTTAAGCAGTAATGTATTCACATAATCAGACAAGCACATATTTCAGCAATTAGAAACCTCACATGCTTAGGGGGGACATCGTCTAAGTACTCTCCTTGAGATCAATCAAATTAGTCCTATACATAATCTTATTCTCAGGCATAAATTTTTAGCAAGACAGAGGCCGTAATGTAGAAGCTTCCCTTGATGAAATTTTTGTGACCCTCTTCTGCTGTCAACAAGAGTGATGTGTCTATATATTTCCCTTGACAAAATACACATCCTTTTATCAGCTGAATCAGAAAGTGACAAGATGATCAAAATAGGAAAGTACAGCTGACTGTAACAATTTCACCACTAAGTCATTTTGCCAAAGGAAAAAAATGATGAATTTCTGTAATATCATGCAAAGTTTGATTTCTAGGCTGGCAGGCAGGAAACATTCAGCTGTCTGAAGGAATGTTTCATTTGTATCCGAGGCAGATATATCAGCAGTTTCTGTGGATGGCAGTGCAATAAAATTGTAAAATAGGTTAAAAAAACCCAAACCCTTACTTTGTTTGGCTTTTGGGGTTGTTTTTTTCCTGCTAAATACTATCAATATATAAGGCCCACTAAATACCCATCAAGAATTTGAGAGTCCAAAAAAATGATCCATAGAATGCTAGACATCTATTGGAACCCTTGACACTCTAAAAAAGTTTCTTCAATCTGAGACAAGTTATAGGCCAAGAGAAAGTACACTCTAGGATATAATTGCATGTCAAAAAGAAAGGTCCTGCACTGAAAATGGCTTGCATGCCACCAGTTTAGAAGGGTGAGAAACTTTGGGTCAGAACTCTGCTAACACAGGTTTTATCATGCCTAGTATCAAGCTAACTTGGGTTTATGCACATGGGATTTCATAAGTCAAGATACTGGTCCTTAGTTAGTAATACAACAATTTTATAAAATCAACATGGCACTCAAAAGCACGATGAGGTCACTGTCCAGTGATTTGTTGTTTTCTCTTTGACAAATTTTGGGTAAATCAATCTAATTCAAAAGGCACTGAAATAGATTAATATTTCATTATGAGAAATGTCTACAAATAACCTACAATGTCATCAATGGCATTAGGATTAAATTGTTACAGTCATATGAACTTTTGGGAAACTTCTGTCTTTTAAAATAACATAAACAAAACCCAGATGAAAGACCACGATGCAGTACTCTTACTGTTTTCAGTTCAGTAACTTGTACAGAACTGTGAAGCTCCTGTCCTTGTTAATCAATTTTTATTGCTGTACCATAGCAGTTAAAAAGGAATTGAGCTATTTAAAGGCTATCTGATTTGGAGGTTTGTTTATTCACCTACGACAACTGGGAGAAAGAAGACAATTTGCCTTTGACATAGAAGAAAACATTTTTTTTTTTGTTAATTGGGTAAAAACAAAAAAAAACGTCCTTGAGACTGGTTCGGCTGTTGGCCCCCTGAATCACCTACCACTTCATCAGTAGGACTCTTACAGCAAATCTTCACCAATATTCCAACAATAAACAAATGTTAATTTTGCTTTTTGCTTGGTGGTTACTATAATGTAATATTTAATGTAATAATTTTGGTGTGTTTAGTCAGAGTAGACCTAACAAGAGTTAGAAATACTGATTACATTCTACTTAATCTCATTTTTAATCTTAGTTTGACAAGTGACAGTGCTACATCTCTATATGCTGCATCTCTAGTTAACAATTTGTACCCTCAAAGACTTTTCAACCTAATAAAAAATTAGATAAAAAGAGCTTGACACTAATTAAAAAAAAATAAAATATGAAGATGATCAAAGGGCTGGATCACCCCTTCTATGAAGACAGTCTGAGTTAGCCCAGAGAAGAGAAGGTTCCAGGGACACCTTATAGTGGCCTTCCAGTATCTGAAGGGAGCCTCCAGGAGAGATAGGGGGAGGACTCTTTATCATGGAGTGTAGTGATAGGACGATGGGTGACAGTTTTAAGCTGAAGGAGGGGAGATTTAGATTAGATGTTAGGAAGAAATTCTTTACTGTGAGGATGGTGAGACACTGGAACAGCTTGCCCAGGGAAGTTATGGATGTCTCATCCCTGGAAGTGCTCAAGGCCAGGCTGGATGGCGCTTTGAGCAACCTGGTCTGGTGGCAGGTGTCCCTGCTTATGGCAGGGGGGTTGGAACAAGATGATCTTTAAGGTCCCTTCCAACTCTATTCATTCTGTGATTCTATGAAAAATTATGTATTGTTAAACTATTATCCTTCTTGTACAAATAAAATTAAAATTACAGATATGTTAAACAGAAGAATCCTCCTAACTAAAAGACCAAAAGAATGTTCAGAATTTAACTTCCACAAAGACTTAATTTATTTATGTATGCCCCATGTATTAAAAAACCAGCAGAATTGCTATTTTATGAAATTATAAAAAAAAAAATCAGAACCTAAAAAAATTCACAGAATTTGGAAATCATAATTTAGATAAAATATCTGGCAGATCATGTAAATAGAACAGTATTTTACACACTCTCAGTAACAATATAATTAATGCCTGCTAAAATCTATTCTTACATGTTAAAGTTTACATCAATGGTTTTAATCCAATTAATTTAAAAAGTATAATTTTAATGTCTTAATTTGACGCCAATAAGTACATAAAGAAGAAATGTTCTTTTAGGACAGTAACACAGGACATTCTAGAACAAATTAGAATTCAGTAGTTCAGGGATAACATTAGTGCTCTGCTGTACACTTTAAAATTGTAAAAGACATATGACCTAACATATACAGACTCTAACAAAAACAGTGAACATTGCAGCTTTTTCTCTGACTTAGTGTAACACAGTATCACAAAAAGACCTCACGGAGAAATCATAGGCCAATAACTGATGATCTGTTAAAAAGTAAAATAAAGCAGTAATAAAAAGTGAAATGCCAATGTAACTTACTAGAGGACTGTTATGGCTGGTTACTAAGATTTAGAATATTAATGTAGACATAAAGGGTTGAAAGAAAAGGTTGTTGGATATTTTTTTTAATCTTCTGTGGTCTAGGCTGTGCAACATAAGGTTATACATAATATTACTTACGTGACAGCTGCTTGATGCCTTTGCTGAGAAATAGCAGCAAGCTGAAGTTTAGCCTCAATAAGAGCCTCTAAATCTTCAGCAGAACATTGAGAGATCTGCCCATCATATTTGTCCTGTATGTTCTGTACAAGATGGCTAAGATTTTCTTCAGCTTTTGTCAATAAAATCCCCTAGAGAAGAACACAGCATTGTATGATTTCAAAAAATAATGAAAGAAATAAAAAATTTATTAAAATGTATTTTATTCTTGTTTAGCCTATTACCACTGCACCCTAAACAAATCAACTTTTCTCTAAATAGCAGTGGTTGAATTTTGCTTTTTTCAGGTTTACAGATCCAATGTGTTTCAAGCAGCAACATCTTAACTGTGCCTGTACTATTGCAATTTATGCTTAACATATTTTATGGCTTAGCAATATTGCTCAATGATTTTTCATTCTTATCTTTATCTTATAGGTATATTTGATAATTTTATACTATACTTCTTACTATTCTTAGTAACTTTAAACAATACAGTATTAAAATACAACATTAAAGATATTGCAAAGAGTATTACATTCTTTTCTGTCTATACTTTGACAGATCTCTGAGTGCTGTATGTATCTTGAAACCTCACTGTAACTTACAATCTTTCTGAAAAAGAAAGCTGTAAGAAGCTGTGAAAACCAAATCCAAAAGAAAGTTAATTTTAAATAAAATCTCAATCACAGGCTTTCAGAATAATTAAAAAATAATTCAAAGGTTTCTATCATCCAATATCTTTTTTTGACCAGTTTCCTCAATGAATTCAAAGCTCTACTTTGAAAAAAAACCAAACAACCAAACAAAAAAAAACAACCAAAAAAAAAAAAACCAAAAAAAAAAAAAACAACCAAAAAAAAAAAAACCAAAAAAAAAAAAAACAACCAAAAAAAAAAAAACCAAAAAAAAAAAAAACAACCAAAAAAAAAAAAACCAAAAAAAAAAAAAACAACCAAAAAAAAAAAAACCAAAAAAAAAAAAAACAACCAAAAAAAAAAAAACCAAAAAAAAAAAAAACAACCAAAAAAAAAAAACCAAAAGAACAGAATGAGTAAAGAAAATTCAGAAGAGTAAGAAACAGATTATGTTTCTTAAGTCCCATTCAAATTAATTTAAAATTTCTATTTTAGTTATTTTCAAGATGCTGTTTTCAAGTTATTTTCAAGCTATACTAAAACATTGAAGCTTCTAGGTTATGGTATATAGCAATTGCCTCACAAAATCATCCTCCATTTCTCCAGATCTGTTTTGTACATTACTTGGTTTGTAACAGTGGCCAAAGGTAGATACTTCCAAAGTGGAAGACCCCTCTGAAAGAATAATATGTCAGCCCTCAATTTTGGTTTTTTGTAATTTGAAACTGCCTAGCATGAAGTTCACAATTAAACAAAAATTAAACCCAAACCAAATCAACCAACCAACCAAAACCCCTTCAAACAAAGAAGCTCAGAAGCTGTGTTAGGTTTTTTCCAAAATAAAGTATCAAAAAGAGGAATATGAAAAAACAGAGACATTTCACATACGGTATAGAATGAGTTTCCATTTATTTATAGAGTTCACTGCTCCATCAAAAAGTCTCTGACGTTCTATATCCTCTTAAAGGAAGATGATTTTATCCTTGAAATCCCATTCCATCTTTACCTTTGTTGCTAAAACAGTCATACTGAGATCTCATTGTTACAATAGTTCCCATGGACATTTATATAGCACAAACTAGACCATTTGAAAAACTGCACCAAATCACCAAGACTTGATGTATGAGTAGTCAGATTACTATCGGATTAGGGACAGAAATTTCTATCCCCTTATACATTCCATCCTCCCATCATAATTTATGTTACATTGAAAGTATTAGCAATGTTTTTGGAACAATCTGCGGTTTCTTAAGACTGTTTTCCTAAAAATCATACTTACCTTCAGCATGGCCATATTTAATTCATCTTTACAGTCTACGAGCTGCACCACTGTGCTTCTTTGTTCCTGCTGTCTTGAATTCTTATCAGCATCATCTGTCAAATACATTTCAGATGAAATTTAAGATAACAGATGCAGAACCAAAGCATTCTTTGTTATCTGAAGAATATGCCCCTTTTTTCTCTGCTTATAATTGAAACTTTCAATATCAAAATAAGTGAGGAAGAATGGAATACAGAACTAATAACATTAGAGATATTAACTAAAAAAAACTTGAAAAAACTTAATGCTTATTATTCCAATAATGACTGATCTTTCCAGAAACATTTAATATTAATATTGTTTATAATATGGCACATTAATGCATATGCAGCTAAAAGTGGAAAAACCATGCTTGAAACAAGTTGCAGAATAAATGCATTTTTCCACCACCCTTATAATTACCTTTTACATTTGATTCTGTAATTGTGCTTGGCTCCTTCAAGCTGTTGCTATCAACAGAATAGACGTGCTTTTCCACTTTTTCAGGTATATTATTTATTGTGGCAGAAAGGCAAATGATGAAATGCATTTTGGCTAAGGTTAATTTATTCATAATTTGTTGGTTGCACAGTGGCACCATTGTTAAAGACAGATTCCAATTAAATACATCTTCCAGTACCTACAAGAAAGTTAACAATTGGGACTACTTGAAATTACATTTTACATTTTGTTTGTTCAAAGTATATTCTGCTTTTATTAATAATTCTATTTATAACAATTAATATGAATAATATTAGTAATATGCTGTTAGTCATTACAGATGAGTTGCTGTTTTCCTTTTGAAACTTAATTCACCACTTAGAAGCACTTGCTACAGCCTCAGGGGTCAGTTTTCCAGTAGAAGGTGCATCTATGACGTTGTAGCTATTACTCTGTGTGAGTTTTAGTTTTAGCACTCTTTGAGCTAAGGTAGTCACAAAAAACATATTGGTAAATCCGTAGTTCAGAAATCTCCACTCAAAGGAAAGTCTGTTGTTACAATTTACCCTAACTAGAAAGATTAAGCAAGGAAAAAAAATCTTGTATCAGACCATTCTAGCATATTTCATAGAATCTTTTTGTTATTCATTTTAGCCTCCTTGTTTTATCTTGAGTTTAATATTCTTACTTTAGATTAATAAATTTAGAAGTTGAAAGCCTACACAGCTTTGCAAAGTCATAAAGAGACCAATAAGAGTCCCATATAGACAGTGAAGTGTTCAAATCAAAAGCTCGAGATAAAGCACAACTTCAAAATAAATCTGAAACTAGTGAGATCAGAAGCTGTCAAGATAGAAATCTCATTTCTGTCTTCTCACATCGACTGTTGTTGAAGACACACAAGTTTACTGTAAACAGAAGAGACAAAAGTGGAGAGAAAAATGGGGGTTTTTTCTACTTTATCAGTTTGTACAGCTTCTTTTTCACATTCTGCTAACATTTACCCCTACTGGCTCAATGGATCTATGACAAGGCAAGTGAAAGAAAATTATTAAAACTGAAACCCAAAAAAGTCTTGATGAACATCCAATTTTAATTAAAATGAGAAATGACTGTTCATTAACTGGTTTACAGATTCACCTTCCTCTCCCTCCTGTCCCCTCCAGAAATGCACTTCAACCCCAATCTGAATTAGGACAAATCTCTGCAGACAGCTCTGATTGATAGAAATTATAAGAACATGTCTGCTGTTCTCAATATTTTACCAGATCCTACATATCATGACAAAACTGGAATAATTCTTTGCACAGACAAGTCACAGATTTGTACATATTAGGTTCTCCTATCTGAAAAATGGTGATAATGATACTTGCCTCTCCCTTGAGAGGTCAGCCATAAAATTTAAAATTTAGGAAATGGTAAACTGTTGGGGAGAATATGTTTTCCATTTATGGTTTTTCACTAATAACAAGTATATTGTCTGAACCAAATAATCTCCAACTGATGCCAGAGAAATACATATTTATGTCTAGCATAAAAGTTTTAGCTCTTTAAGATCTCTTTTACCTGTAAATTTGTAATGGTCAGGAGAGATTTTGAGGAGTCAAATTTCTGTAAAGCCTGTAAAATGAACAATACCAAAAATAAGTAATGACCTACAATATGAGTATAAAATAAGTGAGTTAGGAGAGCAGTGGACAAGTGTAGTGCATTTCCAACTATACTTTGAGGGCTCTGAAAATACCACCAATTAGATGGCTTCTATGGGCTTCACATTTCTGAACCCTAACCCAAGACCCAGAACTATTCCCTACACCTCCTATGACATTCACCACAATTATTCAACTTGAAGCGAGGGGAGAAAAAGGCATAAACCAACAAAAACCCTTTTCCAAATTCTAGGAGCTCTGTAGACACCAAATATTAATTGCCTTTATGTTCTTTACATTTCTGAATCTCAACCTAATTCCAGACTTAGCACATGCCTCCTCTGCTCTTCACCAGAGCGTAGACCTGTGAATGGAACAAAGCAATGTCTACTATTTGACCTATTGAAAGGAATTTAGGATTATTTTAGGAATGTGTAATAACTTGCAGATGTGGAGTATGTGCAGTTTCATGAAGAACATTGAGAGTTATATTTTGATGTTATACTTTACTGGTGTTTACCTGCATTTGTTCAATTTCTCTGTATCCTGCAGGTATTTTCCATGGAATTCTCTCTCCACAATTAAGCAAAGACAGTTCATGAAAGGCCTCCATAAAAAATCCTATATCTGTAAGTACTTTAATCTGTGAAAAAATAACAGATTTTTATTTAAATAATTTTCAATTATTCTTTTTGCTAAAAATAGCATGTATTCAAAGGTAATTTTCAAGTAGATTTGGCTACTGGAATAGTAGTACATTGATGGAGAATGTTCTTCAATGGAAAGAAATCTTTTACTTTTTTTACTTAATAAGTGACATCTTCTCAAAGATGGGTCCTTCTCATTTAAAAAAAAAAAAAAAAAAAAAAAAAAAAAAAAAAATAGTAAGGATAATAAATTCACTTTATAAATGCCCTGATATTGCTATTGTTAGCATTGTCCTCGTTTCCCATTTAAAAATTCCTGGTTTGGGTTACATAGAACACTGAAAAAATATAATTGTTTAAACTGAAATTTTATGTGGTGGAGTGTAGGTTTCAGAAAATTTTTCATTATTTTTTCCCCCCTCAAGCTAAAAAAATTCACCTGTTTTCCCTTTAATTTAAAAAAAAAAAAAAAAAAAAAAAGAAAAAAACCAACCAAAACCATATTGGTTTAAAACTTGCTTCTGACAAAGGAAAAGAACTCAGTTCATCTGACTACAGCTTTGAGTGTCAGTCGATCAGCTCCTTATCAGAATCTGTTTCACAGACTTTACTAATCTTAGTCCTGTGGTACTCAGCTATTCTCCCTAACCTGTATCAGCATTTCCTGAAAATATCTAAAACCAATAATACTTCAACTTTTACTACAAGTTAGATTCCTTAAAAAAAAAACCAACAACCAAGGGTAAAAAACAACCAAACCAAACAAAACAAAATCAACAAGGGAACATTAGTGAAATGACAAAATTCTGTTCCCAGAAGTCTGATAACCTGGTTCCACCACAATGCTGATAAAAAATCCAGAAGTTAACACTGTGAATAAAAAATAATTTCTGTTTTGCACTTAAGAAAACACTTAAACAAATGGTGGAACAAGATAAAAAATATCAAGTAAAAAGTTTGGATCTAAGAGAGAAAATTTATGAGCATATCTTTAATGAAAATGCTTGTTGAATGAAGACTAGAAAAAAATTATTAAAGTAATTACTAGTCTCTGTAGGACAATAACAGTAAAACTGTATAAATAACTCTACAACCTACTAGAATTGAGAATATAAATAATAATTGCATTTAGAAAGTAGTCCTATTCTACAATCTGTTGTGCAAAGAAACACTAAGGAACAGCTGAACTTTAAAGAATTATTTTTCATAGTAGTGATATATGAAGAAATATTCAATCAACTACATTCAACAAAGAAATTAAAAGTTCATTTGAAATACTGTGCTGTGATAAAAAGAAAGTTTCTTTGATTACCTTAAAGATTCTCCCTTCAATAGATTTAGCTGGGTCCTTACAAATCTCAGAAACAAGGTATTGGTATAACGTGAACAATGGTAAAATCTGTAGGAAAAGATTAGGTCTCCTAGTTATAAATGTCATAATGGGTACAATTATAGAAATGTAGATTAAAATTATATATTGCAAATATATAGATAATATAGCAGTACTCCTTTCACTGCCACATACCGCCACTACTTGTCTTACGCTCTGTGAAGGATAATTGTGTTTAAAAGTTCTTCAGCTGGCTAAAGCTAATGCCTTATACTATCTTCTATGTGATTCACAGTGTAGAAAGTGAAGTTTCCCCAAATTATTCTCTGTGTTCAAAGTGGGGCTTTTTGCTATACCATTAGAGAGTAAACCTACTGGAAAGATGTTGATATAAGGGATTTCCATAATTGTCTGCATTTTGATGCCATCTTTTCAGTTTAATTAACAGAATAATAGAATTCTGTGAGCTTTATAAAATAGATACAATGAAGTCCTGCAATTGTCTAAGTGAAATGATATCAATTGTAAAATAAACTGGATGGTGAGGAGGCTTATAGACAAATTTATTTGCATTCATTTAAAATTGAAATTTTTTGTAGGGGCAACTAACAAAAAACATTTTTAAACTGAGTTCTAGTAAAATATACAAACACTGTTTTTATTATTATAAAGTATTTCAGAAAAAGCAGATTCTTTCCTAACAGATGTATTTGTTTATTGAAAATGAAAGAACTTCCAAAATGTAATTACTGTTCAGCTTTTACATTTTTCTTCACTTTAAAATGTCCTCCAGCTTGGAAAATGCTAACAGAATTGCCGCTTTCTTGTCAAATGCACTTTTATTTTTTTATAAAGTAGTTTGATACTTCTGAATTTGGATTACAAATGCCTGAAGCAAATGTTTTAATTGCACCCATGCAGTTTCCAACTGATATTTGAAGTAGTTCAACAAAATTGGTCTTTGAAGTCTTATTTTTAATAAAACTTGAATCTTGATGTGTTTTGGTTTTAAGTGTCAAATCAACTTAGTGCCCACCATCCAAAACATTCCCACGCATTAAGCATTCAGTGGAAATTAAGCTCTCATCCTGCTGAAACTGCAACTGCTTTGACCATGATCTATGACCCGGATCTATATTCTGCTAGTACAAGTGCAGAAAGAATCAAAAATGTGCATGGGCATATGAAGGAAGTGGTCAAATTAAGCATCCTGCTTCCAGGTAACTGCTCCGTGATGTCATTTGATCTCCCATAGTGAGGGCAGCTAGACAAAGCTTAATAACAAAGTGAACTCCAGTAAAGCAGGATGGGAAGAAGCAACAACAGACACTTAGTCTGAAGTTTCAGAAGAAATCAATCCAATGAATTGCTTTCTGATAAAAAGAAGTAACATCTTGCTGCCTCCTCCTCTCTAACTCCTCTTCCATCTCCACCCCCCAACATTTTCTTACTTCTCTGCCACCAACCACGCACTCTTCCCCTCCCTCGCACTGGTTCTTCCACTTGCAGGACCTTTCCATAAGTGCAGTCAACTCATTAAAGCAGGAGAAAACTATCTATTTTTTCTGCTGGGGAGTTTTCTGCCATGCTGAGAGTTGATTTATTGAGGTATACAATTATAACAGAGGTAAAATTCAATCTTTTTCAGTACTAGTAAGCAATTCAATCTATTTCTTCCAATGTCCAGCACTGCACCTTTGAAAGAAGTTGGATTTAAGTGTAAATGGTCAGTAATTAAATGGAGCAAATAAGCAAAGGATCAACGTAAGAGGGAAGCTATAAAACCATTCTATACAGAGGAATAAGAGAATGTGTGAAGGAGAAAGCAGAAGATACTTTTATTTACTGAATGTGAAAGTAAAATTATTAAAAGCATTCTGGACACACTACATTTAAGGTAATTCTCAGTATAGTGTATGTCAAAATGTATATATTAGGAAATTTCCTCTAAAATGCCTATGCTAAGTGTACCATGTATTGTCATCTTTGTGAATAAACAAGTACCCTGTATATTCTAAAAATTGTAGGCAGAAAGCTATACCTTGCCTCTATCTCAGTGCCACAGAACCTAATTATACAGATATTTTGTTAGAGCTTCTAAGTTTCTTCATAAGTACACACACACACACACAAAAAAAATTTGGTTTGTTAAAATTCACTTCCAGAGTATAAAAATTATACTTACTACTAAATTTTGTTTTGCACAATGTAGTTCAAACGTAACGAAATTCAGACTTGCAACTACAGTGGAGATATCAGCTCTGTAGCGATCAGAGAACAAGTCGATACCAGGAATAAGCATATTTGTTTCATATTGTGCAAAGTCACAGTCAGATATTGGATGTGGAAGAGAAGCTCTAAACAGGGTCTGAAAGTAAAAATAATGAACTATTTGTGAAAAGATGTATAGACATTAGTGATACACTATAAAACTCCAACCCTTGACACTCATAAATGACTTCATAAATGAAACTTAAGTATCCAGTTGTTTCCAGACAAAACTAGGAAAAATCTTTTCAGAAAAAATACCTTATGTGTGAACTTGATGGGGAAAAAAATAAACAGGCTGTAAATAGTGTAAGGACAGTCTTTCATAGAACAAAAGCAAAAGAGAAAAACTAATCTAGGCATAGAAAAATAATCATGAAAGATTCCTCAGCAAGTATACTCCCCAGGTACTGAAAAATCTTCCTAAATAGCCAATGGCTTTTCTCTCAGATTCCAAGTCAAAGCATCCCAAATAAATCTCTGGAAACAATGAAAAAAAAACACAACCTAATAAATCACTATGGGTTCTCATAAAGAGATCTTAGATAATTCTTAGGATAAGCCTCTGATCAGCAGACAGAAAGATCTCAGTAATTTATTCTAAGATCTCCATAATCAAGGAAAATGCATAGGAAAAAATTGTTAAGATGATTCTGGGGATGTGTTCAAACATTTCTGTACTAGTCTGAAGGTATTTCATGGAAAATGTCAGAAGAAAAATCTTTTTATTTTCCCCACAGTCTAAGAAAGCTAGTTTGATTTTACTAAGCCTTGAGTCCTTGCCCTGCCATCATCTCAGCTGTTGTTTCTGGGAGAGAAAAAGGGAGAAGTGCTAATATTGTCTCTGATGTTGGATATTCCTTCTCAATTGTGTTTTTCTTGTAATTAGCAATGATATGCTAGAGAAACATGCATTTACATACTCAGTTCTGAGATATTAACAGGCCTAAAGCCAATACCAGAGGTGGAATTTAAATAAGGTTATAAAAGCTTTCCAAATCAAGGAACAAATTATGGGCTTGAACTTCACAAGGTACAGTGACAGTAATTGATTATATTTTTCAAGACACTGACCCTGCAAGCTGCTCCTATCCCAATTAATACCAGACTCACTTCAGTCAAGTCACAATTATTTCTACCATTATACAACTGGAACAAATGCTTACTACTATTTCTGTCAAAAGGAGGAATCAAAATTGTTCAGCATTGTACCACAAATAATTACAGTGCTGAAAGCTAGCCAAAATTCTCCTTTACCTTCAGCTTGTTCTCTTTTTGCTGAGCTTAATGAGGTTTTGAACATGGCCTAGCACAGGCCACATAGGTCACAACCAAGGCACAAGTTTTTAGAAAATGGCATTGGTTTGTTGTGGAAGAAGCCAACTAACTTCCTGCACTGGGATGAGTAAGCATTGATCCCGGTGGAATATGACTGGCAGAACACATGCAGTTCTTTTCCCTATATCACTTTTGTTACTGGTATCTTAAAACTTCCTTTTAAAAGTAAACTGAAACCTTTTTTTCTTTTATAGTTAGTTGCTAAAAGTTTGAAAACTCAGTTTTAATGATCTTGTTTTCTTTGTAAATGAAACTGAATAATTTTGAGTATCCTCTCTATTTAGAGCTGAGATTTTAGTATTTCAAACCAATATCTTTCAATGCTAAAAAAGATTCAAACGTTTCTTTCTCTAAAGAGTCTGTTCTCCTGGTTTGAAAATTTCATTATTTCTCTGAGACACTAGCCTCTTATTGAAGTGATAATTTTAGTCTATAATACAGGAATAATGTTAAAAACCAGAGAACAAAAACATCTAATCTAATGTGCATAAATTGTCAACTACTTCTGATCTCCAGTTTTCCTTTACAATCAAAATGAAAAGAGAAATATTTTAATAGAGGATTATTGAGATTTAAATTTTAGAAGCAATTCATGAATTCTAACTGAAGTTGTATTCTTACCTTAAAAAGTATAGCAGAAAAATAGCAGTATTTAGTTCTTAATCTCATCTGTGATGTTGTTATATACCTAAAGCGCAACAAATAGTAAGAAATACGAATATGCCCATCAATATAATTATTCTAACTCTTTTTTTTTTAATCTAGTATAATAATGATAATAACACAATCTAGATGTTTTCCACATTGGAAAACAGCTGCCTGTTCTGTAGATAGGTGCTCAGCTGTGCCACACAAAGAAAGAGGCATTTGACCAAAGATTTACCTAGACAAAGAGAGTTGTCTCGATTCTCTCTGAAGTTAAAGAAGTCCAATCTAAGTGCAAAATCAAACTAGAAAGATAAAGCAGGTAACGCAACTCACACCTTAGTGTTTCCATAAAGGAAGCCTCAGATAACTAGCACATGAAGACTTTCACACAGTAGGTGTCTAGCTAGATTAAATGAATCCCACACAGTACCTCATCAGAGCTTTAAACCATCCTGGTAGCAGGGCTCTCCTCTGATCTACAAGATTAGAAAGCTTTAATACAATATTAGAGGTCCCTAATCTCTATTCTGCATTTTATAGGCTAAATTGCTCTAGAAAGAGCAACTCAAGGGAAAGATGCTTAAAAGCCCAAATCAGGCCTGAATAGAAAAGATCTGCCTGAGGGAGAAGCCGAGAGGATGGCTGCCTCCAGATCCCTGCCAGGATTTGGAATGGACATATCAGCCATAAAAAGGGATAGTACACAAGCACCTGTAAAAGCAGCTAGGCATTGGGTCTCACCTCATTGGACCTGAAATTGTACCATACCCCAGAATTAGAAGAGCTGCAGTTTAGAATCAACTTAAAGTCACTCCTTTTCCTCTTGGGTGCTAGTTCCTCATGTGCCAATGCCACTTTATCCCGAAATACCCGTGCTAATACCTTCAAAGCTACCTTGGTTTACAGATATTTTACAGCTATATTAATATGCTCTGCTTCTTCGGGAAGAGAGTTTACTCAGATAAAGCTCTGCCCTTTCATAGTTATAATGCTTCTAAGGTCATTCAGAGCTGGCTTATATTTCTAAATTTTATATTTTGTGCATTTTTGTATTGTACAATACATTGAGGAACAGCTCAGGATTACATCCATAGTGTTTTACCAGCAGTCAAGGAGTACTGGGCAGAAATATTTATTGATGGTAGACTTTAATACAGTAATTCAAATTTCATTTAGTTGTAATTCACCAGAAAATGAGTGCTTTAGGCAGTAAATCTGCCCTTAAGATACATTAATATTTAATATGTGCAATGACTTGGGAGATGTGATATTTCAATTGAAAATCAATATGACTGTAAAATCCTTGCCCTTATGACTTTTTATCATTTTGTTTTATTTTAATGATCTCTCCATATAATTTACGGCTGCAATTACGATCAAAGATGAGCACTGAAGAAAAGGGAAAAAACAATATTCTCCAAAAGAGCGACTTTTTTTCTGAAAGGAAAAACTCTGCTTTTGATGAATCTTTTTTTATAGCAACTCACTAGTGTTTTTAAATTAATTTCAAGTTGCCTACTGTCCTGGATGAGCAATTTGTTTAAAATATGAAAGAAATTATACATATATGAAATACTTACTGAGCTATCTTAGCCACTAAGACTGCTGCATGTAAACATCCCCAAACTCCAGCCTGAGAAAGAAATTTCTGGCTAATATCAGTCAATCTTCCAACTGCAAAGCAGTCTGTAGCATTTGTTGGAAAACCAAACTTTTGCCAGTTGTTAAGAGCATCAGCAATGTTGAGTGTTTCATCAAGGGCTTGACACCAATATTTAAAAGCAGCTCTGTAACACATAAAAAACACACTCATCATATTGCTGACATTTTCCAAAGTGGAAGATAAGACTTGTTTCATTTTACCTTTATTGCCTGAGTTATAACTAATTCTGATTAGGTCAAAAGTTGAAATACAGTTTCTACAACACAAAAATATACCATACCTGGTCAACAGACTTATTGGAACTTACCATAAAATTAAATTGTCAAGCAATAGATATTACTTCCTAAAACCACATAGAGATGCTTAATCAATTTACTTAATTGCAATTAACTAGCTAAGAAAAATAAACAATTTCTAGTAAAAAAGCCTCTCACAATATAGCTACTAGTGATTTAGTTGAAAGCAGTTATATGGAGTCGAGGACAGAGCAAAAACTTACAAGACAGTTGAAGGGTATACGAATGCCTATTAAAAAATGAAACCATGCTCTTTTTTAATCCAATAACTATGTACCTTTTGTCTCCAGCATAAAAGTGAAGATTTCCAAGTTCATGTAGAGCCTGAACCTTGAGGTCTCTCTGGTTGTTTATTTCAAGGATTCCTGTTATTTGTTTTATAATCAATTAGAAAAAAATATTGTCACATCATTAAATCAGTTACTGAATCTTGAAGAAATTTTGCTTGAGAATTAGACAGGCATTCACATGTAATTAAATGCATGAATATTTCTTTAAAGATTGTATATTTTACCTTCAAATATACAATTTCTTATTTCTACTAACTTAAAAAAAAAGAGTAGGATGTATTTATGGACCTGTTTACCTAAGCTTTTTTGGTTTTGTTTTCTCAGATATATAAAATTTCTTCATCTTCAGGAGACAAACTTGGAAGCACGCCATTCACCAGGGCCCTGCTAAACAATACTGCCTGTGTACAGCACACTAGCAATGTCCCTGTCATTTCTAGATCCCTTACTTCAAATAAAACCACTTATGGCATCTGTTGACCTGCGACACTTCACCTATTTTTGTCATACAGCAAAAACAGGTAAACTGTAACTGTATGAGTAAAGCCATACTAAAATGTAACATGGAAGCCAAGCAACTAGGTCTCATATTCAAATGCACAGACCCCAAAAGGTCTGTTCCCTAGAAAAAGAAGCTATCATGGAATTCAAACGAATCTGCTGAACTTTACAGCAGATTTTTAGTTTGGGATTAATCAGTATAACTCCATTGAAGTTATGCTTTTTCACAAGATGAGATAACTGTAGAGGTTATGAACCAACTAGTGGCTTGTTTAGGACCTAATGCAGCTTTTCTGAATCAACAGGAAGAAGGTTGTATGTTTATCGAAACCACCTTTCAGACAGTTATAACTAACAGAAAAGTAACGCTGGAATAAACATTTGTGAACACAAATAGGCAGAATGATATTACATGTTATCTGTATACATAAATTTAAATTAAAAATTACCAATTGTTTTTTCATAGGAAGAGATAATGACTGAAAGCTGTGATTGTGGTATAGGTCTACTCTCAACCATACTGGAGAAAATAAATTTTTCTTGAGAAATGTCATGTGGTGTTGGTCGAAATATCATTTCAGGTCCCAGACTAAATTCCAGCCTTCTTTTCGAAGAGGTATTACTGCTGATCGGTCTTCCAGCATTTTCTAGATCAGAAAAGTGATTTATGGTCAGTTCAGATAAATATTGTGCTATTTCCAGCACCACAAGTATTTTTGTACCATACTATTCGAACAAATATATGATTCCTTTGCCCTATTTTTATCTGGTTTCCTATGCTACGATTCTGTCTGTGAGTCTCCTAAAAAACTTGTTGGACATAACTCATTTGTCAGTGCAACCAAATGAAAACATGTGCCCTGTTACAGAAAGAAACTTGGGAAGATCTTCCAGTCAGTTCTCTGACAGACATTTGGCCTCAGACAGACAAGTGACACAACTGGATTAAAAAAACCTTGTTATTAACCAACCATGAGATATAAATTATAGAAAATCAGGCTTAGAGCTTGTGCTTACAGAACCTCATAACTATATATTCTATGCTTTTCTTAATTGCCAATAGCAACTAAAACTTGATTTTTAAAAAAAATCTATTCCTTTCACTGTTTACTATTTTAACTGCATAGACATTTTACTAAGTGAGAAACAGTTAAATAAATAAATTACCTTGTGTGTAAGCAAGAAATAATGAAAGTAGTTTTCTGCTGTGTCTCAGTGCTCTGCTGTGATATTTAGATTTTTGTAGAGTTTCTCTAAAACATTTCAGTGTATCATTCACATCAAGAGGTACATAAACTAGAGCTTTTGCTTGACTGCAATCTAAAAGGAATTAAATTATGAAGAACAATTTTGCATTACATAAAAAGATATTTTTAGTAAATCACACCACAAAACATGTGTTTGAACAATTCCACAACATCAAAAGTAAAATACATTAATTGTCAGCTTTTTTTTCCTGTTGGATTATGAATTAAAGCAAAATTATTAACCACCAGGAACACTTCTAAGCATTTATATCTTTTTCAGTGTTAAATTTTAATTGTCACATGACATCTATATTCCCTCAATTACATCTGCCATGGACATGTATCAGCTCAGTCCTCTACTCTGAAATCTGGTGTCTGAAGTCTGGAAACATCTTTTACTACAACTGCTCATCCCATTTACTGTAATTCCCATAATTTCTATGTGCCAAACCTGTGAGCTTGCATGCTCTCTCTACTGAATGCATATTATCTCCTCTTACATACAGAATTATTTGTTGTTTAATGACTTCTCTCTGCTGAATTCAACACAAAGCTTTGGGTGTCTGTGATATGAGGAACTATGCTTTACAAACTTGCATCAATGAACTATAACACTTTAATCCTGGCTGGAAAGTACAAGAACTGTGGATAAAAGAGGTGTTTTGTCACCTTACAGTTCACTTCAGTTTTTCTATTGATTCTATCAATAACAGCTCAGGTTCAGATTAACTTCTGGGTATATTTCTGGATATCCAACAATACTAATGGAAAACTGGGCCAAGACCACCAAGCTCACTCAACATACTGTAGTTCATCTGGCATCTGGATGACAAATGCTTTCCTCTGCTTTCAGATACAGTCTGAATATATTTGGAAAGATCTCAACAACATTACTATCCATCCCAATTTTCAAGAATAATAATTTGAAGAAAAAATTGAGTTTATATTAAAAGAAACAGATTATAGAAGCAGTGGAAGACTTATGATAAGGAGGAAAAAAAAAATCCACTATGAAAAAAAGGAAACAGTTTGGGAAAAAAAGAACTCATGACACCGAAATGTGCTCTGACCTGTATAATCATTTTTCTTCTCAGAATAGGAAAAGGATCCAGGAAAGATCTGTTCATTAGCAGAATGGGTGACAGGCAATGGTAATTTTTGCCCTATGTAGTTTCTGCAACTCATCTAAAAAGCAAGTTTTGTTTCATGATATTCAAATCAGATTCAGAAAAAAATCGATGTTTGGTGCTTAAAGTTAGGTCTCTAAATACACAGACATATGAAAAAATAAAAGAGGACTAATTTACAAAGACACCCATGACCCATAACTAGTGTCCATGTCAGTAAGAGGTGAAAAATTTACAACACCTAAATGTTGGATATAAGTGTTCAGACATTAACCAATTATACTGGTATTTGCCATAATCGTGAGCAACTTGATGTTCAGCACATATTCCATCTTTCTTTGTCTGGGTAAATGCTTGCTTGCAAGGAACCTGGCAGTGTAGTTATGCCTAAAGGGCACGCTGCCTGTAAAGCACAATGCAATGCTGCACAGGGATATACAAAATAGCTCTAAGCAAATAACAGAAGCGCTCTAGCCCTGTCAGAGGAGCAAACTTTCAGACTTCTATAATGGGCTAATCCAGCACAGATATTTTATTTTGCTAAAGTAGCTACATCACTTCAGAAGCAAAAGAACCAATTCAGAGCTAGTTCTAGTCTCTCTGAATGGCACTGCATTGTGAAATGCAGCCATACCCTCCAGATTTCTAATCTGATGATATCTTTTTTGAACAATTCTTACTATTATTATCTAACATTAGTCTTTATTCTGTAAATTGTCTTTCAAAACTATGACTGCTTTTCCATGTTGCTCAGTTTACAGTGGCATGTGGTGAATTGCCACACCGCTTTTTTGGGTTTTTTTGGGAGAGGACTATGTTCTGAACAGCAGGGCTCAAAAAAAGACTGCAGGAAACAGCTTGATTAGTTTTGGGCTTAGGAGCAGTGTTTCAATGCAGAAACAAAGCAATTTCTTTGTATTTAATTTAATTAATCACAAAGATTGTGCAATATCCAAATAAATGTTTTCAGGTTAAAAGAGCGGCATCAAGAACAAACATAAAATTAGATATAGGCTCATAATATAAAATGGGTACATTATGCATGGAAGAAATATTCTCTGGGTCATCAAGTCCAGACCTCTGCTGTTGCTGGAATTATGTCATATGAGCATTTTCATGCACTTCAACAACTATATAATTTATTATAATTTACTATTTGTGAACATTGTGGAAAACCGTATTAATCTACTCATTGAAAGTATTTCTCTATATTTAGTTCACATCAAGAGTCAGAACCCAAAAAAGAAATCTGTGGTTCACCTTATGTGCATCATCAGCTAGATATTTTATGAAATTAGATTCATGGCTGTCAGGGCCACTGAATTGCTGTATCCTTTCCAGCAGCTGCCTCTGAGCATATACCAGCAGTGGACTCACTTGCTCTGTGTACCTCTCACTGGAAAAAAAAAAAAAAAGAAAACTTTTGTAATTAAGCAAATTAACTGTGTATTTAACTCTATAATGTTGGGTTTTAGTTTTTATTGGAGTTGGTGTAACTTACTGTGTAAATACGTTAAATTGTACAGCTATGTGTACCAGTGCTTCCCACTTCTTCATTTGATATAACAATTCTATTGTTTTAAGAATCAGATTACATATCCATTTCAAGTCAACCACATTCACATCATCCAGGGGAGACTGTGGATGGAGATTAGAACCACCATTCTCATGAGCAATACCTCCTAAACAACTGGGAATGCAGAAGTCTCCTTCAGGATCCACAATCTACAGTGAAGAAACATTATTATACCAGTTATTTTCAAACTTCTTTTTAGGACAAATCAAATTACAAAGATTAGAAAATACTGCAATCCTCTAAAAACTTGTTACAGAGAGTAACTTGGAGATACCAGAATACAATACAAGAGAAAGAAAACTATCTCTACTCAAGGTGCGATAATAAAGAGTATAGCCTTAATTAAAATATTTTTTACCTTAAGAGACCCGCTTGCTTGCAGTTCAGTTATCATATCAACGATCATGTCTGATGCCAAATAAAATGGCAACCAGACAGTGTTTCTAAGAAAATCCCTGGTAATAGGAAATGCATCCGTATGGGAATGTGAATGGTTAGCAATCAACTGTAATTCTTGAGTATAGTTCCAAAGTTCTCGACAAGCGTTCTGAAGCAATGTCCAGTGGCCACCACGGTGAGCAAGAACCTATGCATATCATTCAAAGTAGAATTATACTTTGGAAATACAGAAACCTAAAGCTTCATTCTTTTATTGAAAACCTTAGGTATACGTAATCTTTCAAAATTACAGTCTATGGATCATTCTTAATAACAGATCATTCAATATTTCAATTTATATAAAGCATTATAGAACCTTAATTTGGAAATTTTCGTAGAAGCACTAATTTATAATTTATTTTAATTGTTGCTTTTGGTGTGAGAATAAGAAACAAAAATTAATTCACACCACATATACACATGTTTTTACTTGGTTTTAGAAGGGTTTATGGGAAGAGCAGTCAGTCTACATTTCCTTTCAATGACTGGTGGTTTTTTTAATGCTACCAAGGCATTCACTAAGACCTGTATAGCAAAAGGTAAGTCTGCAAGTATTTTCAGAAAAATTTAAGAAACATGAGAAAGAAAGTCACAAAGACTAATTGAAAAAATAAAACATTTACATAAATCATTATATGATTGATATAAATATACATTATAATAGGTGACATGTCTGACATATTTCGTATCCTGTACTTGGACATTTTGCAGAAGTTGAGAAATCACTGTTTTTTCCCACTGAAGTTTTTTTGAAGTTTCTGACTTGTCTTTTTTTTAATGTAGGAAGCAGTAAGTATTGTAATGCGATGCTCAGTTATAAAATGTTTAATAAGAAAGCTTATCTTACCACTGCTCTTCTTAAATGCAAAAAGATTTTTGTAAAATGCTCCAATAAAATGGTATTTGACAGAAACTGGTTGCATTCTGTGGGGGAATGAGAGACGGATATCTCTGTATCATTTGTCATTTGAGTTCGAGGACTATTTGTTCCACTTAGCTTAATGCTGCACTCAGGAGACTTCTCTGTATCTGAAGACAAAAGTTCACTGGTTAAAAATTAGTTAGAGTTCTCAAAAAAATAAAAAAGAAAATATTATCAGCCAGCTAGGATTTTCTGTGGCAACTAAATACTGAAATGCTAGAAAATGCCAGTGTTAAGGTTATCATATTTATAAGGTTATGATATTTAAAATATAAGATGCTTCTACTTAAGTGTTGGGAGAAGCAGATATAAAAAAAGTTTGAGCAAAATATTAATGTATACCAAGTAGTTCTCAGCCTTAAAAGCCAAAACATAACACTCATAGAAGTTTTAAGAAAAAATCACCACGTGCCAAGACCCTAAGAACCTTTCTGAAACTGAGGCCTCTTAAAAGGAGAAGTTAGGAAGAAGGGAAGATTTGTGACAAATTTTGTAGTATGTGTAGGAGTGCTTCATTATTTTATTCCTTAGCAAATATCCTCTAAGGGGAAACACAAAGGTTCATGGTAGGGTAATACAGTAATATCTGAGCTATAGGTTTCAGGCAGAAGCTAATTTCAAGCTAAACTCTATAGCAAGCTACACACTTCATGAAATTCTTTCATTCAGAATCACTGCAAAGGCTAGGAGGTAATGAACAGAATTTTCGTCAGTTTTCTGACACTTTCAGTGACTGAGTTCTCAGTGACTTGTAAGTATCAGCACAAAAGAGTATAACTAAAAGTAAGCTGTTGCAAAGAGAACCAGCAATTCAACTGTAAGCTTTTGGCATACCTCCTTGGAAAAGGCAGAAGCTGGTTGATTCCTACCTAAGGAAGTCCTACATGGAATGTTAGGAGAATTTTGCTCTCTACAGCTGTGTCAAGAATACATTCCCTGAAGTGCTACTTAAAAGACCAGACTTCTGATTTCTTCTTGAACTTAATGTGGCTAAGCAGACTACTTTGCATTGACTTGTATGTTACCACCAACATCTTAGGTAATCAAAGTCCTATATTTCACAATTACCTACACGTAGCAGCCTTTCAACTCCTGTTAAAACCTTAGAGGATGTTATTAAAAGTAGCTACAATAATAGAACAGTCAAATGTGAAAGACAGAGAATTGCAGTAAAAATGGTACAAGATAAAAAATTAATCCTGAGGTAGCCTCTGTCATGGGAAAACATAGGGGAGCAAGCAGTGGAGAAGTATTTTACTTAAAAACTGAAAGATAATAACAAGCTTCAGGCTATAAATTTAAGAAAGACTTACAGAACGTCCCAGGAAATTGTTGACCTGTTAGGAAATCTAAAGGAAACTACAGACCAATTAACAAACACAGAAACTGATAAAAATTATCATTGCATTTAGAATAATCCAGAGTATTATCAATTTAATAAGTCTAGTTAACATGGCTTCTGCAAAACAAAAGCTAGTACCACTAATTTATTAGAATTTATAAACCTGTTACTAAAGTACAGGATAAAGAATAACCTCTTGATAAAAAGCAACTTTTTTACTAATACAATAAACTATTCTCAGTGTTATTATAAACACCCCATTAGTGACTATGTAGATGTGCCAAAAAGAGAAAATACAGAGGGCACTTTTGAAATCCAGAAACATCTTCTCGTTAAATTGGCATGAGTGTTTTTCCAAAGTTGATGTGGAGAACTAATGGTGGAGGTCAGGACAGAAATTAAGAGAAAGAAAAAGATAAGTTGAAACTGATCCCAGTTGTCGACCTATTAAAAGTTCTTACAAGTTTGTTTTTCGGTCATTCCTGACTTTTTAAGAAGAGAAGTTGGTGTTCTCATGTCATTCTCTGCAGCTTCTCTCACCACTACAGTGCCAGAATTATTTAATGAGAATGTTTCAGGATCCAAAATATTGTACCTGCAGAATAGAAGAAAAAGAACAAAGTACCAAAAAAAAAAATCCCAGATATAATATTTAGAAGAATTTCGATATACACTCACAAAATTCAGTTTTGCAAAAGTGAGTTTTGGTTACTTTCCAGCATCTTTAGGAATCAGAAACAATGAATGATAGCCAAAAAGTTATAAGGAAGCAAAATATAGCACAGTATAATATATTTCAAAACTTTCATCTGATTAGTCAAGCAAGCAACCAAAAACGTGTCATATGCTATATGATGAAAAAAAAAACTTGTTACAAAGTAAATTAATTTGCATTTGGATGCTGAACTGTTCTTATGACAAACTGACTTATGATAATATAATTCAACTTGTTTGCATTAATGGTAATAACACAATAATCCATATTAATAACAATCATTGATAATGCAGTAAGATATACCTGTCCAGATGCTGTGAACCACAAATTCCAATGTTATATTGCTCTTCCAGTTCCTTTCTAAATAAATTGTAGCATGCAATTGCCAGATAGATATTCATCTGAGACCTCCAGGGCATCTCTTCAAGACATATTTGATGAAACTTCTTTTGGTTTAAGTAATTTATCACAATTGGTTTCAGGAGTACCACTAAGGTGTGACGAGCTACTTTTTGCAATTCTGCCTTATATTTCCTAAACCAAAGTATATGAAGTAGCAAAAAAAATGAAACTGTGTTTTCTTGAAGCTCTGGAAAAGATTATCATGATAAAGATGCACGAAATTCTCCTATTGCATATCCACAGACTTTTATTAGCTCAGAAGTATATGACGTATTTCTAGCAAAAGGATTTTTGCTGCAGTCAAGAAGGGCAATTGTGTTTTCCCTCTTTAAGTGCATTTAACACAGTCTAAATCCTGTCTTATATTTTATCAACTTCCATACAATGTTTGTCTTAGTATTTACAAAAAGTTCAGCTCTGTGTTTGAAGTTATTTGCACTTGAATCATCCAAATAGATTATTATAGCAAATACAGTGTGTTTCATGAAGTCTTTTCAGTAGATGGAGGGTCTACTATTATACTGTAAATTTGCATCATTTGTTTTATTGCTGTGTTTTGGTAGCAAATCATCCTCAATGTGAAGAAATTTTTTTTTTTTTTTTAATACAGATGCCTGGCTTTAATTTCCAGCCATAGATTATTATTTTTTTTACGTTTCTCTGCCAGTTCAAGCAATTCTCTATTACCTGGCATCTTCTCTCTGTGAAGATATACACAATGCTGTAGTCAAATAAAATCTCATGTTTTCTTTTTTAGAAACTGTAATTTGATCCCTTTATCAATCCAAATTATTTTTCTGCCTGTTTTCTACCTTTAAAATGTGGGCAGAACAGCATATCATATGTAATCTTGTTATATTATACAGCAATATTATTATGCAAAAGACTAGCTGAAACAGCAAAAAGCCCAGGATAAGTTAACCATCCCCTCTTCCACTGAAAACCATGAAAATCCTGTTAAGTAAGGTGGGGTTTTTCCGGCAAGAAGGAAAAATGGACAGTCTTGGTAAATATTTAGAAGATAGTGTATGGAAGACTTTTTTTGAGGTTTTTATTTAAAACATTTCTGGAATCAGTTATGAAATTGCTTATATTCAGATATTTCTAGTTTTCTACTTGCTAATTGCTGGAAGCATAAGGGACCAAATGACCAGATAATGAATACTACAAATTCTCTTAGGTCAGAAGGTACTGTTATTACCAAATATATACAGTTCTCAGCCAAAAGAAGACAGGAATGAATTTTCATTTATTCCTGTCAAGGAACAGTTTTCTGAAAGCTAGAGAACAGATAGTCTAAAAAGACTAGCAAAAATCACTCTGAAAGTACTTGAACATCAGGAACAAATAAATATTTTTTATTCTATTTCTAATAGGTAAGCTCCCCAACACAGTTTGAAAGGCATTATAGCATGCAGATTAACATAGCTTCTCCACTATGATGAATTAACATGCTCAAGCTAACATAACTGAAATGCAGTCTTTGATTATTAATACAAAGACCTCACAATCTTCAACAGTTATTCTCTGAAACAAAAATGAGATAGATGTTGTCCGCTTGATTGGAAGCCAATTTTATAACAAACCAAAACAGAAAAGTGAGTGAACTGTGCAAAAATTCATTCCTTTGATAGAAAACAGTTTTAAAATACACGATTATAAACTAAATTTCAGTTAAAATATTTTGGTGCTGTGTTTGAAGCTGGTGATCTATGTTCATTTACCTTTGTGCTTCTGGACTTCTCATTATGTTTGGACGTTTCATTAAATACTGTCTAAGAGTCTGTCTTCTTAGATTAGGACTCAAGGCTTTTTTTTGCGGTTTCTTCAAAGTTGATGTTTCTGGTTTCTTTAAAGGTAAGATCTTCCATGAAAGTCTTAAATATACTTCAAATACTTATTTATACCTACATTATCAATTACATGATACAGCAGTTTGGTTTATGCAAGAACAGAACAAAAAATAAATTCCAGAACTGTTTGTCAAAATAAGACAGCAAAAGAAATATCTAATATTTACAATTTCTCTGGAAGGTATATGTCAAATGACTGACACTAAGAAGCCAGCCAGCTCCCCAAATATTTTCTTTCATATACGAGTGTTTTTCATCTCAAAAAAAAAAAAAATAGATAGTTGCTTTGCTATTATTATAATGCAAAAACTGAGAGAGCTTTCCCTAACCTGTCTCAGATGTTAGACGTATTAAAGCATTACTAGAGGGCTCTAAGGGAGAAAACTCTTCCTCCAAAATGATAGAAATCCATTAGGATTATTCTTACCTTCCAATAAAAGCAAAATTCATTTAAAAAAAAGTTCTGAACAGCAAGCCTTTATTGTGCAATTAGAATATCTGTACAAGGAGTTATTCCCAAAAAAGTAGAAGTACAACCTATTGTACAAAAATGCCTAAATTGATCTCCTTTTCTTAATGTGTTGGTACCCAAGGCATTTCCTGTTAACAGCTTTTTCTAAAGAGAGCTGATGGAAGGCAAGTTTTTATTGATTTTCGAATGCATTACTCTGACTCATGTCAAATTCCTCACAATTTTTGGTCTTTCAAATAAATCCCATGCAAACTTTTCTTCCTGGTTTTAGGAGTGCAGAGGTGAGCTGAGGACTAGAGTTTATAACCCAAATTTTAGTAGTCATGCACGTCTCTACCTCAGGTTTTTTCTAAAACAGCTTTTAAAAATTTTGTTTTGTGCTTATAATAGTGCTGCCCAGTAAAGACACACATGGATCCTTAAAAATAAATCTCAATTTCTGAAACTTTACCACTTCTGTAGTGTATCTGTCCATGCCTTCTGGCAGAGTGGGAGAACTTATTTCTCGTGTTGAAATTCCATTCAATTGGTCATTCCTCCTGATAAATAAATAAAGTCATCACCATCATCATAATGTTAAACTCCTTTCACAGTTAAAGGGTTATCTTTGGCAACAGGTACAACACATGCAATTTCTATTTCATTAGGAGTTTTAAATTCAGCAAGTTTTCTTTCCGTCTTCCCCTTCAACAAATAAGTTCTCACTTTCAAAGTTTATTAAAGAAATCTGAATTTTCACCTTCCTAACTCCTGGTAAAACAAAACATTTTGCTTCATTAACCAAATTCTACTATGAAATTCTGCAAAGAACTTCCTGTTCCCTATAATATATCTCCTTTCCATTGATAATTTGCTTTTCAAATTTTAGAAAAGCTGATGTGTGTTTTTAACAAAGTTATTGTTCAATTTCTTAGGGATCCTTTTAGGTAAGTGTCTAAAATTTAGTACCACTTATCTTTTCTGCATAGAATTTTTTTAGATGCTACAGTAGCACCTGATCAGTTGGCTTTTGATTTAACCCAACATACTTTTCTAAGGTATCCCATTGCCTCATAATAATCTGGCAAATGGCTATATTACCGAATGGTGTCTGTGAAAAGGAAGATCCTGGAAACTGCTGATGGTAGATAAGAGTTTTGAACAAACACAGCAAAGGGAGAAGTTTCCATGTATAATGAGGTCACAATATATTTTCTGCAGCTATACACTCCCCTGTGTTCGTGGAACTTCTGCAGAATAGGAGCCACAGAAATGGTTCCAGATGGGTCTTCTACCAAGTAGTACAATTTACAGTTTCTGCTCTAGCTGTAACACTGGTGAACCTAAGTACAAGTTTTCACTACTGCTATAATAGAGCTCTACCTTTTCAAGTAAAGTTGCACATTGCCTGCCCAATCCAGCACACTTTGAAACTTCTCTTCATTCAGGATTTTGTGCAAAACTTGAACAAAGAACTCAAGAAAACGTAATTTCTTTCTGAATTTCATCACTGCAATAAAGTAACAAATAATTAGCACAGCTTTTGTATTTATGCCGTAAAAAGTTTCTGAATTCAGCTATAATTACAGCTATGTATGTCTCAAAGCACATATTTATGCCACGTTGCATGCTAATGAGGGGATACTGATACTGAAATAGGGTAGGTTACACAATAGCAGTTGTTAAACACTTCTTGTGAAGGGGCATCAAGAATCACAAGTTCACTCTATTTACACTCCTAGAATGATAAACATTCTAGGGACTGAGAAAACAGGTTTGGAACTATTTTTGTAACATGCAGTACATAGTGCAAAAATATTTTATAACAATACTCAACATGCCTAATTGTACACGTCTGAAAATCCTGAAAAAAACAATAAAGGAAGTATAAACAGAGTAACTGCATCCTAATTATTTAGGTTGCTCTGTTCAGTGAGATTCATGTTAGTGTAAAAGCATCACACAGCTCTCATTGCAGAAATGAACTCTGTTGTCTACATTTTAGGCAGCTTTTTAATTGTTTGCAATTGTTAAATTGTTGGAGCAGTAAAAGCTGCAAACAGCTTTTACTGTTTGTCTGTCTTCATAATTTTTTACCAACACGAAATAAATAAATATTTATCCTATCTGAAAGCTATACTAATTTTACAGGCTAGGCTCCATTTTTATTTTGAACACCAATATTAAAAAAAAAATAGGCAGTGACAAAGGCCACATACAAGAACCATAAATCCTATTTCAAAAACACAACTGTACTCAGAATTTTCAGAATTCCTCTTTCAGTAATGTAATTTAATGTGGAAATGGGGTTTAAAAGTTTAAAAAGAACATTCCACACAAATAGAATGAAAACTTGACACAACTTTTAAAAAAATGAGCTCATTTTTAAGGTTACTAGAAAATAAACATTATTCAAATTATTTAAAATATTAATATTTTATATACTTAACATCAACCTCTAAAATAAATTGTTGCAAGTATTTCATACACTTCTAAATGTGACTACATTAAAAGCTTTTTTTAAGCTATGTTTTACTCAATTTTGTGTATTTGAGAACAAAATGAAGAGATAGTTATTAAGAACTTATTCCAAGCAAGAAGTAGATAGCTTTACTGGCAACTTTCTGATGTAAAGAAGCCTTTACAATTAAAATAACCACCATTTATCCTACCTTCTTGATAAGCATGGTTTGATGTCCAACATGTAATTACAGGGTAGAGGAACAAAGGATCTTCCTGTCCTATAAGCTCTGATCCACGAACTACATTAATAATCAAATCAAATCCATTATGACAAGCAGTGATAGTGTACAATAGAAACTTTACCTGAAATTGTAACTGAAGACCAGAAAAATCCTTCTTTCATACAGAATTTTCTTTCAAATCTCTCACTATCATCCAGAGAGAAAATGAAAAGCTTGCTCTGTTCTCCTAGCATAAGTACCCATGCCACTTAAATAATGAAGAGCTTATGGATGTGACTGATGAACTTCCAGCTACTAGCTAATTATGAGCAGGATGTCTGGAGTTCATCAGAGGTCTAACAAAGGTCCATACAAATCATCTGTGGAGGATGTGCAGTAAGGACACATCCAAAAATGTATTTAAGGCTATACAGCATGAACTGAACCCATGATGCTACTAGTCACTAGTGCTTACATACATGCTCACCATATGGGTAGTATAAGTAGGTAAAGGAATTACTTTTTCTTCATCTAAATACTTATATAAATTTATTTATTTATAAAAATAATATATATTTATAAAAATAAAATAAATATTTATTAAAAATAATATATTTATTTATACAAATTTATTTCTATTCTATAAATAATATATTGGATATATGTGTAAATAATATAGACAATATATAGGTATAAATAGTATATGTAATAAATAGGAGGAGAGAATAACTTGGATTCAAGCTTCTGAGTTAAACACAACTGCATTACCAGCTGATGAGCACCAGAACAATGTTACATGTGCTAGTTGCCATTTTGGCTTAATAAAACATGACCTACAATTTTGTGCTTAGGCAAGTTCTGTGGTTGAAAAAAAAATCAATGCAGCTAGTCCCTGAGAAAAGTGAGGTTAAAAAGCACCCCGGAACAACCAGTTGTGATGAGTGGATCAACAGCTACACATTCCGCTGGTAGCAGTCAGTTGAAGTCTGTTGAATGCAAATAACGTGCAACTAAATAGGACAGCCAGCAGGACAAGCAGATCTTTCTTATTTCCTTTTTTAGGACAAATCACACGCTTTACTATTACTCTCTCCTATTTGACAAGTTCAAAAACACATTGCGTCAAATGAGCATTTTCACAAAGAAGAATACCTCCCAAAATTTTTTAAATGGTAAAACATTTAACATTTCAGAATTTAAATTGTACTGTGTATGAAATAGTTTGCTTTTCTCAGTTTCTATGAAAAAGGCAGATTCAGCTCTTTATATTTTTCTCATAGACTATCATCAATGGAATGGTAAGTCTTGATGCACTTTTAAGGATTCCTTATGACAGGTTTTTTTCCAAAATATTTTTAACAGCACGCCCAGCAGGTGCGTATATTGTCCTACACCATTTACACATATTTTTGTGTCTATAAGGACAACTGTAAGTTTTGTTATTTGTTTTGCATGGCCTCAGCAAAAGACTCCTCTTCAATTTGTATCCTGAAACTTATTGACAAGTATGCTATTTCAGCAACAGAGCAGACTTCAGCCGTCAAGTATTTGCCACTACTGAAAATGTGTTTTTCTCTAACTGATCAATCCATTAATTTAACTTTCCATTAAGTAAAAATGGAACACCATTTTATTAAGCAATCAATGTAATTTTCAATTAACTTACAGAATTCATTCACTCTGTAACTTGTTGTGCAGGAATGCAGGCATCAATGTAAGCAGCAACAAATCAGTACGCAGATGAATGGAATTTTTGCATCACTCTTTTTATTCTATTTATTTCAGAAAATCATTCTCTTCTTAGACAAATGCTTTAGGGGTTGGACTAGATGACCTTTAAAGGTCCCTTCCACCACAAATTATTCTATGATTCTAGAGATGATGGACAATAACTAGAACACGAGTCAGCAGTATGCCCTTGTGGCAAAGACCAGTTGCATACTGGGCTGTATTAGAAACAGCGCAGCCAGCAGCAGGTCAAGGGAAGTGATTATTCCCCTCTATTCAGCGCTTGTAAGACCGTATCTAGATTACTAAGTTTGGTTTTGGACATTGCAGTACAAGACACTCACATTCTGGAGTAAGTCCAGAGAAGGGCCACCTAGGTGATAAGGAGCTAGAATGCATGACAAAACAAGAAGCAGCTGAGAGAACTGAGTTTATTCAATCTTAAGAAGAGAAAGCCAAAGGAGCCTATCCCTACCTAACAGGCAGAATACAGAATGTCCAGACAGACTGTTCTCACTGATGTTAAAAGAAGTAATAGACACAAGTTGGAAATAAAATTTCAAATAGATATAAAGAAAACCTTTTTACCCATAAGGGTGGTTAGCTATTGGATCAGCTTGCCCATGAAGGCTACAAAATCTCTTTCTTCAGAGTGATTCAAAATTTGACTGGATGAACCCAAGAGCAACCTAATCTAATTGTATATTTTGAGCAGGCGGTTGGAATAAATGCTTTCCAGAAATGCCTTCTAACCTAAATTATTTTGTGATTCTATCCAGGCTCCAAGGAGTTCAAGATGCCATGTAAATATAATGGAAGAAAACTCAGTAGTGGCTCTGTGTTTTAAATTCTAATCAAATTTCTTTTGTAAGTCCTTCTTGTTCACCTAACTTTGGCAGAACTATGAGCCTGAAAATTCTTGCGCTTAATTCAGACTCTAAAATATTTTCAAGTTGATATATTCATTCCTGAGTTACAAGGCAATGCTAGTATACATGCAGTTCCTTCATAATGAGGACAATTTCTGTTAACTTTCTTCTGGAAGTGTTTTCTCCACTAAAATTTCCTGCAGTGGTCATTACTACTAGCAATGGTAGGATAGTAAGACATGTTATAAATGCTCTTTGTCACTGCATTTTCTGACTTAGGAAAATAAAACAAGCCTAAATAACACAGAACCCAATTTACATGGATTGAGAGAACACATATATTTGCAGAACAGAACAAAAATGACCATTCCTTTCTAAGAAGGAATGAGTGTTTTGCTGCAAATAATGGAAAAGATGAATAAAAGTCATTATACACATCACTACCAGAGATAAATAAGATCAATGAAATTTTGATTTTGGTTATTATGGAATTAATTATCATGGAAAATATATGAAATAATAGTACTTCATAGGAAAATAATTTTTACAAATAAACCAGAGAAAAATGTAAGAAGAGTTTTAATAGTGCACTCACCTGGTTGTGTCAGTTTGAGGAGATTTGATTCAAGAGCACTTAGATTTTCTGTTGCTTTTTCCATCGCAGCTAAATGAGATTTCTTTGCAGAAGTGGTCTGAAATATCCAATACTTAGTCATGAAAACTTAGCTTTTACCTACGTAAACCCAGCAGGTCAATAGTGGAGTTTGGGTTAGAACCCAAGTCTTCTAATTCTGTATCTGATAATTTCATCAATATTGTCTTATTTTTCTTTTCAAGTGAAAATTGATGTTCATAAACTTTTTAGTATGGCTGAAAAAAACCTGGTCATGATTCATTCTTGACCGATCTCCAAGAGAGTGAGTGGAGTTGCTCTGCCGCCAAATACATTTTTAGGGAATTCCCACATGCTATTACAACATATTTGAATAGATTGTTTGATAAAATACGTTGTTTTCCAGAAAGATTAATCATTGGAAGATTATTTACTGCCTACAGAGATCAAAATGTTCCTCTGGAAAAAAAGTTTGGGTTTTTTTCACTTCTGAAAATATAATTTTCAGTCAGCCCTAAATGGCTCAAGATATCATATTGTTCCTATGGTCTTAGATTACTTGCCTTTTGTTGGTTTGAACTTGATAGCAGCTAACACAAATTCAGCAATAAAAAATGAAGAAAATCACTTGTCCTGGACCCTATCAGTGTCCTACAAATTTTCTTCCAGAAATCCTTCCTTGTGAGGTGATTGACTCTTTGTCCCTCTCTCCAATAGATCTCACTTTCAAGCTCACACTGCTTCCTTTCTGCCTCTCGTTATTCCTACTTTCTTACCTCTTTTTCAAGTCTCCTCTCCCATAAAATCTCTTCTAAAATTACTTAAAGAAAAAACAGGCAGGAAAGTATGGAGAATCAACACTTTACTCTGATTCTAACTTTTAGGATATCCTCACAACCTGATGCATAATTTTTAACTTGAGGTTGAAAGTTCTTCCTCCATTCAGAAATATTTTTCAGTCTACACAATTTCTAAGTTACTCTCTTATTATCTATCACTCAGTTTCAAGCAGCTGCTACATTCAATGAGAGGCTAAGTTTCTACATTATTTAGAATATTTTTGCTCTTCTTTACTTACACAATTCTTTTAATTATTTTTTCTGTCTTACAAAGCATTCCTGCAAACTATATGTGAAGATCATTTAGGGATGCTCATATAAATATCTGCAGGATCCTCATGGCTCTGAACTGTAATATTGACAACCCCTCTCAAGTTCAAGATGAGACCCTGTACCCACTGCAATCTGCACCTGGTCTTAATAAAGACAGATGCAATTAAACAGAAGCCTCTCAGCTGTACTTTGGGATCTCTTATTCTATGAGGAAACTCTTACTTCATACAATCACTTCTGAAACAAAAAGTTAATAAATGAGGTCTTCAAAAATAATAACCACAGAATTTAAAGAAAAGAAAAGTGAAAATCAGAGCAATTACTTTAACTTCTTTGTTAGTGTGTGTTTCTTCAGTTTTTGTAGCTCCTGAATGGCCAGGTGAGATTGCTGATGAGGTATCCAACAATTTTTTCCCATAGTTAACAATAATTACGGCTAGTTCATATTCTTTCCATGAACGTAGTACCTATTAAAGAATCATGTTATATATTTTTGTTGTGCATAGCATGTAAAGTTTCATTATTGTCTACGTATACTTGTCAAAATGCATTAATATTATAAATAGAAATTAATTACTCAATACTGAAGTTTCCTTCAATAAAAAACCCAAGACTACAGACCTCTAAAGTAATTGGAATTGCAGATATGTTATCTATGTGTTCTACTTTGGCTTAACATATCCCTCAGAGAATAGAAAGATTTAACCAGAAGTATCTATTTCTGTGATTGACATTCTCTCTTTACTCAGGCAGCACTGCTATCAAAGAATATAAAGGGTAACTAAATGATCCTCATTTACCCCTCTGCTATCAAGTGCACATTTGTAAATCTCAACTGTATTTGTGAAAGGAGTGGTGAAATTTACTTTTAAAATTATGAAATTTATAAATGAACAGTGTGGGGAATGTTTTTAGATGGCTTTATCTTCTTTAAATAGAGCTCTAAAGGTCAAAGTGCTTCTGCTATATACAGGGTAACATCACATTAGGATGTTTATCTTTGGGATAGAAAATAAGTGTATAGATTACTTTAGCATAAATACAGTATATAGCCTGACTATTCTCTTGAAATGCTATCTCTAAGGAAAAAAATATCAGTAGTACAAGCAGACAGTCATTTAGTTGGGGAATTCAACAACAAACAGGTTTCAAGGTTCCTAATAGGCTTTATTGGCCTTGATAGCCTCCACCTGTGCTCTTTCCTCTTGGAGCAAGGAGGTCCTTTTCAGATCAGGTGTCTAAGCCTACAATCCCTGGTGTCCCCTATATAACAGGAATGTTGGTCTCCAGTGTACTCCAAACCATGTCTGAGCCTGGCTATGGATCCTCTGGTCTGGACACCTGACCTGTGGACTGACTCCTCAGCTTGGCCTCAGACTGCTCCCGCCATGATGGACCAGCCTGCTGGGCTGTGTCTGACCTTAGCTACCGTCTCCAGACCTGATCCTGGCATGTGGATTGACTTCCCAGCTTCACCTCGAACCTGCCTCATCACCACAAACTCACCTGATGATCTGGACTCCTGGTTGAACCTGCCAGCCATGGCACTGCCCTCGGCTCTTGGCTTCCCAGCCCTCACTGTTCCCTGGCACTGCCCTCACACCCATGAAGTAATTGGTTAATACCATGAAAATGGCAACACAGGGCTTAAAATATTCATCTTTATACATTTTAAAAGACTGGAAACCGTGTCTTCTTGCAGTGCACTTTTAATGATTTTTGATGATCTGGTCTTGTGAGATGAACACAGAGATCCAGCTCCTATAAAGACCAGGGTGAGGGATCAGCAACACAGAGGAGCTCCTCAAAGCACCAGCTGCAGCTCAGCTCTGGTATGAGCTCTTAGCTCAAATGCACTCAAAGCTAGAGGAAAGATGACTTTTTCAGCATCATACATTTCTGTGGCAGGTACTTTAGCATGCCTGTATACCTCAGGAAAAAAATCCTACCTATACCATGTTTCTCCTTATCTCAATAAATAGATTGAATATCTAAATCATAGATGTGATCTACGGATATGTATTATCATTGAAAGTCAAGGTATTTATGTTCCTGCCAGCATGTGGGACCAAATTGTATAAAGTCTCTTGTATCTAACTAGCAAATAAAGCATATATGTTATTCTGATTAAAATTTAAATATAGCCTACATGCAGTAAATAAACTTTTAAATTTATATATTACATATATGCCTTATTGAAAATAATGCTACCTAAAATGTAAAAATACATGCAATGATATAAAATACAGATTTAATGTCGTGGACTAATAATTACAGTCTATTTTCTGAACAAAGGAAAAATCGCAGTTCTAATAAAAAGTCAAAATGTAATTATTATATAAAATTCCATGATACAAAGATACTAATAAACATTTCTATACCTTTGCTATTTAAAAGTGCTCATTTTCTAAGATATCCCTCTGAAGGCCAGCTTACTAAATCTTTTTTTTTCTCTAAATGACAAGAGTTATATCTTAAAATAGACTGTAAGCAAATAATCCACACTATACCTTTGCTGTATAAAATGAAGCACAAGCTATCATATGCTGAATGCTCTCGTAACATCCTGCCTGCCTCCTCTGCAAAGTAGCACTTGGAATTTCTTGAAGGACAGCCAAGCACTTAATGAGGATCTGTAAATACAGGGGTTAAAACAAAGTTTGGGGTCTGCAACACACTTACAAGCTTGTACCTCTGTATAGCCTGTGGAATTTGATGGCGAACTTTAAAAATACTTTCAAAACTATTGGAAAGCATAAAATGTTAGCCCTACAAAAGCCAACAATAAAATTTCCGTTGAATTTAACGGTATCAAGATTTCAACCACTAACCTTTGGAATAAATGACATGTTCACATAAAATCACAGATATTAAATTACAGATACATGATGGGCAATTTTGCTGGTTTAATTAACAAGAAATCAAATAATGCTTAATTCAGTGAGATGACACATTCCTAGTAGAGGACTACTTAAAACTATATTGAGCTGGTAGGAATTTTAAATGAAAGAAAAATGTTTTCAGTGTGGTCTGAAAAAAATAGACTTTTTTACCCATTTTTGTCTAATAGACATGAAAAGAACCTGTGACTAAATTATTTTCCCCTTTAATTAGGAAATCTGAACCAGGAGCCATTTCCAGTGGCTAGCTATGCCTTTGGTAGGTCATTACAGCCAACAACAACCTAAGCAAAGGGCCATCCCTGTACATAAATAGATTTATTATTTTTTTCTAGTAGACTCTCCTAAAATCTTTCAGGGCCCTGAGTGCCCCAATAGCCACGCTATGAGCAGTCTTACTTGAGGCCTCCCCACACACCTTCTACCCAGGGTCCAGGAATCCCAATTAAGCTCAGACACAAGCCTTCAGTCCCTGCTTGAGCTATGGCATTGGTGTGCTGGTCTGCAGTTCTGTCTCCTGGATGGACCTTGGACCTGTGTTGTAGCCTTGTCTCCAGTCTCTGGCTCCAGCTCCTGCAGCTTCTGACTTTCTCTCCTGGATGGAACATGGGCCAGCCCAATAACTTCACTTTCTCTGAACTTTCAGTGGATCCGCTTACCAACACCCTGCTCTGTTCAGACGCTGCTAGTCTGTGCCCTGCCTGCCCTGCAGTCACCTCATCCTTCCTCATAGAGAAAACATGCTCTTACTGCTGCTCCCTGACAAAACTAACTCATTATGGGGGAAAACGTTGCATGTTTCTACTCTATCCTTGCTGAATCCAAAAAAACCCATGTCTGCTGCTGCAGAAATGGCAGGAAAGGATTTGTGAAGTCTTTTTATAAAGAGAAGATGCTTGCTTTTGGAAAGGAACACAGGTCTGAAAACTAAAGACTGCATTGTAGAAACATTGAATAGCTTTTTCTTTTTCTTTTTTTTTTTTTTTTTTTTTTTTTTTTAAAAAAAAAAAAAAAAAAAAAAAAAAAAAAAAAAAAAAAAAAAAAAAGTTCTAGGAAAAATATTAAACCC